TGAACTCGGGAGTTCACAAGCTTAGAATACTACCGTTGTTCGAACCGATCTTAGGGGAAGGACAAGTCCGCGGTAGTCCAAGGTTCCTCTTGCCGGTGAGATGCTCGTCCGAGTTGGCTTATACGAATTGAGGTTGGCCGTACGTATGGTGATGCAATTCCCAAGTTTTACAAATCCTGAGAAAGGTTCCAACCTAAGAAGACGAAATAGAAAATACAGATAATTCGGCAAGGTGGGCGATAGCTTCGTGGGGGTCTTTCCGCTTTCCGGGATCTTCCAGTAGCATCGATAGGGTGGTCGTGCAAAGGAGATATATACCGTCGTTACCGTAGCCAGGTTTTCCCAAGATCATCGACAAGGCCAGTAAGGAATCGATAAATGAAGACAACACGACGTCCTCGTGGTGACTGTCCAGAAGGCGATTCTGGAGCTTGTCATGTATTTGGGTGGATTTACGATGTGGAGAAGAATAAACCTGGGTCTGTATGGTATATCATACTACGAACGGAAAGGCATAGGCTAGACAAATATGTACGGTCCAAGAATGTACCAGATGGCACAGTAGATATTCAACGCAAACGATGGTGGTATGATCTGGCCAATAACTGCAGAAAGCTCCAGAGAAAAATGCCAACATTAAGCACTGTGATTATACGGGGGAATGACGATGGTGGGCCCAGAGGTCTAGGGGATCAACCGGTAGGTATGTACTCGACCCTCGAGGGTAGACCCTAAGGAGATAGATACCCTTGATAGATGTACACGAAGCTCGACCACGTTGTACTGTGAGTTTAGTTTATGATTGGTACCTATGATGAGTATCTATCTAGGCTCCGCCTTGGCTACTAGTACCTCATACACCTCATACCGAAAGAGCTGGCCTCTGCTGACGAACCCATGCTCGATTGTATAAAAGTACACATACTTCCTCAAGCAGGGGTTAGCTGCAGGAGGACTACCACGCAGCGAGGTACAGCAACGAGCCTGCATGGGGCGTTGTCGACGTTGTCAACGACGAAATAGTATGTAGAGAGTGACAGGGGGGCGGCCCTTCAAGCTTTTGTACATATCCGTCTGGAGATATACCTATGTAATTGTATGTATTGTATTGTACATATTGTACATGGGCCGCCTGTTCATCTGTCTGTGCTCTGCAGCGGACAGGTGAGGAATTGATGGTGGCACTCCCGCACTAGACCTGTTGAACGCGGAACCTCAACGCGCCTACGCGCTTCTTCATCCCCACGTGCGTATATATGATCTAGTATGATATATGTAGATTCAAATCTAAGTGCTCTTAAGACTTAGACGAGTATTAATATCCAAGCAAGGAGAAGGCGGATAAGAGTAGGGGTTCAAAATGAGTATCTTGGAATATACTGGAGCCTGGTTGGTTATATGCGGACTCTTTTAGATTTTGAACCGGCGAGAAGAAGCTGGCACAGTGTGCACAGTCCACCAACCCGAATCCCGGCTTGTATGGCCTTTCATGTATGTACGCTGAGACAATTCCTCCAAAATACATAAACCATACATAAACCCATACAGTAGTTAGAGGAAAAGAGAGAAAGACTGCCACACAGGCGCATAATACAGTAGCGAGTAGCAGATGACGAGACTGGTAGAGAGAGACTGGTGACTGGTAGGCTACAAAGAGGTAGTGTACAAGAAACCCCTTCTAGAGCCGAACAGTAAGTGCAGATATGCGCGAAAGAACTACGCCCCCTCGCATGCGAAGTGGAGGGACGTGGACGGTGAAGACAAAAATGCTCCACTGCCCATCAAAATGTGTACTATGTAATCCGCGGACGCTGCCAAGTATGGTACATCAATTGCATCGTCCCTCTTTAAAGTAGCTTCGAAGAGGGCCGATGCCACCTAGCAATTAACGCCGTCCATGTATAGGTACGATTTCCGGAACCCCATGTACTAAAAAGATCTGCCATGGCCCATGGCCCATGGCCCATGGTCTAGTTCTAGGTCTAGTTCTAGTCCTAGTGTATGGCACGTTCTTTAAGAAAAGGTGACTTGAGTGACCTGCCGGTAGAAGACCACTAGGTCCTGTTAAATTAACCCATCAAAGTTTTTCTTCGTGTTTTTTCTCTTCTTTATTTTATTTCTCCTTTCGTCCCTCATCCTCGTACATCCTCGTCTTCGTCCAAGTCCTCTCTCGTAATCATAAGAGGCCGGTGCCCTGCCGAGCGTGACATGCTCCCACATTTGGTTGATTAGGTGTGGGCAATAATCCGTATTCAGTAGTGTACTGCGTTAGGTTGCTGTCCCGTTACATTCGTGTGATGATGATGGAAGATCTGAATTCGCCGAATCAGCTTAGCACCCGGTCCGCAAAAGAATGCCGCGGCCAAACCAAAAGAAATGCACGAGGTTAACTGGCTGACTGGTCAAGCTGGTCAAGCTGGTTAAGCTGGTTAGCTGGTTAGCTGGTTAGCTACGGGTCTACCGCTAACTGGACCCAGGCTATCCCGTCTTCTTATTCCAAAGATCGGACGGAATCTCTAGCCGGGCCTGGGCCGGCCGTGTTTCAGAAGCTTCTACAGCCCATGTCCAGAATGCGCATGGAAGAGAAGCCATCAAACGCTAAAATGGGTAGGACGATCCGACCTTCACCACCTCCAGGTTAACACGCGCGGCATCCATCTCTTCCCCCTACCTTAAAATGCTGACATCTGCTGTAGCACGTCAAAACTTTAGGTTGGTCTGATGTCGTGCTGTCGTGCTGCAAGGACCCCAAGAGATTTGACATGGTTCAGGGTTCTACCTAGACTAATAATAAAGGGGGAAGCGTTCTTGTGGCGAAGTAATCTTTCGGGTTCCTGAATCCTTAAGCCCTAGCCTCATCTAATCGCCTATACGGTTGACCAGACAAGGTACTGTGCCAAAATGAAAAAAATAATCGCACACTAAACTAAAGTTGGTAGGAGGTCACTTGCCACAATTTGAAATAATATAAAATGTGTACTTCCAAGCCTTATTACGGTTATTGTGATAGGAATATTGATTTAACCAATATAATATAAAGAATTAGCCAAAAGATTCAATTGTCAAATCAATTCAATTTTAACTACCACATTTACACATTCAAATAACTTTACAATTTTAACAATTACAACATTATAACTGGTATCATTTAATAGCCTTAATTGATGCGAAAATAATGATCCAGGTTGCATGCTTATACGTCGTGTTGTTGAAACATTATAATGTAAATGAAAAAAGCCTTATTCGAAGAGACGGGTATAGGTCTTTAAGATGATGAATACATAGTAGCGCGGCACTAAGTGGGGCGGCTCAACTGAGTATGGCTATTAAGTAGCCTCACATACAAATCTATATGTAATAGTACAGTCTAGTCATGAAAAGATGAACTTTTTATCCTAAAGACCTGTATTCCGTACGTACCTAACCATATATACTTGCTAGCACGTGATACCTTTTGAGATAACTAAGTTTAATACTCATACACACTTAAATAACTTTACACAAATAGCAATTCAACCATTATAACTGGTATCATTCGATAGCCCCAATTGATGCGAAACCAATAGTCCAATTTTCATGCTTATGCGATGTGTATTGAGTATTATATTGCCATTAAAGTATTCGGAGCTTAATTGAAAAGACTTCATGGAGGTGCTTGTAAAGGGTATCACGTGCTTCCCTCTCCAGACAATCGCTATTTGATTCTACTATAACACAACAATGAAGAGGCCGATTCAAATGCAACTTGGATCATTGTTTTCGCATCAATTGGGGCTATTAAATGATACTAATTGTAATGTTATAATTTCCAAAATTGTAAAGTTATTTGAATGTGTAGATGTGGTAGTTGAAAATTGAATTGAATTGAATTGATTGGTTGATTTTAAAGGTTAAAAATAAACATACCTTATTAAAGCATATCATCTATAACACTATCATGTATGTATCTATAAGAAGTAATTCATTTTTCCTATATAAAAGTGCGAAGTACCGCATTAAATCGAGCTAATTGCGCTAACCTGTGGCTGACTACCCATTTAAGCTAAGCTCACAGATTTTTTTCATTTTGGCACAGTACCTTGTCTGGTCAACCGTAGCCTAGTCGCCTAGTCGCCTAGTCGCCTAGTGTTCTAGTGTTCTAGTGTTCTGGTGTTAGTGTGCCAAATGGAGTCTCCGTGACTTGAAAGGCGGCCAAGTCCATATCCAGCACCAGACGCGCCACACTCCTTTCATCATCGTTCTAGGAAGAGTAGGAGGAATAAGAACAGAATTAGACTAATGCAAGCTTGCTGGCGCCGATTCGTTCGCACTCGAGCTATACTTTATTCTTCGTTCCTTTCATCTACCCCGGCGTTGCGGGAGGGGGAATATGTATACACCACGTATCGTAGGTTATCAGACAGTATACATCTATGTAGTTATACGAAATAAGACAGGCTACTAGTTATAGAATCATGCAGTGATACAATCCATCAGGTGTATCATGTTCAATGAAACCAGGGCACGTGAGAATACCAGGACCCGAGTGTTAATGATGCCAGAGAGGCTTCTCCCGCAACCCACATACCATTTCAAGATAGTTCAATGCCGATTGATTAAGAGGCAATATAAAATATCTAGATTAGGAAAAGTCGTGGTCAGGATTAACTCGGGACGAACCAAGGGAGACAGCTAAAAGGACAAGCAGACGTCTAACGTTTGCCCAGATCTTGGTCGGCCATTTTAGCCATGTACGTAAGAGCGCCACGGAGCTTCGCGCAATGAGGGGATGCGCTATCCTTGCTTCTTGTGCTTTTTCTTGGAGTTGAGATAGGCTTCGGCAAGAAACCCTCAACCCAGAGATCCCTAGGTTACCTAAAGATTTGGCGCGACGCGAACCGGCATTGATGCCCTAGCAGCCTGGATAGCGGCAGAGCTAGCTACGTAGCCAGGACTTAGGTATCTAGGAATAGGTACCTAGGACGAAGAAGCACGCTCAGCACGCTCAGCACGCTTGTACTTTACATAGTAGCTCTGCGGTTCGTGGCCGCCAAGGCATTGACCTGCGCAATGCATAGAAGCTGCATCGCGCGTAGCTGGTCGTAACATGTGAGGCCAGCTGTCAAAGCAGCATCGGGCATCCCAAACTTGTCACGTTCTTGACCCTGCATAGTACATAGCATAGTACATTACCGCATACCGCTGCGTACGTATTGTGTCTGTCTGTCTGTCTGTCTGTCTGTCTGTCTGTCTGTCTGTCTGTCTGTCTGTATGTATGTACCGCTGGCCCATCGTGACCCGTAGTAGTCACACTGATCTTGTCGGGAAGACGGAGATCAGGCCCGAGTCTGGAGCTCCAGAGGGAGAAATTTCTCAACGCATATGGTTGACAGTGTAAGATGATTCGTTGCTCATGCACTCGCGGATGATCATTGTAGCTATGGTAATACTGATCGATGATGACGAGGACACCGCCGAAGGATGATGCGATATACTGCGAGAGATAATAATAGCTAAACAATAATAACGCCTCCTCTTGTCGTACAATACTTACTCGGGAGCCACTTGACCAACCAAGCGCGATGAAACACACCACACCCACCAACGTAGTAGCATAATAAGGCATTCGATAGGGCTTCAGACACTTGTCTCGCTTATGCTGTTCGTCTAGCTCATGCGGAATGGCCACTGGCGTGCATGCATATCCAGGGTTTCGTCGGAGCACTGCAGATGAGAACCTACCAGTGGGGTGTATTCCGGTTCGGTGTGGATGGAAATTAGACTGCAAAAATGATTCGGACTCGACGGGCGGTTCGCTTGTTAATGTATATTATCAGCGGTCCGGCTAGTTCGTCACCTGTGTAATCCGTAAGAGGATGATAATAATTATAATGATGAGGATGAGGGATGAGGATGAGGATGAGGATGAGGATACTCTCCTTAAGGGTAGTAATGAGTAGGTTAGATACCTGAGGTAGGTATATCTTACCTGTGTTGAAGCCGAGAAGACGATGCAAAATATTCTCTATGCGTACACCGCCAGTATGGGGTATGGCATGGCATACATATATGACAAGTCAGTGGCTTGAAGTGGGGGATCGGCCTTTACTTCTCAACCAGAGGTTTGATGGGCCAAATGCTATATCCAGGTGTAAGCCATTGTGCGTTATATACCGCCATGTGCCGTATTAATATTCGGATTGAGCCCTGCTACCTATGACATGAAGCTACAGGAAATTGTATGGACTCGCGCATTGATGCAATGGTATGCAAATCAATCAATATCAGCCCAACAAAAACATGACATGTTACTCTTGTCATCATCCATCATCCCTGCCGCCACATCTTCGAGACTCCCGGTTTGAGAGATGGGTGCCTTATCGAAACCATTGTTTAACCCCTCGCGCGTCTCCTGGTAACTCTGGAGTTGGCATCCAGATGATCAGAACTCACGGTTCAGTCTAAATCCTCATCCGCTTTTAGATTGATATCCGCGATCTGGGGTTGGGGTTGGGGGAGTTAAGGTGAGATGGTAAGATGGTGAGATGGTGAGATGCCAGCCAAAGTTGAAGAGACCGTGGTCATGTAAGGCTATCTACCTACATTGTATTATTTTGAACTTACCACACATAAGCTGAGACGGGATCACACACACATACTCCGTTGCCGTACCTACATTAGACTCCACGGATCGCCCGACCATGGTTCGCGATGAGTTATAGTATATAAGCCGCATAGTAGCACCAACTCTTATATGCTAGCTTAATCAAGCCCGTTACCGCCGTGGTGTATCCTGCGAATGTTTTACCTGGATCTAGGAATGCCAAGTCAGACGAAGACTTACCCCCCCTTGTCTTTCGTCTCGACCTTCGGAATCAAGGGACCTCCCCCACGAGATACCTCTACAAACCGCGTAACAGGTTGTTACCAACAGCCTGGCATCATCTTTAACCCCAGTAGGCTTCCATACAATTCCCGGCACTCATCCCGTCTTGAGTGTTCATCTCGTCCTAGTGACGCCTCCCTCGGTAGATTGTCGCCATCAATGACGCTACGCCATGACGATGTTGCAGGGTACTAGGTTCTAATAAGCAGATCATTAACATAGCGAACAACCGTTGAAAACGTGCTTATTATGTACATGTAGATAAATAAGAACGCCATAGTCCACACACACAACTCTATCGCCGATACATGCCTCCTGGGTATAGCTACACTCTTTCCCCTTTGAGATATATGAGATTCCTTTCAGGTACATACCTATGTAGATTTACATAGGTAGTTATTAACCAACCATCTTACTATGGCTGCTACATAGGAATACCGGTATTATGCGAAGGGCGGATAAGGAAAAGCCGCGTAGCTTTTCAACCCACCATCCTACTACATACGGAGCCAACGATCGCTTCGCTCGACTCTTACCTGAAACGATCCCCGCTAAGCCACCTCTAATATGGGAGTGTTAGCTGAATTAGGTAGTGCTTTACTAGACGCTATAATAAACTTTCTAGAGAGTCTCAAGTCATATACACCGTATGTTGGTTCATCGTGTTTCGTTCCAGGTTCTAAGTCCGATGCAAACGCACAGGCCGGTAAAGTATCCGGAACACCCTTCTGGCTCCCAGCGCCATGGGCCAGACCCCAGATTTGGCAAACGGGCTAATTATGACCAGACCCCTATGACGAAGAGGCGTTTTCTATGTTCACTTTTGGAAATCCATTGTCGGACGGATATTGTTTATTTCTAAATTCGGCAAGCCTGAAAGCTAAAGAGGTACAAAGGTATATCAAACGATGCCGACGCCATCCTACCGACATATCCAATCAGAACAACTCATTGTCTTAACCGAGCGCATGTAAGTAAAAAAAAAAAAAAAGGCTTCGGCCCAAATACATATGTAGAGCATTGACTGATGAATTATAGCGGCCCTGGCTATAATTAATTAATACGATCCATATACTATTATCTACACGACATTTCAAGTCAGGGATGTCATCGTATCAGATGTCCGTCATTCTCATTTTCCCTGCTGTCTCTTTTTCGATCTCCGCATTCCATAAGACAATTAACCATGGGTGGTGTTGTATTAACCCACCGCGAGTACATCGAGGTACATTTTAACAACCTACCTGATATAATCCGCATTAACATTACCTACACTTATTAGGCTTGCATGCAATACACCCGGGCAAAATTCAGCGTAGGATTAGAGAAAGAAGAAAAAGAAAAAGAAAAAGGAAAAAAAATTTCGGCATTTAGTCAACGGCTTTACCCTGTTCCCTAAATCCACGTGCGCTGTAACGTCTGCCATCACCCGGTCCGCCAACATAGCGGATGCGGTGTTCCTTTCCGACTCTTACAATACAACGATACCTACCGCGGCATACAAGACCCTGCTGCTGAGATGCAGTCGCTACTGCAGGTGCCATGTGCTGAGTTGTCCCACCTTCATACTACTACATACTACTACATACGTCCATGAATAGGTTCTAGTGTTATTGATGCTTTGAGTGAAGTGCAGAATCTGACCGCAAGCTTTTTTTTTTTTTTTTTTTTTCCTGACCTCCTCTCTTGGCCGGTAGACTGGCTGAAAGTAGAACCGGGGAACCCTATCCTGTCCAAAAGCGGCAGGACACTCAATGCCCAGTTCGCCAACTACCAAGGACCAAACTACCAAGAGCCAACTAGAATCTTTTTTAACCCTGCTCGTACTAGTAGTATCTCGTTTCCGCTACCCGTAATCTCGACCTCCCGCTCCCGCGATCCCTTTCCACGTTTAAGATATCAAGGGCTTTCTATTCCCCACCAATATTCTTTGATGATAGTATATACACCCTTATACCCTAAAAAGCCTTGGGAGGTAGCTACTAAATACAATCAACGCACTGGCTACCCAGTTATAGTCCATTATATATATATACGTCAAACACAGAGCAATAACCAAACACATTGGGTGACAAGGCGGCGTAGTTAATATCTGGACCTGAGACACAAACTCAACAATAACGCTCCTCTATAATAACATGATCCCGGGCACATTGACATAAAAAAAAATATTATACAGGGAATATCATGACAGCTGCTTCGCGTTTCAAACAGAGAAATTACATGCGAAGCCTGTTTGTTTGATTGATCAAGTCTATCCATAATCCACCATGTCTGCCTCGCCGCAGAACTGCGTGCTCCTGCGTCTGTTAATACTACCTGCCTACCTACAACACCATCCTGTAGGCTACTCCACCTGCGGCACAGGATGTTTGTTGTAGCTATTGTAAGCTCTACTGTAGGTACAGATTGCCCATGACTCTATTTGCCTTCTCTTTTAAAATCACGCCTGGGGCATATTTCCATTCTTATCCTAAATTGATATTCTGCAGCTATTCTGTTTCTATTTTGGGCCATACCTATGCGAGCTGAATGGTCACGCTGCTTGTTCTATCTTTTTGGACGTGAGCTAGAAGCTCTAGTGAGAATCAGAAAATAACAATATTTATGCATAACGCATAGATCTACAGCGTAATGTTGACAATAGGACATCATTCTAACATCATGCTATTCGGGTACTTTAGGTACCTAAGGTAACGTATACGCATACCTGTCTCCTGAAATGTACACCTAGGTATGTATGAAGTATGTACGAAGTATGTACGAAGTATGTATATAGGTACGAAAGAAGAAGAAGAAAAGAGGGCTTTTCTCCACCAACTGTCTCTTGATCGGAGACATACCATCGATTTTAGGCGTTTAGATAGATAGAAGCGTTCTAGCCATATCATTCGTCGAAGCTGACCGACAAGTGGGCTTACGCAAAACCCTACGATTGGACGGACGACCGGCGACGGCTCTCTTATTCTTCAACATGGCGAGACACACCAGCTCACCGTTACACCGAATATGAACCAGGGGCATTCTTGTCAGCGGTCTATTCCCTAACATACATGTGTAATAATTTTCCTTATAGAGAAGGGCAGTGCCTATTCGTCAACTAAGACGGCCTGCAGACTTCCAAGCCTACTAGCTCTGGAATCCACCCGAGTTGGCTTCCTCTACACCATCACCCCCCCCCTGGTCAACGATAGCTGTCCTTACAGCGTGGAAGATCCGTCGTAGCCCACGGTTGACGGATACCTTCGTCGTAAAGATCCAGGATGGTGCATATTGCTACCACTCACTGAGGTGACTCCTCTTCTCTATGCTGCTCCGAGTCATGCTTCCTAAACTACATCCTACAGCAGGTCGCTAGCAACATACATTCTAGTACTGCTTGATGCGTACAGTATAGGGAACTGTGTGGGTGGATTACCCTTGTCACTGCCTACAGCTTGAAGATCTAGAAAAGGACACGCACACACGCATGCTTCAACTGCAGAGATACGAAGCGGCTCAGGAAAGCAGCTTCGTTCATGTGGGACTTTCGATGCACCTAGGCCTAGTCGTTAACTCCCAATAGAGCCCAAATCTTGGGGAGAATCCGCTTAGCTACGTGTAGTCCGGTCTGGGGAAGTTTTCCCATCGATTCCTACATCGGGGATCTGGGAGCTCACGCCATCAGTGAAGGGGGTGCAGGGCCGCTAATCACCAGGGCCATCACATCGTTCCCGCTCATGCGTTGTCCCTCCCGGGCATATGTACCGGTAGTTCCGGTAGAACTTCAATGCGTAGAGAGAAGAATATTAAAAACAACCCAGGAGCAAACATAGTAGCCTGCAGTAGTTAGAATACAGGCCTCTAGTCGAAAGACGTTCCTTTTTTCATATGCTACCAAGTTAGACATACCTGTCAAATATCAATGAGGAGTAGGCAATACGTCTCGTCAACAGCCACGTCTTCTTTATTCACACGTTCGAGAAGCACGTCGCCGTTTAGAGTGTGCGGGTGTGGATGCTATCATGCGCAGGTAGCCAGACTGCAAACACATTTGGCGTGTGGTCGGCATTGCTCACGATATCGACGCCCTCTAACAGAGTATTCACAGGCAAAGTCTCTGGAAATGATCACCCGCATCACTCGATACTATTCATGCACATCACCATTACATCAAGAATATCCTAATCCGTAACTTCTGTAGATGATCACTGAAGCAAGGGAGTTCTAGAAGCCGGATGGCCCAAAGACTACCCAGAGTAACAATTTCTGTCCCGAAGCCTACCTCGACGTGTCTCGTTCCACCTCGTAGTAGTTGTCCTGGCATTGAGGGGAGGACCCTGTCCTCCACCGCTAGTATTGCCCGGTAGTTTGCTCGATTTACCTAATACGAGACCTGGTCTACACACGTTCCACGTCTAAAACCACCCTATCCAGTTTGTCCTAGCATACATACGAAACTGACCACGCTTGCGGCGGTTGGTTGTCAGTTCACTTTCGGGCGATCTTGATCCTACGGATCCCGTCCCCCACTCATTCCCTAACTCCACTTCCCAATGTCTTCTCCGTGAGGTTCAAGTGCCGTGACAGCTCCGCTCCGGGTGTGCCGGTAGTGGTTATTAGGGTAACCAGCTTGATGCATTCGGTTCGTGTCCATCAATATCTACGAGCTATCTGGTCCGAGTTAACCCTAAACAGACGTAGGTGCTTCCCAACAAGTAAGTACCCCTTATGGTATATAAGGATGTAAATAGACACCATGTCCCTGGGAAGCTTGCTTCGCTTTACTCGATGAGTGGCTATTGATTTATTAACCGACTTCGGGGGTGTAGAGCAAAGGAAGCTCCAATAGATATTGGCCTTAGGTACATAACTCAAAACAGACTCACGCTCCCACGGGTTTGGAGCTTCTAGCGTAATGCGAGCTGAGCCTCATGGCACTCCTGAGACATCCTAGAAATTATTTCTAATAAATAGGTATCTTCTAAGAAATAATTTCTAATGCGATGATTAACTCATGAGTCAGGGGAAGATGACAAGATAAAAGTGAGATAAGCTTGGAAGTGACTATGGCTCCTTAATGAAATATGCACAATGTTGTGGGACAGGCGTCGATTAAGGATGCTATAGAAAGGATGAGACGACTAGGATAAGATAGTTTTTAGCTTAGACACTTCAGTATGATTGTTCTCTTAATGATAGATGACGTTCTTTGTTACTATAACTTTGATCCCTAAGTCTGGCATCCTAATCTATGATGAGTACGAGAACAATGGCAATGAATTAACATCCCGATCCACCGCGGCCTCATCGCTGGTTAGCCCCAGAAAATTTCACCGGTGGTAGGGATTTTGATAGGACGTGCCTTAACACAAGATGGTAACTTTTTACTACAAGGGTATCCTTTATCCAGGCTAGACCAAGAAGATAACTAATTATAAGACTTATCCAAGCTGCGATTAGGTTACTCAATTGGTTAACGGCAATGTTTTGAAAGGGGTGAGTACCTGGTTGAATATCATTCGGTGCAGACGGTACTCATTAGAAGAGCTAGGAAGAGTATGAATCTAACGTATAAGATAGAGTTGAGCCATTCGCATCAATACCAACACGAATTAAGGGTAACGTTTTGGTATAAATATTACCGATGGTGGAATATTGTCTAGGTAGTTTTTATACCGCCGAGCCCCTATTTAGAAGTTCTAAGTTGGGCCCTTGTCATAAACAACATCTAACAGACATCGCGCTTGCTCCTGAAAGTCAGTCGGCATCTATGGTATCAGATCTAGTTCCTCCGTATACTCAGCCTTGACTAGACTAACCCTCTGTCTTAGTAAACGACTGCGTTTTGGCATCATGATAAAATAGCGCGATATAAGGTAGACTCCTTTCTAAACCCAGAGGCAAAAAGAAATAGTTAAAACACAAGCCTCGCGATACAACAACCGACATCACTACCGCTGCTTGGCGTACTTCGTATGCGAACCGTTCGCAATGACTGGGCCGGCTTCGCCATCGACAACCTTGTAGATGACGACGCGAGTAAATGCCAGGGTGCCACCAACCTTATCGGCTGTAGCAGTGATCTCGATCTCATCGCCCTCCACGGCAGACGATAGATACGTGACGTGAATATCAACTGAGACGCCAGTGCGGCGACGCAAATCCCATGTAGCGATTGCCATGCCGCCAGCCCAATCAACGATAGCAGCAGAGACGGCGCCGTGGATGCCACCGCCCGAGTTGATATGGTTTCGGGTGAGTGTCAAACGCGCCGTCATTGACCCTTTCGAGGCAGAACGGATTTGCACATCGGAAAGTAGGAAATTGTAGATGGCCGAGTTGGGTAACTGTGCTGCGGTGAGCTGCTCGATATGGGATTTGATGACAGCTTCATCGTTGCTGGACTCCACTACTGATGACCCTTGCTCGACGGACCCCATGGCGCCAAGCCAATACCGCACGTAAACAGTTTAATGTCGCTGGTGATTTAGAGAGAGAAAGCGTTTACTGAGTGCCTTGTATATCAAGCTCTAGCTCGATAGGTCTAGGCCCAATAACCTTCGGTGTAGTTGAGGTGAGCGATATTTTAAGTACGAAGGTTCAACAGAAGTGAGAAAATTGTTGAGAAGTATGGTACTGACGGTCCGTTACGGAGATAAAACAGCTGGCTGAAAGGGGAAAAGACTGCGTACCAACTGCTTCACAGCGAAAGACTTCATCGCCACTTGGCACACATTTAGTGAGTTTATTACATAAGCAGACAAAGCTCATGAGATGAGATGAGTGGTGAAAAGGAGGTCGATCCAATTCCAAGGATGAAGCAAACCGGATACATGAATAAATACTCTAGCGTATAATTAATTAAATTGTCTTGTTGATGACAACCTCTGCATAAAGGGCAAGTCTAACAAACTAGGCAACAATCGCCATTGATTCTTGTTCTCTCATTCAAGAGTCAGTATTTAAACTTAGCTGTAAGGTATGTTAACTTAATATAAGTCTATATTTCTCATCACACCGGAAGAGATGTCAAGAGCTCGACAAAATTGTATTCACGAAGCTTTGCAGCTAGAACCTTCGGCATATGCTAAAGAAGTTGGATACAACTGGCCTACTCCTGATCGAAGGTTAGCTGCGACAACGAAGTCAGGTCGAAATCCGCTGGCTGCAAGAGGTCAGGAAGCTGGAGCATTGGAGAAACTTACGGGGGAATCTGCGAGCAAACTGTCTGGTGTATTCCCAGGCCCGTTAGTTCTACCTGACGATGAACTAGCGAACAATCCCAAATATCCACCTCAGTCGTTCCGATCGTGGCTTAACGAACCGCTACGCAAGAACCGCAAACTTAACCAAAAGCGCAAGACGTTGTATGTTGCAAACACGCCTGAAATCACATCCGACGTGAATTATATGAAGAAATGGCTGGAACCAAAGGTTGAAAAGAGTCCAAAATCGGCTAGTGGGAAGTTAGAGCTGCCGTCAGATGATGCTGTCGAGTATACGAGAGCGTTTTACCATGGGTTGTCTGTTGAAGCATTTCCCACCCAGTTGCAGTTCGTCCCGTGGACAGAGCCAAAGAAGTCGGCAGAGCCAAGCAACGGGACTCAGTACGTTGGCCTTCTCGCAGGTAATAACTGCACTCGCATTCGCGCGAGGCCATCTCCGGATGGAATTTTTGGAGGACAGTTAAATCTCGAGGATCTTCTTGACGCCGCTATCGAGATGGTGCCTAAAGAAGCATATTCTATCATTCTACTCGTCGATCACGACATGTACGAGGACGAGGAGGACGACTTCTGCTGTGGTAGGGCATATGGAGGCAACCGCGTGTCGGTAGTTTCTACTGCTCGATATCATCCCTCTCTAGATGGCCATGCTGGAATCGATTTCGCGCACATGTGGCCTGCCTCTCATTGCAAGTCCTATGTTGACGATTTCGGCAAGGTAAAGGGCCTCCGACTACACCCCAGGGTGAATAGTGAGGGGGGAACTATGTCTGGACCGTTATGGGTGGCCATGGAGGCAGCAAGAAGTCTTAAAGAACCCTTAACTCTAGAGGACCGAAAGGGTCTGTGGTTCTCTAGAATTGCAAGGACGGTGGTGCATGAGCTCGGCCACTGCCTTGGTTTGGACCATTGCATTTATTATGCCTGTGTTATGCAGGGCTCGTCGCGGATAGCGGAAGATGTCCGACAACCCCCCTATCTATGTCCCGTATGCTTAAGCAAAGTTTCCTACGCAGTTGCTTGTGAACTAGAAGGGCGGGATGAGGATGATAAGGAAGAATACATTAAGGAGCGATATAAGTTACTGGCGAACTTTTGCGAGTCGTGGGAACATGTTGGCATGTTTGCTGGGTACGGAGCCTGGTTGCGTGCAAGGCTTGAAGACCTTGAACAACAAAAATAGCGAGAGGATTTAGTTATACCCCATTCACCCATATAAATAGGAGCTAATTGTTATATTTTCTTGGACCGAGTCACATAGCATAATCGCCCGTATTCGAACGCCATTAATATCGTACCATTATTTAATACGGGTAGGATTTTGAGTATTATACTCCGTATTAAAGTTAATCAAAACTCGTCACCGACATCCTTGAATTATTAAAATACATGCGAGGCATTAACTTAGGACCCGTATTTCGTAAGCAGAGATGCTTGGCCGAAATTCGGGGCCGAAGGAAAGAATCGACCGAACCTGGGGCCCCTCCGTTGATACATGGGCGTAGAGATGAGAGACCCTAGTAGTAGAGGTTGCCTTTTTATTTACCCACATAGAGAGTCAGTAGATTAAATGGACCAACAAAAGACCATGTAACTCAATATATTCAGGAGAAGAAGTACTTGTATTCGTCAATCGTAATTTACTGCAAGGCACAAATGATATAAACTTCAGTAGAAACTGGCGCGCCTATCCATGTGTAATCTTCGATGTAATCTACATTGCTAGACCAAATTCCTTCTCACACGCCGCCGGATCCTCTTTCGATCTGTGACGAGAAAGGCTGCGATGGCACCAGCAACTAGTACATAGAAAGCGCAGAGAGCTAAGAGAGTGTTGTCAGTCTGTCTTAGTAGAGAAGGACTCGATGGTCTGAAATCTCTTATTGCTTCAGGCATGTTGGCGTAGATTTTTGTTGCATTGGCAGGTGCCATGATCTTCTGCTTAACGGGCTAGACAAGGTAAACCAGTGTAGTAGTTGAAGATGGCCGATATTAGAAAGGTGGGAAACACCCTGGAGATCATTAATATATAGGTACCTAGATATCTAGGACTAAGTATCTTGTTTCATTAGTTAGGGTAAGTCGGTTTCTAAGGCTATTGTAGTACCGACTGCGAATCATGAATCATTTCTTATATAAGTTATAAAAGTGAATGCCTCTACTCTACTCCTGGTTAGGTGTACCTACAAGTTGTTTGATAAAGATGTGAATCCATCTTATTGTAAAGGACAATGACCCTGAGCGAAGGATGACTTGCATGTTGTTTGATGGAAGATAATGTCTTAGAACATACAATGTTAGTGTTGATCACCTAAATTGCTATATGGGAATGCTTAGGAAGGCCTTAGCTCTAGTACCTTGAAGCATGCTATCGCATCAAATTGCTATTAAATCTACAATATATGGTCACATTGCAATTACTTATGAAAACTTTACTGTATCATATATTAATATTTGTTTAAATAATTAGAAGTTATCAGATCTCAAGTACTTTGGCCCTTTGCTGTCTTACCGATATTTCTACGTGACTAAAAACAATTAGAAGATCCTTGACACAAAGCGGTCGGAGCTCGTTGCCGTTTGGCGTTCTCTTATGGGCGTAGATCGAAAAGAAATATTCACTAGAATGAATTGTGCCGTGTGGCAAAGGTAATGAGCTAATCAAAGCTTTGCATGTTGATTGCAGATTGATAGGGGCTGATTTTATCCACCTCAAGTGACCTTGGAGATCATGCTCGTCTCCCATTCTGGTGCGCTAATGTAACTGGCGCACCTTTACGTACTGACGATTATGTTGGTAAGTGCGCCATCTTTTTTTATATCCTTCTGACAACGAACAAATTTCGAATCTTGGCTTAAGGCCACTTAAGATAAGCCCTGGGGCAAACGGGATAACTACCTACCTAGAGGTACCTAGGTTAGGTAGGTAGATAATCTTATTCGAATACTCACACGTATTAAGTAATTCACGGATATTTACCTGCACGGAACTGGAAGGCATCCTTTTACAGTAGCCGGAGTTTACAAACCCCGGGGTAAATGGAATATGGAATATGGCTCTGTTATCTGCTGAACGGCTATTATACATCTTGTACTAATTAGACTGCTGTTATACGGCTGCGTACCCCTTGTTCATATTTATATGGCTCGCTATTCGCTTGCTACTCTTTAAGCAAAAAGATATGTATTTTAATATGAAGATGGAAGTAGAGACTTGAAGGGATATAAAATGCATTTGATAAACAGCCTTAAGCATGCTTATAGACGAACTTCTTTTTCGTAGGTAGCCTGAGACAATATCCCTCATAAATTCGGGCAAGCGGTAAGTTACCATACGCGATGCAGGACGCCGCTTACCTAGATCTGCCGCCACGTCCCTCACATTCAATATACGTTCGGTATCGGAAATGGAAGAGTAAGTGGCTAAGACGTGAAGTTAGGTACTCATCAAGATAGAGAGGGGACTCCCTAACTATTACTCTACCAGTAGACAACTACAATATACTGTATCAAATTACTTTAAAATTTATTTATTTTGTATAATGGAATGGCTGCCCTATAGAAAGAAATGATAGTTACCTCTACTAGGTAAGTGGCTTTACCACATGTCACATACATGAAAACGAAAATCCGACATTGTGAGCGCGGAGATTCAAGCCTTGCTCGGATTTTGTCTACCAGACAGTCATGATGATGCAGCCCTGCTTCATCATATCTATTTACAACAATAGATATTGCATGCGGCCTTTATGGTTACGTATGCCAGAGATGGCGTATTCTTGCTAGGTATACAGGTACCTAATATAAATAGTAATTGTGTACACTTTGGCAATAGTCCGGCACGTTTGTTCTTTTTCTCTAGATGTCCATTTCAAAGCGGCAAGACCACTTGTTACTTAATATCCCACTCTCAACATCACGACAGCTCAAATTGTGGTCTGATTTCTTGAGATCCCTATACTTCATTTCTATCTTTGGAAATATCTACCAACCCTATTCATCATGACTGGGAAAGACCAACTTAGTGTCATCATAGTCGGGTCAGGACCTGCCGGATTGGCTACGGCCCGTGTATTGCGAGAGATGTGCCAGGTTACTGTGTATGAGCGCCGCAGTCCTTCAGTCGCGACCGGAGGTCAGGGAATCGTGAACTTTCCCAATGCTACTAAGATCATGAACCAATTAGGCTACGACACGGAGCGGTCCGGTTCTGTTCCCATTGAGGGATTCAGGACTTTAGACAAGCAGGGCAACATCATATTTGATACTGAAATCACCTTCAAGGAAAGGTACGGCTCACCGGCCGTGTCCCACATGCGGACTGATTTCAGAGCCGAACTTCTGCGCCTGGCTACGGCTCCGTCCAAGGATCTGGGTATCGGTGGTGAGCCCGCCAAGATGGTATTCGACAACGGTGCCCAAGACATCGACTCCGAAGTTGGTGAGATCACTCTGGACGACGGTACGAAAACTAAGGCTGATGCGATCATTGGTATGTGTCCTGTATGAATACTGCTGCTGCACAGCTGCCTGATGAGACTTTAGTTGCGGATGGTATTCATTCTCGCCTGCGGCCCCTGATTGTCGGCGCAGATTGTCCTCAGCCTAAGAAGAATGGGTTGACATGTTGCCGAGTGGCCGTCTCTGTCAACCAAGCCATCGAGGCTCTTGGTCAGTTGCCCGACTGGTGGCAGAGTCGGGAGACAAAGGAGAAACGTATCCAGATCTTTGAGGCTCGCGACGGCTCTGATCGTGTTATAGTCATATACCCCCTCTGCCATGCCAGTTACATGAACATATCTTACGTCTTTCCTACTAGAGAGGGGAGGGAGAGCGCGGACAACTCATGGTACGCGGATGGAGATCAGAAGGGGACGATGGAGATCTTCGATGATTACCACCCAAGCCTGAAAGCGCTCATTGGGTACGTAGGAATATGTCAACCGCTACAAATCGCAGAGGAGTAAATCGTACCTAAGCTAATGAGTGTCTAGTGCATCGGCCAAAGTGAAGGTATGGGACCTTCAGGACTTGGAGCCCCTAGATAGATGGACTGCGGGTCGCGCTATCCTCATTGGTGATGCCGCTCACGCAATGACACCGATGCAAGGTCAAGGCGCCAACATTGGCATTGAGGACGCAGAAGCATTCCGGCTCTTGATCGAGCCCGGCGTAACCCGCGATGATGTCCCTGCAATCCTGAAGCAGATAGAGAAGTATAGGCTACCCCGTGCCGCAGCCATTCTCAATAATACGAGAAAGACGAGCCGCGGAGTCAGCGGGGGAGAGAGATATGAAGTTATGAATGAGAACTGTACCTATTACGGAATTTTCGAAGCCATGAAGGGCTAATGAGGCATAAGGGAACTTAGTGGTCGCATGGAACCTACAGAGCGGAGTTTCTTATAATTTTCCCCTGAATGTTGAACCCCACCATAATGCATGTAGGTAATACATTAGGTACCTACATACGCCTGCCAGTCAGATTAGTCAGTATCACGTGCCTCTTTTCATGTTACACAACAGGTATCGAATCAGAGCGTTGAACAAAGATTTGTCATTTCAATGTCACGAAGCTCACCGTCCGAGTTGTTCACTAATCAACAATCATACAGCCTCGGGCTTCAGTCACTCGTACAGACCATCCAGTAATTTTCTTAGGTTATGCAAGCGAACTCGGTACTTGCGTGTTCGTCTAACGAAAATATCTGGGGAAAAGGTGGGCCATATTAAGGCTTAACTGAATTTCTACTGTTATTACACCGTTAGCCTCCGGATCCGGTACGGAACACTTAGGAGGCTTTCCGGCTTCTATGTCGGTACACAGCATGGGGTTTATGATCCTATCGAAGTGTTCTCATGTTCTCAATACCCCAATCAAACACCAACATTCAGTCGAATTCTGTTGGTGACAATCTGCAGGACTACGAAGGACAACTGAGCCAACCTGGCCAGTCAGGTAGTCAATTCTTTCCAAGTCAAAATGACTTATCATCGCAGCCCCTCTTAACAACGTCAATACCACCCTTCCGAGCCAATGTCTATACTTATGCGCCTTCATCTTTGATAGACCCTCTAAATAGCGTGGATAACGACTCCAGTCGGTCTACTGATACGTCACTGACCCGAGATGTTTCCTGGGATAGCGGGGTACAATCTTTTTCCCAGATAGAGAACACGAACCTTCAATTAGCTACCACTGAGGCGGTGGTATCATTACCGGAAGCACCACCAATGCGATACCTTCACTCTAACTTGGCTGTGCTTAGCGCCGAGCAATATGATGGTGGGCGGTATCCTAGACGGCCCGCTTCTAAAGTCAATCAGAAGCCAAATACTGCTGTCGTCCCTGCCAACAATGCTCCTAACCCTAGAAAGAGGGGAAGAAAGTCGGCCGACCGTGAACTAGATAGCCCGGCGGAGGAGACGAAACGGTCTAGAGGTCGCCCGCGGCTTGAAACGAAGGACCAAACCCCTGGCGAGGTCAGTAGATGCCTTCAATTTCTCTCCCTTGCATCGATTTTCGTGTGGAGTTCCCTTTCATGTTTAAATTAGTAGACTGCTTTGCTCTTGAAGATTTATTACTTCGTAGAACCTTCTTACTTAATGTGAAGATGTATACTTACATCTGACCTAGCGGCGACGGACACAAATTCGACTTGCGCAGCGGGCGTACCGTAATAGAAAAGAAAATGCCATCACAGACCTTCAAGCTAAGATAGACGACCTTAAGAATGTGAACAGCGAAATCAATAATGCGTATCACGACTTGTTTAACTATGCCTCTCAGCGTGGACTCCTGGCTCAGGCACCCGAATTCGGCCAGCAACTCCAAAAGCTCCAGACGCTTATCAAACAGACTCAAGAACAGGAAAACTCTCAAGTCAATGAGCATGATAGTCCAGAAGGGCACTCCGATGATGGTCAGGGAGATGTACAGAATCCTGAAGACCTTGTTACCAACGAAGAACCCGTATCTACGCTACCTAATGATCAGACGCCAGCTCTATTGGGTGGTATTACGGTTTCACATGAGCCCGTGGTCCAACCGGAACTTGATGCAACATTCGGCCTGGACCCTGTGTTAAATAACGTTCATGCGCACAACTATGAAGTTATCACGGCGCCGACTTTTGAAAACGCTAGCTTTGGTCCAAACGTGCCTGTCGACGCAAATTTTTTAGACCCAGCGCATTCCTCCTGGGCGCGTCATCCGGGGAACAGGCTGACAGGCCCACACACCATGTCTTTTAACGAGTGGTCGTTTGCTCGAAGGTTGCACCGCCACACGATTGAAAGGGCGACAGCTCTTATCTCAATGCCTAACCCACCTCCGGCTAAGTTGACGCGCGTTTTTGGGTTTGTCATGTTGTTCGAAACCGTCGACGAGATTAGATCGCGGACGGTGGCTATGCTCGACAGGAATAAGAACGAGCCTTTGAACTATTGGAAGTACCCTTTTCATAGGCTCGGCGGCTCCGGTACTCACTTCCCTGATCAGGCGGGACCATCCAGTCTTTCGGGCTCGTCGACCTACCAGAGCTCAGGATTCGGGACAGGACCCTTCAATGAGCGGACAACGAGGGTAAACGACACCCTACTAGGGGTTTCCCAGTACATCAATATGAGCGGCTGGGAGGGCACATGGTTCGACTCGGACGAAGTGGAGACTTATCTTGCACAGAACGGAGTGATTATCCCGACGGCGGCCGATATACACACAGTCGAGATCCATCCGGGGGCGTTTTCCGATGTACAGGTACAATCTCATCCTCAATATATGCAAGATATCCATCCGAATGCAATGCATATACCGCACATAGACGCATCATTCACTTTAGGAATACCCGCTACCGTTTCGTCTACGATAGGAGATCCTTCCCTCTCGACCGGGTCTGATACCACTACCCCTAGTACAGTTCCCCCGTTAGTAGGCAACTCTTGGCAGTCTATTCCCACCTCCTCAAACTTCTACGGCGGTACACAGCATACAGAGCAAGTCACCCCGCCCTTTACCGGCTTCGACGACGTGACGGCCAATACATTTGTTAATCCTCCGTCGTACTATTTTCCGCATCACGAAATCGAGGTACCGACCCCGGTAGCAACACCGAGGAGAGTCGTTCTGGATGTGAATCAATTTATTTCAGGTGAGATGATGTGCACTCTTTTGACAAAATTGATGGCGAGGACTGATTTTCTTGTAACCAGGATTGATTTCATCTGCTACTTGTCTTGGACGAGCCCCTTCTTTTAGACCTAAAGACATCGTGAGCTCGTTCTGGAATGCTGTGATTGGTTAGACTTATATATATGATAAGGTACCTAAGGTTGGTGTTAAATAAAGTAAAATTAGTGCGGTTGACTTATATATTTAGAATTTTGGATGGCGTTGGACTTTGCCTTATATGAATCTCTTTACTACTAATATGCCAAACTCAGTTTAGGGCTACATTGAACACGGAATGCTATTAGTTATTATACGTAAATAATAGGGAAGGAGTATATGTGCCTATATAGCGGAGACTATCACTTATATACTTGGGCATATCTTGTATTTCACGAGGTGAGATGGCCGTCCGGGATATTGGCTAGACACTCGAGCTATCTTCTCTATCCAAGTTTGGGAAGAGTTCCTTCCACATCGCGCCGTGTAATTCTTGCATCTTGGCCTCCCAATGCTTCCTCCTGTTGGCATCCCTTTCCGCCTTCTCCTGTTTAGCTAGTTTCTCTTCTTCCACAATCAGCTTGCGCATGGCGTCTGCCCGCGCGACCTGCTCCTCCCGTTCGCGGTTTAGCACGTTTTGCGTGTATATGATGCCCTGAAGGTAGACTGTCTGCCGGAATGTCTCACCCCGGAATTCGCCCCGTGCGGCATCTGCCTCGATAGATTTTATATTCAAACGAGTATCATTACCTCGTCTGTTACCCCCGTCCCGTTCTCCCCTTTCTCGCGTTGATCTCTGCTCAAGCAACATCGTACCCATCATCCATTCCCAGTCGTCCTCGAGCTCTGCGGCGGGGATGTCATTCTCATATAACGATTGTACGGCCTCTAAGCGCTGGACGCGCTTGCGGATCCTGTGTCTTAGGATATGGCTTAGATACATCGGCTGGGGCTTCTTGGTACGTAGGAACGGGGTATCCGACGCCAGATCTATATGCGGTACGCGCCGCCGCCCGGAGCCGCCGAGTTCGGACGCGGGCCGCGGCCGTGACGGTATTGCAAATACAGGTTTCGGGTTGGGGTTCCGGGCAGTAGGCGCAGGCGTTACGTTTACGAGAAGAGGCTCTGCACCTGGCCACGGCCTAGAGAACGGTTTGGGTGGGGTGCGGCTGTAGGGGGGATGTATGGCTTTTGCAGCGAGAGAGCGGCTGCGTTCGTCATAGCGATCACGGAGGAATGATAGTATGGAGGTGTGGTCGGCATTGGGGCTCTCGAGGGAAGACGAGGTGGCAGATTGGAGGAGGCCGAGGATCTGGTACCCCGCCTTAAGAGCGGGATATACGAGGCGGGGACTAGTGACGGAGGTGTTCCGGCGGAAGGCTCGTCGGATTAGGTGTTTGATTGGGTTGACGGGACCCCGGGAAGTGGCTAGGTCATCGGGGAGAGGGATGAGCGGGGCTTGCCGTAGGAGCGCGCGGTAGAGAGCGAAGCCTAGGTTTTTGTTAGTTCGTCATGTTAGTCTAATGATATTATGTTGGATAGGAAGAGATTGAATTACATGCTGTCCGATGCCTTGAGTTGCGAGCTGGTATGAAGTATTGTGGCATATGGACATGGAGGCTCCTAAATGTTGGCCACCTCTGAATTTCAACCAAATTCCGGGTTCGCGGGAAGATTTCAATTTTGCGATCGAGGTTCCGAGAGGTTCCAGAATTTCGATAAAATGACGGAATCATTTCCGCTTTGCTTTAGCTGCGCGTGGTCACGTGTGGATTAAATTGTCATCGAGAAGTATCTATGTACTTGTACCTATTCCGTATATACATAAACGCAAAATTGTTGCATTTCCTACCTGCACTACATACATACATAGGGCATCAATGGTAGGGGTTTTCTTTAGTGATTTAACTTTTTATTTCATGCTATGAATCTGGCTAATTCCCAAAGCTCCTCTGAATCGATGTCTCCTGCATCAGGACCGATAGTACCTACAAAGTCATATCGCGTTCTTAGGGGTAATAGGAATTCGTGACGTCCGCCCCTCCCTCTCGTAAATAATGTGCTAAAGAGTAAAAAGCCAAGGTGTATCAAGTTGATATTGAATGTCGGTGTACCATGTGTTGGGATTGTGCATAATACTATCCTAATTGCCGGAGTATACTGATCCCTCGGGCGGCTGAGGGAGCTTCTTGCACGGGCCGGATGCCATATATCTATTATCAAATGATAGTCAGAAATCCGTTGGAATCTGACTTGATTTGATGCTGTTCTCAAGAAGTTTCGTTGAACTAACCTTCGGAGCTCGATCAAGATGGTCTCCATGGTGTTCTCTCTCTTCCAGTGGGCTAAACAAGGCAACTGGTTCGGGTCTACCATTCCATTCTTTTGGTTGACACAGGGCAGATTGACTTGACTGACAAACTGAATCGTGGGAGGCTTGTCGGGATACTGATCGCCGCAGTGCATCTTGACGGAGTAGATTCGATTCTCATGCACGCTCTACACTCAAACCTATTAGCTTGAACTTCTTCGCGAGCGAACGAACGGTGCGCCGGAGTTGCAACTGACGTGGGGAGGTCCAAGAATGGTACCGTTCCAATCAGACATCAGTAGATCTTCGGGATTATCTAAGCCATAGGAGCAAGCCTCTGTTACAGGTATCATACATCACACGTTAGCGAAGGCCTGCAAGACGCAAACGGATGGTTTGGCGGGGGTAGAGTGTGTATATACCAGCTCCTAAGCCCTTCTCTCCCTTTTCCAGCTCCTCCAGAAGGCGGAAATTTCGGGGGACTTTAGCCATATTTGACGTAGACGCTGGATTTCAAGGAAGAAAAAGATGTAGTCGAATGGGCTAGATAGGTATCTTGATAGGCTACCTTGACCAGGGTTATGCTGCTTAAAAGTTGAAAACGTAGTTGACTACATGTATGTGAGAAGAGGAGCATGCAGCCTCATGCTGTTGATAAAGATGGAATCTTAATGATGCGGGATGGTGGGGTTTCTGTCGGGCGCTATGTACCTATGTACTACATGTACCTAATGCATGGACCTGGATGGCACGCAATATTTCGAAGCTGCTTCACGGGTTCTTTTAGTGATTACGTAGCTGTCCAGGCTGCAGTAGGGACATGGCTGAAACCTGTGGCGCAGCTTCTTAGTCACTACCTACCTAGGTACCGGTACATAGCAATTTCCCGGTATCCCGGTAGGGTAGTTACGACGAATCTGGCAAGAACCCTGAAGCTCACCAGTGAAACTTAAACTTCAACTTAAACAGACCTAAACTTTTATTCTTTATTCAATATTCAATGAAATTGGTCACCTTATAAGCGCCTCACTTCTAGACCTCAGATTTGAGTAGTTTTCGTCAGATGGATTCTACTCAACCTGATTGGCCAAGATGACCACTCAGCTCCTCTCCACGGAGTTAACTAATCTCATACAAGAGAGTAAACGAAAGCATAACGATCTTAGACAGGCATGTCCTCGCCCAATCTTTACTTATAACTTGAGATAATAGGCTTTCAGGTTTACTTCTCGGAATTTTAGGGTTTTACTAACTCATTGTCTAGGCAGCTGAGAAGTCTTTGGAAGAGCTGAAGGGAATTCGTGCCGCAAATGAAGCCCAACTAGCTGCTGGTATGCCCTTGTTTTAGACAAGCCCCCGTGTTGGAAAATACTCATGGTAAAAACCAGAACTTTCCCAAAAGGTCAACTTCGTCAACCCATTCGTCATCGCATGCGGGACAAGGAATGCCAAATTTACCGGGATAGCCATTGTCTGCTTGTCACGGCTTATTGTTGCTACTGCGCTCCCGCGATCCAAGTTGAGCCCCGTCTTGGAAGCCTTGCGAGAGGCTACTTCTGCTGGTCTTGATGTGCAACTCAAGATTCTTCAAGCTCTGCCTAGCTTGCTCCAGAACTATTCGAAAGAGATCCAAGGTGATCTGTTAGTCACTGCACTGAACATCTGCTTCATTTTGCAGACGACTAAAAATGGAATTGTCAACAACACCGCTGCCGCTACACTCCAGCAGCTTGTCATGACCGTATTTGAAAAGGTGACGATTGAAGATAGTAAGTTCGATGTCTTCGACTTAATTGCAGAAGCTGACTTGATTCAGAATCAGTATCCGATGGAAGTTTTATTGGCGATGCTCCTACTGGCAATGGCGATGTTCAGCTTCGGGCCGCGTCTATGGATGCCTACCGCATTTTTCGGGACATATGCCTGATGACGGAGAACCAGCGACCAGAATATCTCCGATTTACCGGACTTCCTCAGACATTTGGCCTAGAGTTGATAGAATCGGTCTTGAGCCAGCACGCTGCTATTTTTGTTGAGTCGCGTCATCCGGAACAAGCACATATACTTCGCACGAGGGTAATGTCTTTCGTCATCAAGGCGATATCCGGAAAACCGAACTTTGCGACGTCAGTTCGACTTGTACGTATTTTGTACACGCTATTGCGGAAGCATCTAGATATTTTACTATCGGAGGGTGGCGAAGCTCTTGACACTCTCACCCAGCTGCTGGATCAGGACACAGCTACTTGGAGGAGAGCACTATGCATGGAAGTTTTCCGCGGTATATTCTCCGAGCCTCCTCTTCTTAGACGTATTTTCGCATTTTACGACTCTAAGGAGGGAGAGAAAGATATTCTCAAAAATTTGACCGCTACGTTCGTTAGAGTTAGCACAGAGAAACCAGTGGTTATCGGCTTAGGCCATCAATCTACCATTCCTGTAGCCAACCCGTATGCCAATCTAGGGGGCTCGTCAGATCAGGCGATGCTGGAGGCCAGCGGGGTCACTGGAATTATTAGCGGATCTGTTGGTGAAGGCCATAACACCGGGATTAGCTCTCAATGGAGTACGGTTAGAGTTGCCTGCATCGACCAGCTAGATAAGACTGAACCACCTGCGATCCCCGAGTCATACGTATATGCGTTGACTTTATCTTGCATTACTTCGTTGTCTGAGGGACTAGCTAAGTTTATCTTGCCGCTGACAGTTCCTCCCGACAATCGAGTTCGCAAACGCAGTGCTAAGCAGCAAGAGATGGGGAGAGAATCGCCAGGTCTAAATGAAGACGATAATGGCACCTCGAATAAAATGGCAGAAAGGACTGCCATGATGAGTTCTATTGAGAGATCTGGATCGTTCAAGAAGAATCCAGTGCCTCTCAATCCCCTAGCTGTTAAGGACCACCCCTTACATAACGATGTTAAGATATGTGCGGCTATTATCGATGAATGCTGGCCAGCAATCCTCGCAACGTGTTCTACCTTTTTGTATGCCGCACTTGATTCGGAATACTATCACGGCCTCGTCCGAGCCTTCCAAAAATTCGCCCATGTTGCGGGATTACTCCATCTCGCAACTCCAAGAGACGCTTTCCTTACAACGCTTGGTAAAGCAGCCGTCCCACCGAATGTATTCAGTGCTTGTCTTAATACTAGCCCTTCTAAATCTGCTACTGTTAACCCCGCTGTAGAAGGCCCGAACAGTATTCTGGGTAATGCTAGAGGCCTTTTAAGTGTTGATAGTCTAGTAACCCCGGTGGGTGCCGCTGGTGAGAGACAAAGGCAAGCATCTATGGACGCCAACACCATACCACAGACACTGAATACTCGGAACCTCCTATGTTTGCGTGCGCTCTTAAATCTGGGGATAGCTTTAGGACCGACATTAAGCTCTTCGTGGTCGATTGTCTTGGAAACGCTTCAGCAGGCCGATCTTGTTCTGTTCACAACTGGGAAATCCCCCGGTAGAACCCCAATCGCCGGAAAGGGTCCGGACCCAAGAGCAGAGAACGAAGCTGCCTCGCTCCTAGCCAACTTTAATATGGAAATAAGGGCTGTTGAAACAGCAGCATCCAGACTCTTTGAAAGCACAGTTGATTTTCCTAACGTTGCTTTTGTGGAAGTTGTTGACGCAATTTGTAGTCTCTTAGATCAACAGCCTGACCCAGCTTCAGAACCGTCGAGTCGACCACAGTCATCGCCCTCGTCGCCCCCATTGCCAGGTCTCCGGACCCCGACTGGACCACATCGGAGACTTGTTGGCGGATCTGGGACAGTACCCACAGGGCCCAGCCAAGAGGATCAATTTGCTCTCGCGAAGATCGGTGAACTTGCGGCTATTAATATCGAGAGACTCCTTAGCTATCCTCCTGACGTCTCGGGTTGGGCACGAATCACGTCTGAACTTGTTAAGACGCTGGGTTCCGCTCCTACAGCTGCACAGATTCGCACTCGTGCCGCAGAGATACTCGTTCAACTTGTGTTAGAAGCCGCTAGAGCTGCCGTTAGTCTCGATGATGAGACACGTAGTAGAGTTCAGCTTCGTCTACTGGAAGCGCTTCGCGATTCTTTATTGCCATTACAGATAGAAGACCGTGCTACATCTGTGACCACCCATTCGACGGATGTTGACATCCACAAGATCCTTCTTGAAGGTCTCAAAAGCTTACTTGATGATTGTGGTGATGCACTTCTGAGTGGTTGGGAAATCACGTTTGAGGTTATTGGCAGCATTTTCATTCAGAGGAGGTTCGCTAACGAGAGCACACGAGACGTCGAAAGTCAATCTCTCATCCTATTGACACGATCTGGAAAACTTATCAGGTCTGCATTCAATTCTTTACAGTTGATCTGTTCTGATTTTCTTGGGTCATTGCCTAAGTCATGCTTTCTAATTCTTGTTGATACCCTGTATAAATTCTGCTCACAGGATGACGATTTGAATATCGCGTTAACGGTAAGTCGTGAATTGATCTTTTTTTATTCAATGTACTAATACGTATCTTTGTTAGACTGTTACTTTCTTCTGGGTGCTTTCTGATTTCCTTTCGGGGAGGAGTCGGTCGCTTCCGATCACTGATAGTCTTATTGATGATCCTAATGGTGTGTCATTGGTCGAGAAGGCCTCAAATGCAGAGGATGCATCGTCTGATTCAGCTTTATGGATGCTCCTCCTCCTGAGGTTGACCACTGTAACCACCGACGAGAGACTTGACTTAAGAAACAGTAAGTCTCCGGAGATTATATTCTGCTACTACGCTAATAATTCATCAAGGTGCTATCCAGACATTACTACGGATTTTTGATGCGTACGGAGATAGGCTTAGCCCAGAGGCATGGTCTGTCTGTATCAAATCTGTTATTTTCAAGCTTCTTTCGTCTATAGAGAAAGAACTTGAAAATGTTGGAAGACCGGAAATTGATGAGAAAATCCGCCATGACTGGTATGATACGGCCGTCGTTGTGCTCAGCGGCATATCCAGCCTCCTTGCCAATTACCTTGATGTGTTGACTGTCCATCCCACATTTAACTCCTATTGGCAACAACTTCTGGGACATTTTGCTTCTTTACTTGACTTCCAAGTTTTGGAAATAAGCACGGCAACATTCAAAGCGCTGACCCAGATGCTCTCGCAAAGCCAGAATGGCGCAAAACAGAATTTCAACAAGACCACAATTGATCTGGCCTGGGACTTATGGTCCCGCGGTGTCCCGGTTTCAAAGAACGGCAACACAGGAAGGATCACAGATAATCAAAACTGTCTTCTTGCCTATGTCGCGGCTCTTCGCGATGTTTATCGTCTCATACAAGCTGACCTTACCGTTGACCGTATTCGCCGAATGCTGACGCTATTACGAGAAGTTATGCAAGTCGCTACTCCTGGGACGTATGTGGCAGATATTGAACATCTTACACCCCTGCAGGGTCAGGTACTGGATGTGATCAAAATGCTCAGGACTGACTTACGAGGGGCGCCATCCGCTCTGATATCTCAGACATCTGAATTTATCTCGCTGGCTTTCCTCGAAGAATATGACATGTCGAATCAACGGAATTCGCAGAAGCGCACTTACGTTGCTATGTCCAAAGCCAGCATGTCGATTCTCCAGTCTCTCATTGTGAATCACGCTGCCGATGTAAATATTTACAATGACGGCGCATTCCTGACTGCGCTAACGGCTTTGTCGCGGCCAATTGTGCTTAAGTATCAATTTCCCATTATCACCAAAGCAGAGCAGCCGTGGAAGCAATCAACAACATCCGCTCTGGTCATTCTCGAGGCCACCCTCCCGCAGCTTCAGAAACTCGACATTTCACGGTTAAATCTACAAGATATTTGGGAAATGGTTGTTACCATTGCGAACGGAATTATCAGTGCAGATTGTGATGCACCACCAGACCGGGTCAATATCGCAGAAGATCAGAACATCGATATATCCTCGTTCTTGAAACTCCGCGAGCTCATCATCCCCTCCTTAGGTGCGGAGGTAGTAGCGGATAAGACGAGGAAGGTATTCGCAGAAAACCTATTTCGCATGTCTATTATACATACACCGGCCCCGGCAGAATCTTCTCTCATATATGGGAATAGTGAAGGTGATGTAGTTGGCCTGTTGAACCTATATAAGCCACGGAGTGGTCGCACCGTGGATCCACCCCCAGCCAAGCGTGAGAAGATGTGTTACGTTTGCCTCGACGAGTTGTTTGCGTTGGTAACAAGTCACAATGAAACATCAACGCCTCATATCACAGTCCAGCCGCCGACCCCAGCTTTCCCGCCACCCAGCTTATCGTCAGCAGCAGGTAACATGACGCTCGAATCTCCACATACTCTGTATGTGCGGTTAGCACAAACGGCAGCGCCGTATCTTATCCTAAGGGCCGCTCTTACGCTAAGAGCCTATATCGCAGACCAGCCGCTGCGTGGGCATATGCCGCAGCCATTGAGCCAACGTAAGGAGCTTACACGGGTGCTAGAAAGGCTAGTCGAGCTCAAGAGCGAGCCGGAAGCGATCCCGGATACACCCAATGTTGAGAGCGAGAGTCGTAAACATCTACTTAGGCTTTATCCGTTGCTGGTTAGTGCGACTAAAGTCACAGGGGCCAGCGGGGATGAGAGTGTATTAATGCTACTGACGAAAGCATTAGAGGTCATTGGGTCCGAACTGGGGATTTGAGGTTGAAGCTTTCTAGTAGGCTGATAATTGCCTTAGTAGACTAGCTATTGTAAGTTTATCAGTTACTTGGTTGGCTAGACTTGATTTACTGTCGTCGTATAAGACTAAATAAACATCGATCAATTCCAAGTAGATCCTTACATGTATAATGGCAGCGTAACAATAAAGAAAATGTAATTCATTTGTCTTAATTTGAGAGTAGGTTTATATTCATCTCGATATTCCCGGGTGAGTTTTACCTAGATATCTGATATACTACCATCTCCTAGGCCTTCGGTTTGCCTCCTAAGGGGTTGTGAGTTGCGTGTGATAATGTCCCGGGAAGTTACAATCGGTATACATAATATAGGTTAGATGGATAAGGGGATAGAGAGTATGTTAGTGAAGGAAGTTGAAGAGATGATGAGATTGTGTATGCTCCCCCTCAATGCTCGCCGACGCCATGCTCTGCCCTTTTTATAAATGTTTTTTCTTCACCACTACCGAATAGTCCCCGTTCACACTTTTCAAATACCAATTGAAGGTACAAGAGATGCTTCCTGGTGGTACAGTTGAGCTTTTTACCAGCCCAAATCTTTTTTCATGCCCCTTCTCCTTTACCTGCCTTCCCTCGTTGTCCCCGTAATTCATAATAATGCACCTGCTCCTCAAAATGAGACCTTACAGAATTGCTTCTTTACTTCCTCTTAGCTGTGTTGTCGAACTCGCGCACCATCGAATCCACGACGCTCTGGCTAGTTTTAGGTCCGGTTGATTCCTCTGGAGTCGATTCGCCCTTCTCCGCTAACTGCTTGGCCATGGCGCGGCTCTGGGCCTCGCCTACCTTGCCGTACACACTGAGACCCGTAGCGATCATACCACCGATATCGCCCACGTTGCCCGGGACTACGATGGCGGTACTCTCACGTGCTAGCTTGCCGAAGGCGTCGACGTATTTCTCGGCCACGTTTAAGCTGATAGCACCCTGGGCCGAAGAGCCGCCACTGCTGATACTGCGGGCTATAGCATCGATTCCAGACGCTGTGGCCTTGGCCTTCATAAGAATAGCCTCAGCCTCACCAGAGGCGCGATTGATCTGCTCAGAACGCAAGGCTTCGGATGCCAGAATGACACTCTGCTTCTTACCCTCGGCAATATTTATGGCACTTTGGCGCTGACCCTCAGATTCCAAGATCTCAGCACGCTTGGATCGCTCAGCTGTAACCTGCCTATGCATAGCTTCGACAACGGCGGCCGGGGCGTGGATATCGCGAATCTCATAACGTAGACACGTGACACCCCAGGCTTGCGCTGCTTCGTTGATGGCTGCGGTTATATTGATGTTGAGAGCGGCGCGTTCTTTCAATACGTGGTCGAGGGTCAGTTGACCGATCTCGCTGCGCATGGTGGTCTGGGCGAGCTGGGAAATGGCGTACTCGGCATCTTCTACACCGTAACTGGAGGGGCAGCGTATTAGTAAAGTGGTAGTGACGTGGGTTGCTTGTACGAAAAGATGGTTGGGTATGTGGAAATATATGGGTGAAGTAGAACGGTGTATACATGATTTTAGACATACCTAGCCTTATACGCGTCAAATACGCGGGTATAGAGTACACCATCCAGCTCCAAAGTTACGTTGTCGGCCGTGATAGCACTTTGGCTAGGTATTTCGATGGCCACCTCCTTCAGGCTCTTGACGTAGGCGATTCGGTCGAGAAAAGGAACGAGGATGGCAAGACCGGGCTCGAGAATACGGTTGAACTTTCCCATGCGCTCAACAATCCATGCTGTCTGCTGGGGCACGAAGCGTATGATGGTGTTGGCGGGGAGGGAGGGGCGTTGGAAGTAAGAGGGCGGAATGGTACCGAGGCCTGATATCCCGGGTTGTGGTGGTGCTGGCGATTTCGTGGTGTTGTGGAAGGTTCTCAGAGCGCCCAATGTCAGGGTCGGGGTCAGTAAAGCTCGAGATGTCGGGTAGGTGGTGCCTCTCCGTAAGGCGGACGAGACGACCTTCTCAGCTCTAGTCAGCGACATTATTGACCGCTGCCACATATACAAATTCCTATTTTCTTATAGTTATTACTACTATTGGAATTATGTTAGTGGTAGAATGGTAACAGGCTAGCTGTTAGAGGCTGAGAACCACGTCACGGATCGTGCGCTGAGGTTGGATGGAACTAGAAGCTCGAAAATGCGAATGATGACATTTTTAAGAAGCTCCCATTTAATTCGAGTATTAATTAATTAATTAATGGCTCGAACCTCGGAATCCGGAGTTTGCCTCGAGCTCGGACCAGGTACATTGTTATGTAATCTGCAGTGTATACTATGTAGTTGCATACCTGATACCTGTTAGTGGATCTCTGGTTTATAGAACTATCGGAATATGCTCGTAAGTAATGCAACTGCGGTTTACTGATATCTCCTCCCCCTGTTTAACAAAGCACAGAGAGTATCACAGAAAGTATCAAAAAGGTTATCATACCTACCTACCTAGGTACCTACCTCATATCATAATCAATGCCAGCACCAGTAAACAAGATCACTACAATGACGACTAACTAGACTTTAACTCCATGACATAGCTATTTCACCTAGTTGGCGCAATAGGTGTTGAGAATCACGCAGTCGATGCCGCCAGAGTCAATTTGGAAGGTAGAATTGCATCCCAAGATGTTCGCAGCTTGGCGATTTCTCCAAAATGAAGCAAAAGCCTACATTACTCCCCAATTATTTATATTCGCACCAATTGCGAATCTTTGAAAGAGAACAGTTCATCTGCCAATGCTACCGCGTAGTGCTGAACTCGCCATCGGGGATCACATCACCTTATTGCTCATGGTAAGCAAGCCAAACCCTGACGGTATATATATATATACCTATATACCTATATATATGAAGGTAATTTGCAGGATTTCTCTTTTCGCTTCACAAGCTCTTGATTTGCTACTTCTTCCTTCACAATGAAGCTTTCTCTCTTAGCTCCAATTCTAGCTTCTCTCGTTGCAAGCGTTCCAACAGCTCCCAGAAATGATGATGTCGTATCCTACGATGGATACAAGGTCTTGCGGATAAACACGCATGGGCACCCATCGGCTACTAAAGGGAAACTCTCGGGAATACTTTACGAACAGTGGAACCGGGATGTCTACAAGCACCTAGATATCCTCATTTCCCCTGATCAGGTTGTCACGTTCGAAGCACTTGACCTTGACTACCAAGTTATGCACAAGAACCTGGGAGACTCAATTTCATCAGAGTCCATTTCGAAGTCTGTCTTCTCCAGACAGACTGGAGATCTCTCGTGGTATGATTCGTACCACGACTATCAGGATCATATCCAATATTTCGAGGATTTGCAAAAGTCATTCCCAAACAACTCAGAGCTCATTTCATCTGGCACCTCTTATGAGGGGAGAAATATATACGGTCTCCATCTATGGGGCGCGAGTGGACCCGGCAAACCGGCAGTACTTTACCATGGAAATGTGCATGCTAGAGAATGGATTACATCGCCGGTAAGTCTTAGTCCTGTGCTGATATAGATAATATGAAGCTTACTTTTTAGGTCGTCGAGTACATAACGCTCCAGTTAGTTAGTGGCTACAACGACGGCGATAATCTCACTCGTTCCTTTTTGGATAAGTACGACTTCTATATCGTACCAATTGTGAACCCAGACGGTGAGTATTGTATAGTCCACGCCTCGTAAGGGACGACTAACTGACAAGCCAAAGGTTTTGCGTATTCTCAAACAACTGATCGCTTGTGGCGCAAGAACCGCCAACCGCCACCTGGGAACCAATCTTGTATTGGTCGGGACATTAACCGTAATTGGGAATTTGCATGGGATGCGAACCCATTAGGCGCCTCCACAAACCCATGCTCGCAGAGCTATAAGGGCGAGGCACCTTCTGACACACCGGAGAACCAGGGTTTAGATAAGTTGGTACGTCAGTTACGCGATGGCGCAGGCATCAAGCTATACATAGACTGGCACAGTTATGGACAGTATATTCTATCGCCATTTGGGTACAAGGAGACGCTATACGCGCCCGAACTTGGAAAATGGACCAAAGCAGCTGGCATCGTCAGTGAAACAATACGGGATAGTTCAGACGCGCGAACTACGTTTACTTTCGGGCCCAGCGGAGCAACTCTGTATCCAACGACAGGTGCGGCGCCTGACCATGTTTATAGCATTGGCCGTGCCGAGTTCTCCTATACCATCGAACTCCGGGACACGGGCAGATTCGGTTTCGTATTGCCTCCTGAGCAAATTAGGCCTACCGCCGAGGAACAGTGGGAGGGACAAAAGGCGTTGCTAAGTTTACTAGACGAGGACTTCTTCGATGGTGAGGGCCCAGCTTGACCATTAGGGGTAGGAGCTTGAGAATATATTCGCATAGTTATAATACTATAATACACAGACTAGGCAGTCTAGGTCATATTGACTAATTGAAAACCTGATCGGAGTGAGATTAGAGTTAACTCGAGCTGACTTGATCAAAGTTGACTAAGTCACACGGAAGGGAGAAGGTCGAGAAAGACCATGGTGAAAAGCCAGACTCTTTCAGAAACTTCCGATCCTATAACATATATAGGTACTTATACCCCTAAACATAACCGGCTTCATATAAGACTAAAGTTTGACATAGTTTAGATAGTATTAGGTAAGTATCTAGGCTATTATAGACCCCTGAAAATTCCGCTTAGGCTCGGGTTGATAGGTTAGAAGAGGGGATCGCTGCGCTTGAGTTCGCTGTCAAGGAGGCGAGTGCCGGGAAGGCTGTTTACTTTGCCCCGAATCAGGAGTATTTCGGGAACGAACTTTAAGCTTATAGTAAAGCAATAGTGCGAGAATCGCTTCTTAGATAGGGGGATTAAAGTTAATACGACGGTATTTCAGCTTGATGAGCTGAAACACAAGGCATAATATTTCATAGGGTGTAGGGAGAAGGATCACTTTTGAAGAAGTATTCACATATCAGGCACAAAATCGTGTTCCTGCCAGACTACGGATAGCCGAGGAGAGTTCTACTTAGATATGAATATGAAATTTAGCAATATATTATTGAAGAAATACTAGTAGTTTTCAATTTGGGATGTTACCTAAAGTAGTACCTAACCCCTTGGTTTAGAATAATAAGTGCGTCTATAGCCGAATACTCTCACCTGCCCCCTATTAATAAAATTGACCATCTGCTTCGTATCTAGGTACGTTTTCAAGCCTCACCACTAGGCTTCGCAACATTAGCATATTCTATGCCGCCAACCCAAACCTTGGCAATATCTCTGGTGTTGGAGATATTCACTAGAGGATCGCTGTTTAGTAGGACTAAATCTGCGCGCAGACCAGGCCGAATTGCACCCCTATCGTTCAACTTATGCACTGTTGCAGGAACAATCGTCGCAGCCCGTAAAGCCTCTGCGGGTGTCATGCCAATGCCTACCAAGTTCAGCAGCTCTTGGTGGAGTGAGTCTCCAAAGGGAAAGTAGATTACGGGTAGAGTGCTGCCGACTGCATCTGTCCCCGCCAGTATGGGAACGCCAGCTTTATGTAGGTGTCTTACATTACTTAGTACGTTCTGATATGTCGCATTGGCCGAGTTGTTCCCACGCAGAAACTGCAGTATCTCTGGCTGTATAGTGTACGCGCGGCGGAATATCTCTATAGTCGGAGTAGAAGCCAGATTGTATTCCTTCATCGATCCGACAACGGAGGAACACAGTACGCCGTCATCGGGAATATGCTGCACGACGTCTATCCCTGATGATACCGCCCGCGTGAAGGCAGAGACACTGGGCGCATGCGCGACGGCAAAGTGACCTAAAGAGTGCGTATAGTTGACTATTCCGTTGAACTGATTCTGGGTCGGCCCGTCAGGTGCACCTACGACCTTAAAGTAGTCGGAGCCGTTGCCGAAAGAATAGTCGACGAGGGACCTGGGGTCTGTGTTAGGATAAAGTAGCTGCTCGGGCGCCACCGGGTTGAGGTTAGAGTTCCCACCGGACGGGGTTAGGGCAGATAGCATGGTGGTAAAAAGCGACGTTAGGCCTGGATTTGACCTGAGAGATTTGCAGAGATCGATGTCTGAGCAGGCCATGTTGAATATCGTTGTAACACCGTATGAAGTCATGTTTTCGAGGCCTTCGACCGTCACCACGTGTGTGTGAGCGTCTATCAACCCGGGAATTAGAATGCGATTGCCACCGTCGATGGTTTTCTCGATGCCCTCATCGCAATCGGTAATGTATCCGCCGTCGATGATGACGGTCTGTGGCTTGCCTATGGTATAGCCATTGAAGACTCGCACATTCGTTATTGCTGTTTTCACGAGTGCCGGTACATCTCGCTTGCTGAGAGCATCCTCTACATCGCGTAGATGAGGCGTACGAACATGATCATGAAGGCAACCCCTTGAAAAATTAAATAGTGTAAGTAAAACTGAGGCGAAGCGTTTCAACTGCATTTTTTCAGGAAATTTTTGACAAGCCAGACGAGGTATCAAAAATTGACAGGAAGTTGAGCCTGGCGCTGTTTATAGCACGCTATATAAATATATTATAATTAAAAGGAAGCGGCCGTGAAGTAACTTCTTTATATATGCACGACATGGCAATTTGAGTCCGTAAGGAGATTCATTTTACGGAGAAGTAGATATGACAGTGAGGACGACTTCATAGCCTCTTCACCAGAGGTCATACATGGTGGAGGAACAAGGTTCTACAGGGATGCTCGTACTCTAGACCTAGGTATGTAGAATGGTAAGAGGTGTCGGCAGTGCCACAATGATGAGTCTGACGTTTCGGGATAATACCACCGCGCGTAAGGTATAATTGCGCCTGAGACATCCTAGCAATGTTTTTTTCGACAATGATAGGAGTAAGTTTCGCGGGAAGTAAACGCGAAATCCGCTTGTCGAATCTTACCAATAGGTGTAGCCACCAAATTATTAGTCTGAGTCCAACCCTCGTAGGGCTTCTCTCGGTTACAAGATCTAAAGTCGTTAAGGATATCCGAAAGACTGCACCGGCCTTAAGCGAAAGTCACTTGCAAACTTCTTGATTTCTTCATAGGGCATAAATAGTATACTATATCTTAGTAAAAATCATAGTCTGTTATTTAACTCCCGCTCTTCATGGAGTATGCTCAAAATAACGAGCGTCGGAGTGGTTCCCGACAATTTCACAGAAAGTCCCGCAATAAGGTGAGGCATTCTTCCAATAAACATCTACCTAACTCCCTATTATCTTACAGGGTGTTTAGTGCAACCCGCAGCCACCTATCTGTGCTAATTGTCATAGACGTAACGAACCCTGCTCTTATACTTCGCCAAACGCTTATGAATTGGCCCCTAGGTATTCGATTTTCAAAGTACCAAGCGAAAGCCTCTGCTTGGAAATCTGATGTCGGTAATAACTCTATGGATCTTACGCACTTTACAAATACGGAATTCCATTCGAATTCCCAGGCTCTCTATGATGGTAAGAGCCTATACGGGACGTGGCAACAGGTTTTAAGCCTCGTCGTGTAGGCCTTGGAATGTATCCAGATGATGAAATTCAGCCAACGCTACATACCCTGCTCCTTACACCTGTTATATTCTTAGCCACAAATACGGATCCGTACAGGGGGTTTCTCTAAACCCCACTACATATGCCATAATGCATACGAATTTGGTGTGGGAGGGTGTTGATTGGCAATAGATAGTCGGACCATGCTAAATCTCGATTGGGATACGACTCAGTCGAGTGCCCCCCATTGCGTCACTGATACCTGACCTTACCGCAGTGTATATGAATAGATCAAGGTATGTTCCAAAGTGCTATTTCGAATCTAGAAAATAAAATACACGGAATTACTATCGGAATTACTACAAAGTGTTGGCTTAACCTAGGTTTATCTGATACCGATTGTAATATTTAAAATAACTAAACCGAAGAGTGTATCAATACAACATGTCATCTAACGACGATAATACATTTCAGCAGCCCCGCGAACAAAGCGAGGGACAGCAGGAGAAACAAGAGCAGTCAACTTCGCAAGCCGAACAAGAACAACAACCGGCAGAAGATCAGAGTAACAGTCAGGATCAATCGCAACAGAATAGCGACCAACATAACGAAAATGAAGCGAGACAACGCGGCGACAAGGCGAACGAGAACGGCGACGAGAAGGGTGAGAAGGCGAACCCTCGGGCCCAACCCAAGGCCAAATCTGAGAAGAAGAAACAACCTCAAACTCAACCTCAACCCGCCCGCGCCGAGTCAGAGAAGCCTAGTCGATCACGACGACGCCGCCGTAATCATCCGGCGTGGATGGATGAAGATAAGGAGAATGGCTACGAAAAACAGGTGGCACCTCGTAGGAAACGTCAGCCGTCACTACAGTACCAGCCCCAACAGCAGATGCAGCAGCAGCAGATGCAGCAAGTACAGCCACAGCCTCAAAAGCAAGATGGTGGAAAGAATCCGCTGAGGTTGCGGTTGGATCTCAACCTCGAAATAGAGGTGACATTAAAAGCTCGGATCCACGGTGACGTGACTTTGTCTCTCTTGTACGTGATGATAACCCTCTTCTTGCCCTTGAACACCTACTGCCTTGAAATACTTTGAGATTGTCTGAAAGACGTTGGATACCTACTGAACTGACTCTACCAAAGTGACACTTAGTTCAGTTTAACACAAGACAATTGACTAACAACCTTACTCGCCGCTAATAGGGAAGGGTTATGAGCCTGCATCATTTGGCTGTAAGATGTGCAGGGGAAAGGGAGTTACGAAACGAACCCTTCGTTATTATAAATATGCGATAATGACTGCCTTATTTTAACTCGTGCCGATAGCAAACGGATACATTGCTAAGCTTCCATCTTCGTAGGCGTTGAGGATAAAAATGCTTTAGGGGTTGAGGGGCTGAGGGGTTAAAGAGGTTAATACCTATGGCTTAACTATATGAGCGATACAATTCTGTAATTACCATGATGCTTTCATTCTAATAGGTAAAGAAGTAATTAGCTATAAGATGCTAGTTAATAATTTGGACTCGTTGGTCTGAACATTCCGACAATCTTTTGTGAAGGCTTCAGGTGAAAAGCCGAAGATGAATTTGAAATGAAGATAGTTACGAAGTACCTCTTTGGGTACAAAAGAATGTGGCTGGTCACTTCGTGTTGAAAGCCACACACAACGGGCGAACTTCTAGATTCGTTGTTGTTTTTGTTTTTTCTTGTCCAGGATTTCCCTGTTTTCCAACTTTTTAATTCTTCCGAATCTCTCCACCCTCCTTACGCATCACATCATACCTATTCTTACCATTTTCTACTGTGTCACCAAGCCTTTCTGTTTTTCACTTTGCTGGCTGGTCATTTCTGATAGCTTAACCTCTCATATTTGGGGGCGAGAGTTTCCATCCAACCCACAAGCCCAACGGGCATTTTTCCAGTACAAGTGTATGGGTACCTATTTTATACATGGAGTTCTACCTAGGCCTCAGATATGAGATCCTTCTAGTGGCTATGACTTTAGAGCGTAACCTTTTCCTATGGAAGTTAAGCTCTCCTCACTCACTATTAACAACTCATCATAGTACGGTGGTTTCCTATTTCCTATTAACAAAACTTCCACGTACATACTATGTAGCAAGCCAGCTAAACAAGTCTACGAGCCTGCTCGAATCCTTGTCGACTTGTCTATACATATGTACCTATAGTGTATGTAGGTACAGATGGGTTACAGGGATCACGATTTGATAGGGCTCCCTCCCCTCACCGGCTCGTGAGACTTTCTTAGGATTCGCCTTCTCCTGCTACCTATGACGTAAGTGAGACCGAGTAGGATGTCTGGTAGAATCAAGTCCTTTACTATCAAGCCCCGTACCATGGCAGTATGGTCTACATTCGCTTTAGAGTTTCGCGCTATCACTCCTCCTCCACCTACATCTGGTGTTTTCCATATCTATGACACGCGATTTACGTTGTTGGTAATCCATGAGTAAATGACCCCTTTACCGCCGGGGTCCGGGTTTGACCTTTTCTGTCATATCATCCTAATAGTATACCTTGCCATATTTATCTTCCTCAACGCCAACCAAGTTCGAAATCTTGTCTTAGCTATGGCCGACATGATGGATCCACAGACACCACAGACACCACAGACACCACAGACACCACCTAGGAAACTATTCAAGCCTTCGAGTAAAACGAAGACGCCAACTCCTTCAAAAAAACAAAGACCAACTACTTCTGCTCACTCAAGTGTTCAATCCCGTGAAGTCCTGACTCCGACAGAGACAGTTAGTCGAAGCACGGGTGCGCTTGGTAGCGCGCTAGAGGCTACGAGTTCTGTAGATAATTTAAGAGGGGGAAAGGACGCGACGGATCAAGCGAATAACCATGTTCAGAGTATTGGCGGGAAGCCTGAAGAAACCCTCAGTTCTTCGAGTAACGATCTCCCCGAACCCTCGAATCCTACAGACACCCTAAATTCGCCGACAGACGTTGCTAGATATTTCGCCGAGCAGGGAAATTTTGAAATGAGTACCTTCGTATCCGCGCTCGCTGGCAGGACTTCACACGACCAGAGAGACGTGGCTAGCAACGGCGTTGGAACACCGAGAGCCGACACTGATACAAAGGGTCACGGCGACAACTTGGTGAATACGGTATCTGAGTCGATAAAACAATTACCTGATGGGCGTACGAAAGAAATACTCGAAAAAATAGCTAGCGACACAGCAAACAAGACACCTAATCTTGCGGGTTCAACTGAGGGAGAAAGTAAAGATTCTGACATAATTGACGAACATTCGCCGAAGGTATCTGATACTAAGAAGCTAAGTCAAGACAATAACATTATCGATAAAATACCGGATCGTCACCAACCTGCAGATGTCTCTAAAGAGGCCGAAGGAGTTACGGGCGGCCCGGAAGGGCTGATATCTGATGCTGCGCCAACTAATATCATCGGCGAACCAAACACGGGTATCCTTTCAGAGGAAGCTCATATTGAAGTATCTAGTGGAGAGCCCGAACCGGGTATTTCGGCTCATGGTACTACGGACGACATTAAACAAGATCTAGCTCCTAGCACTTCGGGAGTTTTAGATGATAATACGCGGGTTGCAGATAATATGGGCCAACCGGCGCATATTGAACGAAGAATTGAGATCTCACTTCCTCGCCCCGAAAAGATTGTTAGCAGCCCCCCTGAACCGGCAAAGCCGGAAGCAAATAATATATCAGTTGGCCTCGGCCACCCCGATGACCTGCCTGATGTCCAAGATTTACCAGGTACAGACGATTTGCAAGATCCACCAGAAGAAGTCTTAGACCCTTCTGTGCACTCTCCGGTTTCTAATGTTACCCCTATTCCGAAGATCCCAAAAATTACACCTATTGGCATGGCGCCGCCTCCTGATCTACTCCTCCTCGCACATGGCCTTGGCGGCGGTGTTGTCGACGATGTTGGCAGCATTGTAGACGCGTCAGGAAAGGTACTCGGTCACGCTACGGGAGACCTCCCTGCTATGATAGGTAGAGAGGTTGCAGACAACGGCGAAGTCTACGGAGAAAGCGGCGAGGTCATTGGATACGTTTCTGAGAATTTCACTAGCCCACCGCCGCCTGTTGATATCCCCGAAAACGTGTTCGGAGGATTGATGATAGATCATGATGGCAATATCCTCGACACAAATGGTAACATAATCGGTCGCTTCAATGAGAAGGCCGGGGAGAATGTCAATTTAGCGCCTTTTATGAAGCGGTTCAAGCCAGAAGAATCCCGGACCGAGGATAGAAAACCTGATGAGAAAAAGCCGAAAGTCAATGCTCATACAGGAGGGAGCCCTTCAGACATCTTCCTAGATGTAAAGTCTACGACTGACGGTGTTCAACTTACAATTCGCATCCCTACGACATTTGGAAGGTAGTCACAAGATTCATAGGCACATGTGCATCTCATGATTTTGAGTTGTATGTCTTTAATTACGGTCAATGGCGCATCAAAAAAGGTCCCATACCATGTGGTAAATGTTAATGAGCTTATAATCTTGGATTTTCTTTTTGCCGCAGAGGTACGGGTACTTCTGAGAGGTAGTGATATTTGCTTGATATCATAGGGAATTGAAAATCTCGATACGAGCAATGTATTTACGAAATTAGTATGTAGCTAGGGGCGAGTCGCCGTCTTCAGAAAGCATGTACCATGTATAATATGAGATGTGAGGAATCTAACTCTTAATGACATATCGGCCGAGAGAAGGCCTACGCCACTAGATTATGCCGCTGATGACGTCTATCTGATGGTGACCCATGTCTAATGTGGCTTGCTAATCTGTAATGAAAACAGGTTGAGGCGAATAGCACCGTGCTCATCCCGCATCACGCATCAGAACTTAAGTTGGTGATTGGCCACCCCTTTGGTACAGATTGGCGAATAGAAAAGCCGGATCCAGTTCAAGATGACCCCTATGAGTCGACTTTTAGCTTTAAGGTATCCAGTGCTGCTTAATACCTACTTAAAAGTATGATACAAGATCAATCAGGCGGCACTGGACTTAAACTAACCTAACCCAACTACTTAACCGTTAACGGCGATAGGGAAGTGTTAATGTGGCTTCCGTGGCTAAGACGAAGGCCAAGGCTTACATGGTATCACTATCCTGTAGCCACGATCATCTATGCCGCGTAGGTATGCGGTTGGGGTGGGTAGAGGGCGTGGTAGCTAGCAGTTCACTACCTACGATCGAGATTCGCAAATGATACCCCTTAGAGTGCCCCTAGACTTGTAGCACAAGCTAGGAAGAGCAAACCTGTTTTTTCTTGCTAGACTTTAGTAAACCGTAACGAATGGCGACTTTGTATTTTTCGATCCCCTACGAAGGAACTATGCTTGTTTGTGGCACACACCCGCACGAGATCGACAGAGAGATGGACCAGAGAGCAGCCTCATTCGTGGCTCAACCTCATCGCGAAGTTTGCTCCAGGAATTCATTGCCTAGGTGTTCCCTACTGATGACGTTCAGAGTTCTGCCTCGTGGGTTGAAAACTATTGTCATGACGTCGAACATAATGTACGAAGGGTCTTCAAGCGAGGGGAAGAGGAAGGGAACCCTGTCATATCTCCTCGAAGTTTCAAGCGATGTTGGCAGGTCCTCCAAACCTGTGACGTAAGTACATTAGCTTTGGGGGCTGAGTTCTCCTATTATATTACATCGTGGTTATACTTCATAAAAGATTAAATTCGCTTTTTTGTGCTCCAAGAATCTCGATATACGGAATCTGATGACTACCTCTTACAATCATACCCCAAAATCCCAATTACCACAGCAAGAGCAAGATAATTCCACAGTAGTACCTATAACATCACGGTATAACATCACCGACCAAAATCTAGTAGCAGTTATACATCCTGCCGCCATGTCTGGACTTGGTGAAACGCAGAATGTTCCGCTAGGCAAGGCTTCAGAGGCTATTCCTGGAGAAGGAGAGGACAGCCAAGCAGCAGCAGCGACGCAAGCCTCAGTACCTAGATCCATCCCGGATACATCAGAGGAGAACGAGGGCGAGATGGTTCCGGCAGCAGGCCGCATTAACGAGAAAGGAGAAGTGATAGACGATGAAGGGAACCCTATTGGTAAAGTAATCGAAGGCGACGCGCAAAAATTTGCCGGCTTCATTGTTACGCAAGAGGGCGATGTGCTGAACGAGGACGGCGGCATAGTCGGTAGAGCCGAGCCTTTGGGTGACGTCCCGTCCGAGTTTAACTATACTACCGAACATGCAAAGGATATCGCTACTCAAGAAGAACAACCAAGTCAAGCTGCCGGTGGCGGCGGTGCGCTCTCTGGCGTTACCGGGAGCCTGGGCCAAGCCGCAAAGAACGTCACCGGAGCTATCGGCGACACAGCAAAGGGGACTGCAGATACTGTTGGGAAGGCGACTGGAGCCAAAGGAGCCACAGATATTGCCGGCGATACGTCAAAGGATGCTACGGGCCTTGTCGGCGATACAGTTGAAGACACCTCGGGAGCTGTAGGTGATACCGTCAAAAATGTTGATGCGCCAACTACCGACGACATGGCTGAGGTTGATAAGAAAACAGCCCAAGGCACTACCCAAGGCGCTACCGAAGGTGTAGAACAGGCTGAAGGAAAGGGAACAGTTGACACCGAAGACATGGTCTCCAAACTCGGCTCGAATCTTGACTTAGGCTCCGAGGCTGGTGGCATACCCCAGCAAGGGCCTGTTCCTATTGATATCCCGCCACTTTCACCATCTGTGGCTAATAAAGTAATTGCTTTATTCGAAGGACCATTCACAGTCGCAGACGGCGGCAAGGTTACTGACCAACATGGCAAGATCATCGGCAAGTTAGCCGACGACTCAGATCTTCAAGACTTAGTTGGCAAGAATGTCACAGGTATAGACGATCAGGGAAACCTCCTAGCTGACAGTGGCACTGTTGTTGGGAAAGTCGATATTGCGCCCGAGGGCTCGATTGCCGAGCGTGTTAAGGAGGCAGTTCCTGAAGCTGCCCCTCGCCTTGACGCCTTGAAACAACAGGTTCAACAAGCTGCGCCAACACGAATTCCACCATTCGCTCCGTCTATCGCTGACAAGGTCATCGCCATGTTCGACGGACCCTTTAACGTCGGCGAGAATGGTCAAGTTACAGATCAGAAAGGCAAAATTCTCGGCAAGCTAGCGGAGGGTCAAGAAATCGAGAACTTGCTCGGTAAAGATATCAAAGGAGTCGACGGCAAGGGAAACCTGCTTGGCGATAATGAAACCATTCTTGGGAAAATTGACTTGGCTCCCGAGGGGTCGATAATAGAACGCATAAAGGAAGAAGTCCCTGAGGCAGCAGACCGGCTTGAGGCGCTCGAAGCTGCCCAGCTGCAGGCCGAGGAACAGGTCAAGCTACCCGATATCGCCATCCTTGAAGGCATGACGATCAATAAAGCCGGCAACGTTGTAGATGATAATGGCAATCCAATCGGTAAAGTCAAAAGCGGAAACATCAGTGAGCTGATCGGAAAGACGCCTGACAAGACTGGGAAGGTTTGGGACAACCAAGGCAACGTTATCGGCGAGGTTGAAGTCCTCCCCGAAAAGGTGCATAATGAAGCCGCGCCATTCGAAGATTTCCCAGACGCGACTGTCGATAAATTTGGCAAGGTTATTTTTGATGGTCGCCAAGTGGGTGTCGTCGTCGGTGATGATTTCCAAAAATTAATTGGGAAGAAGGTGGATGCTGACGGCGACATCCTTGACAAGAATGGCAATGTCCTCGGCCAGGCCCAGCGCGTCGAAGCCGAGGAGCCTGTGGAACTTGAGGAGGAACCCGTCGACTACTCAATGCTCCGCGATAAGGTTGTTAACAAGCTAGGCAACGTCGTAGATGACAAAGGTAAGATTTGGGGGCGTGTCATTCAGGGTATTCTTAAGCAACTCGTCGGTAAGAAGGTCGGTGATAACGGAGAGATCTTCAATGATGCTGGGCAAGTTGTCGGTAAGGCCGAACCTATCCCCGACAGCGAACGCGAGGAAGTAAGGGAGCCTGCGCCCTTTGAGGACTATCCCGATGCTATCGTTGGTGATGAAGGCCGAATTATGTCCAACGGCGAGCAAGTTGGGATTCTGGTTGAGGGTGATCCCAAGATGCTTAAGGGAAAACCTGTAGATGCCGATGGTGATATCCTAGACAAGGCAGGAAACCAACTGGGCCACGCGGAACGATGGGAGCAAGAAGAGCCTGAGCCCGAACCAGAAGTTGATATGTCCGTCCTAGCTGGTAAACGCATCAATAAAGCCGGCAATGCTGTCGACAATCACGGCGATATTTACGGCCGTGTAATTGAGGGTGACCTCAGACTCTTGATTGGTAGGATGTGCGATAAGAATGGCTTCATCCGCGACGAGGGAGGCGATATCATCGGGAAGTGTGAACTAATCCCCGAAGCTGAACGTGAGGGTATGAAAGAGGGCCCTTTCACTGAGCTCCCTGGCTGTACTGTCAACAAGGAAGGCAAGATTGTGACACCCGGTGGCGACGTTGTTGGCCGACTCGTCTCCGGTGAACCTAAAGACCTCTTCGGGCGCACGGTTGATGATGACGGCGATATCTGCGACAAGAACGGAAACGTATTAGGCCACGCTGAGCGTTGGGAAGAAGAGCCAATCCCCAAAGACATCAACCCTATGTCAGGTCGGAGGGTTAACCGCGAGGGCAACATCGTCGATGAGAATGGTGACCTTATGGGCAAACTTACTTCTGGCTTGTTGAGCGAGTGCGCAGGTAAGAAGATCGACGACGACGGCGATGTTATCGACAGCAAAGGAAATGTGCTGGGTCACTGTTCGTTGCTCACCGAGCTACCCGAAGAAACGGAAGAGGAAAAACAAGCCCGCTTGCAGGTAGAGCAAGACCGAAAGATTGCTGGTACAATTGCCTCCTGCGTCGAGCAGTCGTTAGACAAGATAAAGCCTATTTGCAAAATGATCGTTGACGTATGTCTAGAACTATTTCTATTTATATCGACTTCCTATATCTATTTTTATTTTTAAGGATGCTAATTCTACATTTAGAGAATCGACGCCGAAGAGCGCAGACCCGAAGATGAACGTGACGAGGAAGACCTCGTCAATCAAGTCCGCCCCCTGATCGAAGAAGGCGGCAAGATCCTAACCGAAGCCAACGGAGTGATCCGGGGACTCGACCCTGACGGCCGCATCTCGGCTAATGCTAAACATAAGACGGCCGCGCGTGAGGCAAGCCCTGAAGAGTACCGACTCGCGGATCTGTTGAAGGAGCTCACGGGAACCGTGACCGAAACCATTGAAGGCGCCAAGCGCAAGCTTGAGAACCTTCCGCACGCCAAGAAATTAATTAACCCACTCTGGGGACTCCTGTCTGAGCCTCTCTTCCAGATTATTGCGGCCGTCGGCCTCCTTCTTAGCGGCGTCTTGGGACTCGTCGGCAAGCTACTTAATGGACTTGGACTAGGCGGTCTGGTTAATAATTTACTTGGAGGACTTGGTATTGCTGGAGTATTGGATGGCCTCGGGTTGGGCTCAGTGTTGGCTCCCATTACCGTCAAGAAAAAATAGTTTATTAATTCTCCAGCAATATGGGTCTGGATAGGTACCTAGGTAGGAGGTAGTTAGGCTATGTTCTTGGAAGTGGTGTTTCTTGTAATAATATTCGGGGCAAAGAGGTACATATAAAGCCCCCCTTTGATGAGTAACGAGTATACCGAAGGATGTAGTTAGGTAGTTAACAAAAATGATTCGAATATTTGAATAATAATTTCAGGAGATATTGAAACCATATTTCTCTTTCAGTGTAATATTATCTAGCTTTGTCATTGGGAATACCCTCATTGCCAGTGACATGAATAAGGTACCCGCGTACCGAATCTCAGACTCACATGACAGGAGAGACTATGAACTACCTACATCTCTAATTAGACCGAGACTAAGAATTTCATCGAGATTCTGAAGCGTTTGTGACGTTATGGATGACGTTTTACAAGAGGGTATGACAGCCTAGGAGGGAGTAGCTACGCAGTCGACATTTGCCGCGAGCTTGAACCTACGTCGCCCGGACTACAGCTAGTGGCCATCACGACTAAGATCCTCGTTCCTAAAACCCTCGCCTTTAAGATCCATATTAGTATATTGACTCTTCACTTGCAACTCCGACGCAGTATCATTATATCAACTAGTCTGTCCATTTTATTCACTCTTATTAAGGTCTACCGTCCCAGAAGAAAATGCCTCGGACGTTGCTTCTCTGCTTCATACACGGATTCAAGGTAGGATTAAACAAAGCTTATGACAGTACGCCTCTTAACATTTATATCAGGGCGACGATGACACATTTAGAACCTTCCCGGTCGATTTACAGGAGCGGGTATCCGGGAAGCTTCCTGATCACAATGTCAAGTCTATAGTGTATCCAAAGTATGAGACGAAGGGGGAATTAGGGCAATGCTGTGTGTCCTTTCTATCATGGTAAGGCCTGTTTGATTAATGTTCCTCGTATATTTGACGCTCATGAAATATTAGGCTAAAGGAGCAAGTAATGGACGTAAGAAAAGCGCACACCGAGACACCATGGCCGCCGCATGATAGAGATGTAGGGGTAATCTTAGTTGCGCATTCAATGGGGTAAGACAATTACACACACAACGTATGCGAAATATTGCTCATACTACATTTAGGGGGTTTGTTGCTTCAGATACACTTTTCCTAATGCTGAACGAGATGAAAGAAGGGTCACTACTATTCCCCCTAATCCAAGGGCTTCTAACCTTCGACACCCCATTCAATGGTCTTGCGCGTTCAATGTTCGTTTATGGCGCGTTTTCAAACTACCAGAAAGTAAGTACGGTTTTTAATGTCATGACGGCTCTTTCGGCAGCCCCATCGGCTCTTGGGAGATCAGCCTTTAAACAGACGACAGCGCGTTTTCCATCTGCAAAATCTTCGCGGTCGGTTTGGAAGGGATGGCAACTTGTTGCAGTACGCACAGGAACTGTTGGTGCGATAGCTGCTGGAGGTGTCACGGCTTATACACACCGCCAGCAGATTATGAACGGTATGCGTAGCATGCGAAACATCAGTAAGGAGTCCGTTAAAGAAGGATATCAACAGGGCATGGATACGTTGAGCCAGGGATTAGCATATATCAACCGCGGAAATGTTGGACGCTCCTTCGAATATCTTTCAGACCATTTTACATTTGTTGGTACGCTTATGAAGCAACATGAACTAAGCCAAAGATTAGAACGTATGGCAGCGCTAAAGGGTATCGGCATCCATGACTTCTACACATCCTTGGGGGAAAATGGCATGTGGCATGGCGGCTACTTTGTCCCCGAGCGCACATTCTGCGCCATACCAGCGAAGGATCATCCGGCTTATTCTCTCTTCTCGCGGCATATCATCAAAAAGACAGAAGACGAGGTACAAGCACATGTGAGTGTGTTTATTAGAGATAAGAACGAAGAGTATGAACAGATGACGGAAGAGGCCAGTAACCTCGTGATTCGTTGGTTCAATGATGACTCCGACATATTCGATGATCCTCAATTCGCATCACCTCTGCCTCCTGAGCCTGTGGAGGAACTTGTGGCCACAACAGAAGACGGCCAGGAGATTCCAAAGGTAGACCACATCGCCGAAGGCACAGATATAAGTCAGGAGGAGGCAGAAGACGAAGGGGATGATAACAACCTTCCAGATGCGTCACCATTAGATATCACTGCGGCAGCGTCTATCGTCCCACTGCCAGACGACGAGGCTCCATCGGAAAGCGAAGACCAAGATGCGCAGAAAAGGACATACATGCGGTACCTTATGCAAATATCGCAACAAGCAGGTACCGGAGTCAAGTCTTACGTGCCGACGAAGATGCCGGAGATGCCTCAAATCCCGTCAGGGTCTAGTTTCAGATCATATCTCCCTACTCAAATGCCCCAAATGCCCCAAATGCCGAGTATCCCGAGGCCGTCCGTCGGAATGTTTGGCAAGAAGCAAAAGCAAGCGGCGTCGGATACGAACAAACCTATCGATAATTCAGAGCCCGGTGACACTATAGAGCCTCATATAGGGAGGCAGAGAGCCGATAGTGGCGTGCAGCTATCTTCAGAACCTACAAAGCCAACCGAGCTTCATCAAGACCCAAATACAAAAGTGGACTCAACTCCGACCTCGTCCAAATAAGTCATCAGATATCTTAAGGCTAAGATAATGGCAAGTAGTCGGAAATAGATACACGTTCCGGGTGGCAATGTTAGCTAATGTCAAGGAAGTAAAGTTTGGTAGGACGTCATGGACGCGTATACGTATACAAAAAAGGAGTATGAGAACTTAACGTATAAACTAGCTAGGATTAAGGATTTAGAGCAATATTGGGTCTACGTGAACTTTAGAGGGGAGAGATTGATGTCTGTTCTGACGATCCGTACATAGCTCGGAGCAGTTATAGCAAGTGAACGTAAACTAATCGGATGTTCCTCATATTTTAGTCGGACCACGTGTACTACTTATATGACTTCATATCCCACAGTTGAAGCAATAAAGATACGTCATAAAAACATCAAGTTCAAACCTACTTTGCGTGAGCACCGAGGAATTTATGTAACGGGCAACGCAAGACTTGAACTTAACCCTCATAATTCAGGAACAATTTATATCCTTATACCTTGCCAACCGACCTTCCTTTAGGAACTCCTGCTTGAACTATTCATACGCAAAGACATATTAAACAAGATAGTCGCAAACACATACCTAATATTCTCAATCATGGCCGATAACACAGGTAACCAAGACCAAAGCGGAGGCGGAAGCGGCGGGCTCCTCGGTAGCGTGACTGGGGGCGTCGAAAACATCATCACGGGCGGTGATAAGGCCAAGGGCCAGGGAGGACTTGTCGGAGGCCTTGGTGGAGCGGTCGGAAAGACGACAGAAGGCGCCGGAAATGCCCTCAATCAGACGACCGAGGGGCTCGGTAACACGGCCGGCTCAGCAACCGAGGGAGTCGGAAACGTTAGCAAAGGTGTCACGGGGACCTTGGACAGTACCATTAAAGGAGTAACTGGCTCGGGACAGGAAAAGAAGTAGGAGATATGTTTCTTGTCAAGGATAATGAGGACAGCGGGAAGTCTTCAAGATTGGAATAATATAGGTCGGGTGCAATTGTCTAGGGTGTGGGTTGAGTAGGAGAGCCGGAGGGGATGACGAGAATTTGGAACATGAAATTTGGAACATGAAATTCGTCGCCATAGTTGAATACATATCCCCCATATGAAATCCCTTTCTCATATACTACTATTTTTCATTTACCCTTTTGTTTTCAACAGACTCATTTGACTGATTGAGGTGATCCAACTATGTAGCGAGGATTGTGGCGCTGGTGAAACTACCTATAACCTCAACTCGGGATAATATTGAGGTAACTATTTAAAACTTGCATCATGCTCCTCGCGACTAATTACCTACCTGAGGTATCTTATGCTCGTAAAGTTACTGGAAATATTACCGTTTGCTTTTAATTCACTTTACGGTCGTCTCTTATTTGGAATTCATGGGCTACGCCTCGAACGCTGCAACAAGGCGCGGGGCTTCCACGATAAACAATTGGGTCTAATCACCTGAAAATTACAACAGAATCTTAGGTACCTAAATTACTGCGACACAAAATATTAATCGCCTATACTCTCCTCCCTTTAATAGTAAAGCGAACTCCAACCGCAATTCCAATTTCCAATTTCTCGCTCTATTCTCTTTTATATTTATTGAGACTCGGGACGGTGACATAACCAACCAGTCAAGCTTGACCTCCAGGATTACCGACCTAGATCGAGGGGAAATTTCCAAAGGATGAGTGCTTGGCTATGCCGGATGCATCGGCTGCTGCATGAGTAAAGTTCATATCCTTAACTTGCACAGTACTTAGGTAGGCAGCTAGGGAGGCTAGTAATGCCGTGGTGGAAAAGAATATGGAAACGATTGGGGTTTTGGAGTTAATTAACGACTCATGTCGTGCATTACGAGAGGCATTAGGGGTAACATCGCGGGTGAGACTTAGCAACTTTGGCGATCAATCACGACATGTAAACAACCACGCTTAATATCCCCCTAGCAGACAATTTTACATATCGTATAGTTATACTAACGTTTTCCATTAGGATAGGTTAATATTAACATGAATATAAGATTCGGAGTACTCAACTGGCACAAGTTATCAGGCTTGTTTAAAGAAGAATACGTAAGCGTCGAGAGAAGGATCCCTGGTCTACATAGGCTACCTACCTCGTATGATACATACATGAAATACCTTATGTATGCAGGACAGTGGAGTTCATCCACCCGCCCCGGATTTTCCCCAGGTTTTGAACCTCTACATTAATAAATCTTTAACACTATACCCCTTTGCGTAAGTATGATGTTACCTCTCACCGGCGGAGCTCAGCGAACCATAGCTCAAGGTCACGCGATGAGCACACCACCAGTGTCTCGACAACACCTTACTGTAGTTCAACCCCGCCCAATCATTACGAAATTTAGCAGCAGGAACTTGATCAGCTGGTTGCCGATCCATCATGGTTCCTCGCACATTACGGGACAGGAGAGCAGGCCAGAACCCCTCTCCCTCCTCTCCAAGCCCCTTTTTACCCTCCCTTCAAATTGCTCTTCGTTCCCCTCCTCCTTCTCCTCTTTCTGCTCTTTCTCTCTCGTCTCACAGACATTGGCTCTCTAGACATTGCTATTCTTAAAGTTATTGCTATCGTCAACACCACTAGCTAATAAGGTAGCCCCCCCATGCTCTATTGTCTCTCACGAATAATACTATTGTTATGCATCTAACACTAATAACCATTGGTTTATATAGCTAGGATATTGCAAGCCCTAATCCTATACCTATACACCTACCAGCTTATAAATTCACTATGGCGGAACCTCTCACCAGAGTAGACTCGGCCGTCCAGGGTCTCTCCGAGTCACCTCCGAAGGAGAAGATTTCCCATCGTAGAACCAGCTCAAGTGCGGCTGGAATACAGAGCATGAAAGAGTTGAGTGTGTAACCCTATCTACATCTATTGCCAATTGTTTGGATAGTAGTTGACACAGAATATCACAACAGATGAAAACCAAATAGAGATCGATGTGGCAGTGGAATCCCAAGCTACGGGATGGTAAGCCTTTGGACTCATTTCAATTAAACTTCCTAGTTGTCCTTTCTGACAGCATAATACCTCTACGCCGCATTAGCTAATCTTGGGATTCTATACAGGAAGATCAATACATCTCCTTCGACTGTTGAGGATAAGGAGCTTCTGAAAAAGCCATTAATAACGCCGCTTGTAAGGGCTATCGACCTTCGCTTCGATACCGGTGTTGTTGTAACGGCGCGGAACAACAAGCATGGGGTTACTATTAAAGATGCTTTGGACGCAATATATAAGCAAAATAAGAAACGGGTCAGTACTCCTGAATTTTATTTTCTATTTTAATGAATGGTGACGCCTTGGATTCCATTTATTTCATATCGTTCACGTACCTCAAATATTATGGACCCACTAACATGCAATTCACTAGGCCGACGATGAACTCGTCGAACCATACTTAAAAGGATTTGAATGGGCACCTAATCATCCTCAACTAAAAGACAACCCCGCGAAGCGTAAAGAAGAATGGGAGCGGTTGCATATCCACCTTTCTTCCACACCAGGAGTATCAAGTTCTGGTGGCAGCAAGAAAAAGAAGAACAAGCACGCTGAATGATAGCTCGCCCACGCATCTCTGCTTGGTATCCGATTCATCAACAGGATCATAATGGATTATTTTGATAGATAGCTTGGATCATCTTGGATATTATTGTCTATTGTACAACCTTGTCAAATGTAGATCACAAATCTGCCATACTTCCATTCAGAATGGTAGCTCGAGTTTTAAGTTGAAGCTACTACTCGTCAAACTGTCTTAACACATATTACCCTTTAATAAGTACTATATTGACAGCGATAATTCGCTTTTATATAGATAGTGGTTAAGTCGTTCCTTGGTTTAAGGTATAATACCAAGATAAATGTGCTCTAATATTCGGCACGGAGTTGTGTAACTTCGTCTAGACGCTTTATTAGAGCATACACATAGTTCACCTTAAATTTCTCTTGTCTCGGTACCTTGTTAAATATGGGTTTGATATCTAACCTGTTAAGTCGTTGATACTATAGGAAGCTTTAACACCTATTCCGCGTATAATTTACTTTTTATTTCAGTATCGGAGTTAGATAGCACATATTGCCATCGTAAGTTTCTTCGGATCTAGCGTATCTGACGTATGAAAAATGTTTAAATAATTTTAATAGTTTCGAGCGGCAACTCGCTATATATGACTTTTTCGATATCACAATCTTTGAAATCTTCGAAGTCGACTGTCTCTTTCAGACTTGCGCACCCGACACGACGGTATGAAGTCCGGGACTCGTCGGCGGGGACCAAGGCCAGACCATGTGCTGTTACGAAGGAGTATGCTTTGCTGATATCAAACCCTAGCATCAGGATAACTACTGTTTCGTGGAAGTCATCCACGGTGTCGAATTGCAAGTAACCCCCTTTCGAATCCCCAAACTCTAGGAGACTCTCGGTATTTGGGTGGTGAAAGGAACCGATTATATAGATATCGTAATCAACAGGACTTTCTTTATGCAACCTCATGTTCCGTGCGGTACATATATGGCCACGTAAGGTGATGGTGCCGCTGATTACTTTCCCAGCCAAGTCATCCGCGTGAGGGGTTATTTTCGCCCCGAGGACATCGGCGTGCCACCGGATATGGCTTGATGGAGAGCAGGAAACTTCCCCATCAAGGGATGCCCATGACCATGAAGGCGCTCTGTATGGCGATACACGGCATGCCCTTACCTTAGGTCTCCAGAGTAGGGCCTTGGGCATCATATGCTTCCATAGGCCAGCCAGATAAACATCGCTCTCAGAACCAAACTTTTTCCTCATTACGCTACCCATTCGCTTTGCCAACCCTGAGATAGCCACCAGCTTGTCGCTGGGGAATGTTAAGTTGCATTGAGAATAGATCTGTACTGTATGTGGCCAATCTGTTTTCGGAATAGATCCATTACTTTTAGGGTGTAAAAGAGACTTCCATCTATGATCATCGGGCCCTAGGCTATGTATAGATGAACGTGACGAATCCCATTCACCTAACGTGGTGTTCGGGACAGTCTCAGAGCAGTATGCTTCGAGACACTCCCAAAAGACTTGTTTGCTTCCAAAATAGAGGTTCCGAGTGGAAAGAATTCTTTCTTGCAAGACCCATGCACGTGAGAGGAGCGGCTGCCCCTCAAAGTCTCTTTTCCATGCTTCTTCCTCGGCCTCAAAACGATAAAATGCTGCAACACTGTCTCCGGGGGGACTAAGATTAATAATTGTAGGGGAGACCAGTGCTGGGTCACGATCAAAAAAACATCCAGTCTGGTCGTCTGTAGCACCCAGCGCTGCGATATTTAATAGGCCATGGGTGTAGACGGGCCCCATGATAGATGCTTCTGACTGCCAATCCTCCACGGAATCCTGAACTATGCATAACCTATCAATCCACAAGTACCGGACTTTCAAACGCTCAATTATCTCGAATGCATCGCGAAAAGTTTTGGGTAGAATGGCTACTAGTAGACCATTGCGAAGATCTTCCAGGGTTGACTTCGTGAGTTGTAACTTCTCAGTAGTAGTCTTAGGTCCCCAGCAATGACTTAGAGTAATGTATCTCTCGCGAGGATCGAATTCGCTCTGCAGGACGAGGCGAAATTTCTTTTCCGTCCCTACGTACTGTAGCTCAAGTAGACGGGTTGGCGCAAAGAGTTCCGAGGCTTGACGAATGCATGACTTGTGGGTTTCAAGACATCTATCTACCCAACTCTGTATAACAACCCACGTTGGAGTGTCTGAGGTAGAATGTGAGATCGCGGAGTTGACATGGTCGTTTTCTTTATCGATCGTCATATGTATATTTAGTATAGGCATTGGACTTTGGTGTAGGAATTCGTACCATCGTGTGCAATCATTGTGTGTGGGATTTCTTGAACTGTCTCGCCTGTGTAAATAGCCATCACTGGGTTAGGCATATTGCTTCGCGGCAAGATAACTTGGAATACCGAGTAGTAACCTCGTTCCGCAAAGGTCGCATTGATATCGTCATGATCGTTGGACTCGTCGAAGATATTGCAGACGACACAGCCTAGCTCCTTAGACTTTACTAACGAGTCATAGTTTACATGGTGGCCGAAAACATATCGTTCTTCCTCTTGTAGTTTTAGCTTGCCTTGGGAGAAGTTAGCAAAAGCACTTTGTAAAGTCACTCCCAACTCGATTGACCAGTTAACCTCAACTCCTAGATACTTGCACTCACTTAATACCTCGTCGTAATTTCCATCTTCAACCTCTCGGAATAGAAATTCTAGTATGTCGGGAAAGTATTTGAGTAACCCGAGCCTCCTGCTGTTCTCGGGATCCCATATACCTTCGAGACCTTCACGGCAGACGTCGCACAGCATCTCTTAAATTCCCTATCAAAACACCCGTTAAACTGTAAAGACAATCTCGCCTTCGCACAGCGACGAGTGAGCGGGCAACCACCCACTGATGAGTGTCATTATCATGGTGGCCCTCGTTCAGGCTATGTACTTGGATTTGTATTACACCAACACCGCCTCTGTGGTGCTAAGGACGTAAGTCTTGTTGGCGCAGGGCAATTAATAGATTTGGGGCTTCGGTCAGCCGCAATAAGCCGAGACATTTACAGGGGTATCATACCCACAAGTGTGGTCCAAGGCGCTTACAAAAAAGGGCCTATCTTCTCGAAGACCAGTCAGGTTGCCGTTCCACATCGTCGGGTTCTTGGATAATACAGGGAGCAGGAACTTCTTCTTTTCTTTTGTCAGGGGTGATGTGGTTGCATAGACACGATGTTTGCAAGCATTATGCACTCCACCACTCTTGAAATGCCTGTCCGCCTTGTGGCATTTGTTCATGGGAGTAACCCTCAGCTTGTTGATACGAAGCCAACAACAATATATTGTCCAATATAATGATCCGATGTAAATGTTGTTGGCACTACTATCAGCTCTTTCTAGCATACCAACTATCGGGCTACGTCTTTGATGATGTGTGCATTGCTGCTTTCCTGGTACAATTTGTAATCGGGTGGCTTTCCCCACCACTCCGACATGCTTTTCTTATCTTTGAAGGGTCGTGTTAGTTAGGTAGGCTGGTAGGTAGGTATTCATCGTGTGTGGGTGAAATTAGACGGACATCCTCACGTATTTTTTAAAGTCCGTTTCCCGTAGCTTGATAGAACTTGAAGTCAATACAAAGACACTGGCCAATATTTGCCGATCACATAAAACGAGATATTCTGTGTGCGGTCTAGGATATAATGCTCCGAGGACCAGTTTGGTCGGGAGCTCACCTTGTAAGATCGAGAACCTGTACCTAATTCAAGTTTTAATACGCCTACATAGTATCAAGATATGACACACCAAGAGGTAGACCTATGTACTATGCTAGCATTAGTAGCACTACTGTCATATGTGGGGTACCCACATGTATATAAAGCTAGATCCTCCCTCCTGTAACTTAGCCATTACAACATTAACATTAAATATATATAATATTATAATAATTGGTAACACTTTAAGCAATACGATCAGAAGCTTTTGTTCTTGGCATCATACAAGAATTACCTCCAGGCTATTCTTGGAAACCATATAAGAATTGTTTTTCGGAAACCATACGAAAAATTACCACCAAGCTTTGTCCTTTATAAGGCATTATTCTCGAAAGAGAATTACCACCAGGCATTATTCTCGAAAAAAGAGAATTACCACCAGGCCATTATGGCTACCATTGGCTTTGTCCTTTATAAGGCATTATTCTCGAAAAACGAGAATCACCACCAGGCCATCATGGCCACCATTTCGAATGAACTATAATCTTCCATCGACCTCTTTTCCGTATCGGACCAAATACCACACCACACGTTCCAACGCTCACAATCAAGACCATCCATATCCAACAATTCTACGTACTCATTCCGCCCGTCTACTATAACCCCCATCTGCCCTGGGAAGAAAACCCTATTCCCCAGACCAACAGTCTACCTTATAAATTTGGAGGAGAACAGGACATATTTTAGAGTTTTGCAGAAGTAAGCTATTACGATGAAGGCATCGTTATTTCTTTTTGGTGGTGGCATTGTCATATGTGGGGTACCCACATGTATATAAAGCTAGATCCTCCCTCCTGTAACTTAGCCATTACAACATCAACATCAAATACATACAATATTGTGATAACTACCTAGCTCTTGGAACAGCCTTCCTCGCGACGCTAGCTGGGACGTGCGCCATAGTAACATATAGGTAACATTTACGGCCGCTAAAAGGGTTGGTTCGATGTATCCGGTCGTAGCCACTGACACGCGTAAATTGAATATCGACTTGGGGGATAACTATATCTAATATGTTACAGTTGAAAATAATAAACTCCTACTCAGGTTACGGGTTCCATTAACTAATTAACTAATTAGACCGAGGGATTTTCTATGTAAAAGACCAACAATAGCGCGTAGCTTAGAGTAGGTATGAGGTAACCCCCCGTAACAGAAGCATTGTCCCTGGTTAGCAGATCCATAACAGGAACTAATAAAGTCCCCGATCCTTTCAATAGCAGTGGGGCAGATAGTTTTGTTGCGATCGATCGTCCTTTTGCTTTCGCCCTCACCCTCCCTGTTTCAATACTACACTAGAACACGATGCTAGCAATAGCGAGCGGCAGCAGCGGCATCAGTAACAGCAGAGCGAAGGGCGACACGGAGGGATGGCATCATGGAATTCTTCGAGAATCAAGTCGGCGAGGTGCGATACTTGACTACTCTGGGCGAGACCCCTGCTTCGGTGCCCCCGGTGTCCCCCGGCTCTCAACAACACAACAGTAGCAGCAGCGTTACAACCACCACCGGTGCTAAGAGGAAGAATAGCATAGATGAATCGCCTAGTTCGAAAGGTCAGGCACAGCAGAGGAGCAAGAGAAATAGATATATCTCTATCGCTTGGTGAGTCTTGTCAGTCCTTTCGTCTTCAAGCGCGCGGGCTACATAACGACGCGCGACATAAATTCGGGGATTCTTGCGTTGACCAAGTCTATGCTTATCCAGTAACGAGTGCAAGCGACGCAAGATCAAGTGCAACGGCGAGACACCGTGCCAAAGATGCGGAAATCTCAACCTCCAATGCCTATACGCACCCAATTGCTGCTCAAGTCCGTTTAAGGACTCAGATGAGTTCAAGCAGATGACCAATAAGGTCAACCAACTGCAAGAGCAGGTCGACGCGCTATTCGCGAACATGAACGCCCTTAGATCAGAGGCATTCCGCCTAGCCCCTATTCAAGATCGCGCGCCGACTTTACCATCCGCTTCGAGTACACCCTCGGCTTCTTCCGTCCCTTCCATCACGCCTATTCATAAACCATCCGACTTGCCTCAAACCCGACAGCCCGGCTTCCGCGGACCGACGAGCACGCGATTCAACCTAGATGTTGCTAAGAATACATTGCACAAGATGGGTTATAGCAATTCACCTGATGTTGGCGAGTTCGATGGCCTCGGTCAAGATAGCCCCGCGCCGTCTCCAAACTTGACAGCCCAAATTGCTAGTACTCCTGGAGGCCCATCTCGGGATCCGCTGTGGGAGTTTGATAAGGATGAATTGGTGCGATTATGCCGTGTGCATGATGAGGAAGTTGGCATCATGTATCCTGTGGTTAAAATCGAGTCAGTCATCCGTCATGCGCGGACTCTATCTTCGTGGATGGAGGCGGCTAGGAAGAATTTCATGGTCTCTTGGTCTGGAGAGGAGGGCGGTATCAAAGATCGCAATACCTTACTGCTCAAGCTCGTCGTCTGCTGTGCCATGCAGGTTGAGGAGCATGGAAATAGCGAGAAAGCCCATAGGCTCTTTCTCAGCGCTCGACCGACGACGGACAGAATGTTAATGTCCGATCCAAGTGACGTGAAGAATATGCCAATTCTAGCTCTTGTGGTATGTCTTGCCCACCTTCGTATTTAAACTACCATCCCTGCCGTGTCTCTATTCGAATACAGATAAGGGATCTCACGAACTCGCAGCCTTGCCAGATACTAAACTAATATTTCGCATAAATAGGCGGGCTATTATTTTCTCGCCAATGACGAAATCCTCGCATGGCGTACTATGGGACAGGTAGCTCGTCTGTGTTTCGAACTTGGACTCCATCGTCGTGATGCGATCGAACGAATCAGCGATGAAGAGGAGCGCAATAATGCGATCAACACGTTTTGGGCAGCTTATGTATTGGACCATCGATGGGCTTTTGGTACTGGCTTACCATTTACCGTCCCAGACGATGAAATTGATCCTCGGTTACCATACCCTGTAAGTAATTGATGCATCATCCCAAGCATAGTGAAGCAGATACCTTCTCGCTTTGTTCGACATTGAGAAATTGATCAGTTCTAACTCTGCTCTAAAAAGGATTCGCATCCTTATTTAGTCGCCATGATTAACTACTCAAAGCTCAGCGCAAGCGTATGGCGGCTCGTACGAAGTTTTGAGCCTAGCACAGAATCAGACGTACAACCAGGTGCCATCGAGGAACTTGATCGTCGAATAAAGGAATGGTACACCGAAGTGCCCCGAGAAACACAGCTTGAATTGACAGACTGGGAGGCACTGCCTAGATATCTAAATCCTCCGGTAAACTCACAGAAGGAATATGATGTCCAGCGGTTACAGATATGGACCTACCTCCGCTTTAACCAGATTCGTACATGGCTATATACCCCTATTTTGCACACTCACGGTAGCATCATGGAGAATATAGAATTCGCCGAGCGTGCCGTCAAGCTAGCCAAAAATACAATCTGCTACTTGACGCACTTGAACAATACCACGAATATCTATAGGAAGATTCAGGTATTCTACCATCAATTTCTGTTAGCAGCGATTGCGGTACTCTTCCTAGCATCGTGTCACGCCCCAGTTAACTTCAGCGCCTCGTGTCGCAACGAGTTTTATATGGCTCTCGAACTAGTAAAGGACTTATCATCTAAATCATGGGTGTCGCAACGGCTTTGGAGCACTATCAAGTCACTTCGAGAGGTCGCTCCTCGTCTCGGGTTGGCGCAGGACCCTCACTCTACGGCGGCTCTGACGATGGCCGGACTGGCTACCGGTCAGATGGGGGCCCCTCCGACTCTAGCTTCCGGCTATGGTTCTCAACCCTCGCCCGTATTGGGGGTATCCCCGTCGTTCGGCGGCGTACAAAATGGGCACCAAATCTCGAGCGAGATGTCACGGATATTCGAAGGATATATGGGGAAGAGCACTCACCCGAACGGCCCGCCTCCTGTTAACAGGGGCATTACAATGTCTTATGAGATGGGCAGTAGTGTATATGAACACTTTAAGGACATGTTTTAGAAGCTTGGAGAAACTAGTAAGAAATGGTTTATATTTACATAGCGAATGGGGTCGATGGAGAAGGGGGTCGTGGGTGTATGTTTACAACTTTAACCTGAACGGCTAAGCACCTATAGGTATATAGAGATATCAATAACTATCCTCGGACGCTAAAGTTCGTGATATTAATAGAGTATCATGCCTAACATAACATATGCATCCTCTTTATTTGGAGCATCAAGCATTACGATTGACCCTTCCATACCAAATAGGTAGACCATAAAACACCATTGCACTTGCTAGTTACACGAGACACGCCGGATAATCAAGGTAATTCAATATTTGATCCCCTATACAATCATAGCCCGCGTTTAGAGCATCGGATATTCCTCTTTTTAAACCCTCACGGATATCGAGTGCATATTTGCTTATGATATCGTGGAATTCTCGTCTAAACAGGCGTTCGATATCGGTGAATTCGTATCTGCAGTCCTCTTGAATGATTCTAGTTGCTTGGTCAGTCGTATTTGAAAGTTTCAGATATTTCCCATCCATGGCATCGTGAAGATAGGAATCACCGATCATTTCCATATCTATTTTCATGTAGAATATCCTATGATCGGCATTTCGAAGTACGTAAGGGGTCCTACCACCAGGCAGAACATATATTATATCATGAGCTTTCAAGCCGTCAGGACGCCACCCTAAAGTATTGTTGTCAGTCAGGAATAAACGTCGTCTAGTGGACATAAATTTCAGTACATAATCGAAACCTAAGATATCCTGATAGGCTTGGTTATCCGATGATGTCTTGGCGTCAAACCACATCCGTAAATGTCTTTCGTCTCCGTCTTCGAGCCTTTTAAACTCCCCGGAAACGAATTTCAAATTGAAAATCAAGGATCTCAGCTTGTGTGTATGAATTTGAGTGATGATGGGATTTTCACTTTTATAAGGTTTGTTTGAGTCGTTAGCCCATTGGATTAAGAGTGCCTTGAGTCGCCTCACATCTGTGAGGTCAAGAAACTGGTCGCTATGGTATCTTATACGGCTAATGCAAACTCCAGTAATGGTTAAGCGACCAAACTGAGGCCTATAGGTAGGCTTTTCATAGGCAGGCCTCTTATCCATCTCATCTTTGCTTGTGGGAGGATGCCAAGAGTGTAAACCGAGTTGATCAAAGATTTCAGGCACACCGTCCCTTATGGGTACTCGTATGTTGGGCATTTCCATATAGGCAACGTGATCGCAGACCATATCCCAAAAAGAATCCAGAGAAGTATAACAGACGAACTTGTAGTGACCTTCGTGCGGCGAATTTCTTCGTTGTGGCTGATGGCGCTCCAGTCAGGTACCCACGATGGGAGATCCCCCCTATTCTTTCGTCCAAGGTCTCCGCAAAGTACGTCAAGGCTTCTAGTTGTTGCTATAATGTTACGGATAACCTCGGTATAAACCCAAGGGGTTGCCACACGGTAATTGGGGGAGATTCCGAGATTGACAGGTAGAAGACCAAGAAGTGCATATACTCTATCTCGCTCGTCGGAGGCTTTACGGCTACCCGTTGCTCGTAGCAGTGTGAGCAACAATTTACCAACCGAATCTTCGTCGGTATTGCCATAGCTAACAGAGGTGTGTAGGCGCCGGCTTTCCTGGATATTGATAAGATTTTCCGTAAACCAACGTAGTACTTTGATGTTATCGGAAGACAATTTCTTGTATAGCGAATCCTTCATATTCAAAATTTGAATATTCCGCGCTGCGCGAATGAATAGCTCTAATGGAGCCACTGAACAGCCATACTGGAGAACAACCCTTTTTGATACTATGACCTGTGAGTTACGAATTGAAGGTTAGTACGCAGCCGGCAAGGTATACTAAAATATACCTACTTCTCCTAAGACCAATAGAAAAATTAAATAGTAGATAACTAACCTCTTGGAAAACCCACATGCGATTCCACCACCGACTTAAGAGCATCATCCGAAGATCTTCAAATATTGCCTGTAAAATCCTTTTTTTGAGGGATGCCAATGCCCGTATATGTTGGCTTTCTTGCTGAGCAAACAGGCTAATGAGGCAAAAGATGCCGAAACCTTTATATATCTTATGGATAGGCATAGTTCTGCAACAAGAGAGGAACTAGGCAACGTATTGACTATCGTACAAGTCGTCGTGGAACAGGAACTCTTGCGGTCTTGATTCCTGAAGACGACCAGAGGCATGAGTAGTTCCGTCACCAAGAAACACAATTACATTTTCAGCACGACGATAGATCTGGCTCATGATCTGTACTTGGGCTTCTCGTTCGTCAAGGTCGGCTTGATTAATACACTGCAGAGCTGTATTAGCCATAGTTCCTTAACTATTCCACATCTTAGTGTTTGGAAATTGTACCAAAGCATCAACCCAGAGCAAAATATCGGAATCTTCTCGTCTCAAGTGCCTCAGTGCTATGTCCAGGTTTATCGTAATCGTCATATTCATATCGTTGACAATGATTGGTCTAGTTACGGCTGGAGAGCCCCAAGCATAGGAGAGTGCTTGATATCCCGATACTTCCATTAATTTCTTCGTAACTAGTTGGCATCGTAAAGGTAAGTCCCACCCTCCTCGTTCCAGAAACATTAGCCTGAAACTATCGCGGTCAAGCCTGTGTGAACATGGCCTTATAGGATAAAGTGTTGAGACAGACATGTCGGCTGATTTTGTCAGACTCGAATACCGGATAAATCTGGTACAATTGACACCACTCTTCGACTCATAGTCGTTACCTTATTTTTTTAACTTATATGATCTCGAAAACATCAAGGTGCGTACCTAGGTGACGAGAGTTATCTACATATTAGAAAAATTGGGGTGGGTGCATATGCTTATACGGTGGCTTGGATCTTACTGCCAACTATTTTACGGCGAATTAGAGGAATGCCATGTTCAAGGCATACTAGTAATTCTCTAGCACAGCCCCTGATGAAATACGTACAGCCACAATTTCGTAACATCACTTTTCGCTTCAACTATATTAATTCAGAATATGAGGCCTAGATACTAGATATAGCGTAGGAAAATATTATCAAAAAGGGTGGCTTATCGACCAGACAATTCTGATAAATATCCATGTATCTAGGTACTCAAGACTTATTATATACCTAGGTAGGTAGGTATATAGTTAAACCGTCAAGTACATTGTAGCTAGGAGTGGCTATAGAAAGGAAGTCAATGACAGCTGTGTTAGCAACTAGCTTCTCTCTATGTTCAGCCTTTTTAAGAAATCAGAGGATGGTGCAAAGAATGTGGTGCCTGTTAGAGGGGTAGAGAAATCAAGTAGCCTATCATGTAAACCAGGCGGATCACCAATAAACATACGCTGTAACATCCGTTCAATAACCCATAGATTTCTAGAGTATCCAATGAAGTATGTTCCAAATTCTTTCGAGCTGGGAGACCCAAATGGCATGTTGTCCCGGAGGATATCGTGCTCGTTGCCGCTTTCGTCTTCAATAGTGGCTAGTGACTTGTGCGACTGCTGTTGACCTGCTGCAGCGTCATCTAGCTCGACGTTATCTAGCTTCCTACGCCCAATAATGCCCTCCTGTTGCTCAGTAGGGAGGGCATTCCACGCTTTCACGTCATGCACATACTTCTGGACCACAACATAACTCCCACCTGCACTAGACGTGTCCTCTTCATTCACGAGAATAGAAGCTGGGACGGCGGGTCCCACAGGGTTTGCCGTGCCGTCTACAAATCCAAGAAGGTCGCGGACATCGAAATAACGAAAACCAATCGTCTCGTCCACGACAGTAACGGCATCGCCAAGGGCATCTAGTAGTTGTCGTTCGAATTCGAAACATAAATCCCGTCGCTCCGAGCGGATATGGAATAGCAAGTCCCCGGGTGTCGAGACGGCAGTATGCTTCTGCCCATGTATAGTAGAAAATGGATGAAGCTCTGCTGGTCGGGGTAGCTGGGTTAATAAGTCCCACGCTTCGCTGCCAATGCCCACGGTACAGGCAAATACGGCGCTGAGGTCTCGAATAGAGACATTTTTAGCTAGCCCATCAATGCTAGATAGAACTGAGCGCACCACACCGACAGCTTCTAGCGTATTATTAATGGTAACTACTAAGAAAGTAGCGGTCTGGGTGAGGGGAGCATCGACACGTTGGGGTTCAATGGGAACCCGACTACGCGACCTTGTGCTCATATTTTCTGCTTGGCTGCGCGTGTGAATAAAACACCGGAAATTGAGACTTTTCGGACGGAACTTGGATTTAACTGCTAGGTATTCCCTCAGCTCGTGGCTTGAAGCCTCCCGATGTGCTACCCAATATGATATCGGAATATATGATATCGGAATATAAGATATCGGAAATTGTCTATTTAAGGACTCGCGCAAAACAGTTCCCAAAGTCCTAGACGTGTTCATCTCGCTTTCGTTCACGGCTTGACCACGTTAGCTATTCGGGTGGTACAGAAATAGGCGATTGCGAAACATTATGATTTCAGTTTGAATAATACCTAGGTTAGGTAGGTACCTAGGTACCATACCAGCAAAATGTTGTTTTAGGATACCTACCTAGTGATATTTTAGGAGTGGAATGATTATTGTACAGGGAATCGTTGTTAATACAAGCATCGTTTTTGATTGGCTAGTATGGATTACGTATGTGGCGGCAATATCATAAAAAATGAACCGTGGTATGGTGGACCATTAGTGCAACTGTGCCAAAATCAATAAAATAGGTCGGAATTTTCCAAAAGGGGTAATATAGCAAGGAACGCTAAGTGCACAGTACACTATGCGGGGTATATACAAGGTAGAATCCGGGCTACCCTCTCCACTAAAATCTAGATTCAGCCAATCAGATTGAATTGTCAATCCAATATTCAATTGCTTCATATCCACGTATAAACAACACATTCAAATAACTTTACAAAGATAACAATCCAGACGTTACGATTAGTATTATTTTATAGCCTTAATTGATGCGAAAATAATGGACCAAAGTGCATGTTTATGCGATGTATATTGAGTATTATATTGCTATTAAAGTATCTGGAGTCTGTTTGGAATGACTTCATCGAGGTGCTTTTAAAGGGTATCACGTGCTTGCCTCTCTAGGTAGACAAGCGCTATTTGATTCTACTACAACATAATAGCCAAAAGGCCGATTCAAATGCAACTTGAATCATTGTTTTCGCATCAATTAAGGCTTTAAAATGATACCAATTGTAACGTCTGGATTGTTGTCTTTGTAAAGTTATTTGAATGTGTTGTTTATACGTGGATATGAAGCAATTGAAAGGTAGTTTAAGGCTAAGGTAAAAGCTAAATCTGATTGGCTAATCTTTTAAACCTTTTATAAAAAGGTGGCCCGTATAGCTACGTTTATAGCCTTTTTAATATCTTTACCAATATTAGGTCAAATAGCATGCAACCTAGACCGTAATTTTTGTTATTTATCAATCAAAATATTAATGTTTTTTAGAAAGAATTTGGATGAATATTCGTAAAGTTATTGTATTATTAGTTTCAAAAAGGGTAGTTATGTAATCCGTATTACCTTGTAAATTGTGTATACAGGGCAAATAATCGAGCCTACACTGTACCCCCAACGTTACTATTACCCTATTAGACATAGTGCCACCAATTTTCTTGATTTTGGCACAGTTGCACTAATGGTCCACCATACGTGGGTTAATAAGGTTAAAAAACGGGCACACTTTCGGCACTAGTGGACTAGGAGTTACTAGCTCGGTCCAAAACACTCCCGCATTGATGGCCCATCAATGATGGGGCGTGTTACGGTGGGGCTAGGAGCCTGGGGTTCGAGTCCCAGGCATCCTAGCTTTTTTCATTTTTAAGCTTTTTCTTGCGCGCACGTACATCTTTCCGAAGGCTTGTGCGCGCTGCGCGCGCGCGTGACCTTATCAGCTTGTCAATCACTTATCAATTTCCAGAGTTTGAACGTAATATTTCTTCGGAAAGAATATTTCTTCGGAAAGATAATTTATACAAGGAATCATTCCAAGTCACCATATATTGCCGCTATGGTAGGTTAGGTATGTAGGTGATGGTTGGTCACTCGAATCTTGTCCCTGCTTATCATGCGCCAAGTGATGCATGGCGCTTACCCATGATTTGCGATTTTGAAAGCTCGAGCCGGATGGCGCCTGTGTTGGCTCGTTTACCCTCCATCCCTATCTTGACTTCAGCTCCATTGGCTCCATTGGCTCCATTGGCTCCATTGGCTCCATTGGCTCCATTGGTCCCGATTGGCGTGATATACGTGCTGCAAGCAAGTCGGGACCGACGACTCAAAAGTAAGACGAATTCTATGATCCTAATTTAATCTCAATGGCGTAATGCGTATGTCATGTCGGCAGGTGTGGATTCGTATATTTTTCCTTATTACTTGGTCATTCCAGGTAGCTGTTAAAGGGGTCAAGAACCCCCTGAAATACTACTGATGTGAAATTTTATGTTATTCTACTACGGACTTTGTTATTCGAATTTGATACCTCCCATAATTCTCAGGTACATCACAAATAGACTTAACTATTAACTACCTATAAAATGTAATACTGAGGAGACGAGACAATAATTCGTTTAAAGGGTACCTATGAAGAACTGAACGGTAGTGGCAATATAGCTTGTAGTATTGAAATTAATCATTCTAGGTCTCTTTTCAAACGATGAGCTAATTACAATCCTTTCGAGCCAGCATAAATATTTAAAATAGAGAAGAAATGCCGATAGAATAGTATCCCACCGGCGGGCGACTTGTGATTATCAGTCTAACCCACGAGGTAGATGGTCGGCAATTCCCAATGGGAACGGAAATGATTCAAGGTATAGATGATGGGCCTAAGTATCCTTATCCATTTCCCTCGATGGTGGTGTGGCCTTCAGGGTGACAAGCACTATCCCTTCGGTATCATCGTCGGTCGAGTTCCAGTTCAAAGACCAAATGCCATCTTGATCAGAGGGCACAGCATACCACAATGCCTTGAGATCCCCGTCGGTGTTCTTGTGAAGTAGAAAATCCCCATAAAATACGAACCCGGATCCTGACCTATCGCTACTAGTAGTCGAATTAGCGAATCCGACCTGATGAGAGGAAGATGTCGTGTCCGGGACCATGAGCGTGAGGTTCGACCAGGTTGGTGCATTGCCGGCCGTGGTGTTGGGATTGGCCAGCAACGAATTGTCTGTACCGGATATAACTGCCTGCGAGTTAACATAGCTGCATATACGAGAGGTTGTCTGCGCGGCTTACACTGGACCTGGGCGGCTTCGCTGTCGTTTAAGTGAGTTGCCCCCCCGACATAAGCGCCTTCTATTATAAAAGTTAAAATCATTATATTCCAACAGACATGGAAAATAGCATACCGCCATCTGTGAACACAGGTGCGCCGCCGATTCCATCGCCGTAGGCGAACAATCCAAAAGGTGCTGTAGGAGCACGTTCTACAAGAATTGGTGACCCAGCTATAGCCACTGGGATGCCAAGAATGAGGCTCTGCAATACGTGCATCGCTAGTGTAGTAGATAATGTCTTGCGAGAAACGGCAAGACTTGAATAAGATGATTGAAAATATGGTTGTGACTTAGAGAAGGTTAACTTAGCTACGTTGCTTGCTGAACTATTGATGGAGAAGGTCTCTTTTCATATCCTCGATGCTTTACTTACCCTGATTATAGATTCGTCAGCTCTTCCTTGAAACGGACGTCTTGTCTAAAGATAGAGTTCCTAGCTCGCTCCGGCTTTGGCCTCTATTCGGATTGTGGGCCGCGGGGGAAGCGGGAGGGTGCGGAGAGCGGGAACTTCGCAGGGTTCCCCCTTGCAGCAACGCGTAAGCTTTTAAGCGCAATTATCTTCATAGCTTCAATGCCACTCTCTCGGCAGATGATAACATTGCTAATATTATACTTGATACTGCGCCTCGTGATTATATAAGTGATTATATAACTCCATTTATCAACAAAATCAGCTAGCCATCGCAGGGCTTACAAAAGATCTCGTAATTTCCAAAACTGATAATGACGACGACAAGGCGCAGGGCGTCTAGATGGTGCCCCGAAACCGTCCACCAGGTACGCCCAAGATAGGTGGCTGTGGATCGCTTAACAATACTGTATTAAGGGGATCTAGATTCTCGTCATGTTCCTGAGGGATGTTAGTCGATGACTTCGGTCCAATTCCGGGGGAGTGAGACGCGGGCTCATCACATTCAAGCCACGGACTCCACACTACTCGCGGAATTCCGTATGCTTCGTTACGCGTACCACTGCAATACGAGAATATCTTCGACTCATGATACTCACTCAGGTCGTCAGGGCTGACTCAAGTTTAATCTTAAGGGGGTGGATATGTGGTCTGATTGTCGGTCGTATAGCTATTCAATATTGTAACGCAGTGCTACAGTATGATGGGTCCTCACGATTCGGATTCTCATGGTGCCGATTCCTTCAGCCGGCAAGTGAAACTTAGGAGAAGCTATCGTGGACATAAAGACTGCCTCAGCTGCGCTCACAATGAATAGAAGTTATAGAAACATCACAGTCGTTCATTGTACTTCTTCAACTTCAAAGCCTACCCACTGAGGTAGCTTAGCCCTACAACTATCTTTCTTATTTTACCCAAACTTATAATTCGAAGACTCAACGATACCGGAGCTCTTTTCAATATGGTTGCTTCGAAAATATCAACTCTCTTGTTGCCATTCCTGTCCGGCACAGTTGCAGCGTCCCCCTTTCTATCTTCCACGAATTTGTATCCTCGGGCAGCATGTTCAGGAAACACAGCAACAACCAGAAACGAGTGGTGCGATTACTCCATCGACACTGATTATACCACTGAGGTGCCCGATACTGGAGCAACTAAAGAGTATTGGCTGGAAATCACTGATGTGACCGTTTCACCGGATGGAATTTCTCGCTCGGCAATGGCTGTTAATGTAAGTCAACAATTGGAGCTTACGGCTTTAGTTTCACTATTTTACTCTTGATTCATTATTTTATTATTTTAATCCGAGTGAGTAACTTACTTCATATCCTAGGGCTCAATTCCAGGACCAACTCTCTTTGCGGACTGGGGTGATACAGTTGTAGTTCATGTTACAAATTCCCTAACTACCTCTAACAATGGAACATGTGAGTACAAGCTCAGGCATATATACATTATCTTGACTGCAAATTTGTTTCAGGTCTTCTCCCTGGGACCTTTTGCCTTGCTTCCGTTTTCCCCCCCTGAACTATTAGGTTTTAGTAACCTTTATGGATACTTCTCCCTTATAGCCGAAAAGCTTTCAATGACTAATTCTTTAAAACAGCTATTCACTTCCACGGTATACGTCAGAATTATACAAATGAAAACGATGGAGTGGTTTCTATTACTCAGTGTCCGACAGGACCCGGGGAAACTCGGACGTATACCTGGAGGGCAACCCAATATGGGACGACTTGGTACCATTCTCACTTTGCCCTTCAAGCGTGGGAAGGCGTTGCTGGAGGCATAATCATCAATGGCCCAGCTACTGCGAACTACGATGAGGATCTTGGGACCATACTCTTATCAGATTGGAGTCACGACACGGTGGATCAACTCTGGACCCAAGCACAGACAAGCGGCCCTCCTACAATGGAAAATGGGCTTATCAATGGCACTAACGTTTATGATGATGGCGGTTCAAGATTTCAAACTTCTTTCACTTCAGGGACCTCCTATCGAATCAGACTCATCAATGGAGCTATCGATACGCACTTTAAATTCACTATTGATAACCACACAATGCAAGTCATAGCGACTGATCTTGTGCCAATCCAGCCATACGAAGCAACTGTGATTAATATCGGCATTGGTAAGTAGACGACAACTATTCGTCTCGTTTGATGCTAACTATTTGAAGGGCAACGTTACGATATCGTCGTTACTGCCGACCAGTGAGTGTCCTTTATCAAACTAGATGATTTCCTAGAATATATGGCAAACTAACCTGGAGCATCGCAGGGCTTCGACTGCTGATAGTTTTTGGCTCCGAGCTATTCCCCAATCAGCTTGCTCCGAGAATGATAGCCAGGATAACATCCGTGGCATTGTGTCTTACACAGATACCGCCTCAACACCGGAGACTACTGGCTATGACTATGTTGATTCTTGTACAGATGAGACCGAAAATATTGTTCCTTATTATAGCAAAACAGTAGGCAGTACTACGGCTGTCACAGACGAAGTAGCAGATATCGGCACCCTTAATGGGCTTTTTAAATGGACTCTAAACAGCACATCTATGCTGGTTAGTTGGACAAACCCTACCCTCTTACAAGTCATGAATGGTGAGAGCGCTTTTGAAGTCGACGACTCTGTCCTTGAGTTGCCCGATGCGAACGTGTGGGTATATTTGGCGATCGAGACAGACCTTCCTGTTCCCCATCCGTAAGTAACTTGATATGCTCAATTTCCTCTAGGTATCATTCAGTATCAGTCCATTTGATACATTGAAACCGCTAGCCCTATAAAATATCTAGAAAGATCGCACGCTAATTATACTCTTAGAATTCATCTTCACGGCCATGACTTTTTCATACTCGCTCAGGACACAGGTACATATTCCAGCAGCGTCACTCTCAACACGGATAACCCACCCCGCCGGGACACTGCCTTATTACCCGCCAGTGGTTACATCGTGCTGGCATTCGAGACTGATAATCCTGGAGTTTGGCTCATGCATGTAAGTATCCATTTCGTCTCTTCGTTTCCTCAGTATATATCACAAGCGCCTTTCGTATTAAAAGGCGATTCATTTCAAGACCATGGCACAAATTTATCGAACTTTTTTTTAAAGTATTTTAACCACGTTTATATCTAATCTGGGATACAGTGTCATATTGGTTGGCATACGAGCGAAGGGTTTGCATTGCAATTCGTGGAGAGGTATGACGAAATAGCGGCTATAACCGATACGGACACACTCACAGACACCTGTTCAACCTGGTCTTCATTCCAGACATCAAAAGATATTGACCAAGATGACTCTGGAATCTAAAATCAGTACAGATGACATTGAAGTTCTTTTCTCAAAGAGACTCATAATATTACTGATGGGGGCAGGTTGTCAATATAATGAATTATTTGCAGCAAGGCAGTTCACATCATATCGAAATAGTTAGTTGTTTTGTATAGTATTCAGGGTATTTTCAATATATATTTTATGTCAACAAAGAAATGTAACATTTCCTATGTAGTATCTAGTTGTTGTTTTAACCATCTGCGCTACACTCGCTGGTGAAGTATCAATATGTCCATCTCCGCAGCACCTCAAACAATAACCCTTATAGTTAGGTACCTTAGGTAGGTATATAGATACTCTTACATTGAGATAAGGTACTGGGATATTGAGGTGTACCTCGTCGTTACCTTCTTAGGCAATCATAATCTCACCCAGCCCACAAAGTCGACGGCCAGCGGGAGGATAACATCTAATCAGGTACAGATCCGTATCGTTATAAAGGGGACTAGAAGAGCCCACGGTTTCGCTTTATAACATTCGTCAAAGCTTATGGAGAAACAAAAAGATCAATCAAAACTTGCGATTCACACATATCTAAGACTAGCGGATTTATTTTCTTCAATCCTCTCGATATACATTCTCGCTGATACATGTTCATTCCGTTGCGAGGATGCATTTCCGAATCTATCCTCTTTCGAATAATGCCCTCGCCTTGCAGCTGCGCCGGCATCAACATTAAGTAGCAATAAATAAATAAAAAGAGGTTGCTTCGCTTCATTCCACAAAGTTTAAAGACGAGATAAGTAATACAGTTAGGGGCAGCGCGTGCCTCCGCGAACATAAAAGAACTCCGTTCAAGCTTCTCGCGATTGTCTTGATCCGACTACGTAACTCGAGAAGCTTGAGCAATTCGACATTTATGAACGAAAAGAGAAGAATTGACATGAAATCCGAAAATGGGCTTAAATTTTTGAAAGCAGGAATATAGTTCCTAATAAAACAGTCTAATAAAAAAAAAAAAAGAGATAGTATCTTAGGTACCTAGGTACCTACCTACCTATAGGAGGTAGCTTTAAGGTATCTTTTTGCTTTTTCGTAATTTTCTACCTTTATTTCAGCCCCCACCCCCTGTCGACCAGTCGCATTGAAATAACCATCTTCGAACCTTTCCAGGTCCGTAACGACGTGGCCGCCACGTTATAGGTCGCTTCCGACAAAGTCAGTGGAATATGGCGTTTGGAACCCCAATAAGAGGTAATAGGTAGGTACTCTTTTGTATCTGCAAACGTCCATTTAACCCTGTATTTCTCTACTATTCTTTCTCTTTCTCCTTTTTTCTCCTTTTTTCTCTTACCTACTTCAAACAGACCAAACCCCAACATCACGCCTATATAATTTACACATATATATTGCATTTTCTTCTACCTTTACGCCTGATTTTAGAAAAATCAACAACTACTTTAAACAAATAAGGTTGCGGAATACATCAACCTTGCACAACTTACAGACACGGAACTCGACCCTTCGTATCACCAGACCACCTACAGGCTATCTACCCCATTAAAATTCGAATTTTAGTGTACCTTCTATCTATCAAAAATGCATCAAGCAAAGGTTTCCATGGTCGTAATGGCTATCGCAACTTGCGCTACGGCAGGGCCATGGACGTATGCAGGCTGTCAATCTGCATGTGCGGCTGGAACTCTCTGGATCCCTGCGTTCAGCACTGCAGCGTATGCTTCTTGCCAGAGCTACTGTGCATATTTTCTGCTAGCTCCCACCCCTTAGATCAACCATGATCTCGAATGCACGACGCGGTTTTTGAAAGTTTGTTTAAGTCGGACTTTGGTGGCACTCTGGTGTTTAGGAATGGATAACGGATGTCTGATAATAGTATGGATTGGGAAGAGGTTGGTAGGTTAGAACTTGGACAGCGTGGACTACACAAATTGATGTTTGACACACAAATTGATGTTTGACAAGTGGGAGACTGAATACAACTTTCCGGTGGTACTAAAGAGGTACCAATCAAATCTATAGGGACTAGGTCGTTGGTTTTATCTATCAATTTTGATGGCTGGTATACATATGTAAAATAAAAAGTAACAAGTGATATATCATTTTCCCCCTCCGTAAAGTATAGGTACCTACCTATTAGATAGGTACATGTAGTCTACAGCTCTCCGGCGCCAACAGCACACGTGCATACCTCCGCATTCGGGCTGCATTATACATGTAGGTATTTAGCCACAGCTATGATTCTACCTAGCCATAATTCGCTTGTAATACGTCATTCTAATGGAAAAACACACAGCACAAGAAATATAACTTCAATTATTGTTAGCTAACTTACCTAGGTACATGTATGTCCTCAAGTGCGAACTAGCTACAGTACATTGACTATTAAATTTTGATTGGTTGGGCTTTTTAAAGTGTTGATTGTTGGTATAAGTGGGATGTGCACTGGAGCTAGTTCGCACATAAAGACCAAGGAAAGTATAAACCCCCCTGAAATCAACACCATGTCCAATCCATTGACGAAACATATACTCTATACTATCAAGCAGAGTGTGTTAATACTCCCACTTTCTGTAACTTTATACGGTGTTAAAAGTACATTGATTTATAGCCTTGTAGCCTGGTAAATCAATTATGCTAACATAAATAATGTTATCTAGGTCCAGGAACGTTAGGTTAATAATGGTCATCTGTTATTTAGTGTTAATTTCAAGTTGTAAATGACATACTCGTATTAACTACCCTACCGTCGATAGGCACTTCAAGGTTATAAGATACTAAACCACCATGAGACGTGAGATATGCAACTTAAACGTGATACTTGTCGAGGGGATGAGCTAAAAGGCTGGCAATGAGGCAAATGCTAAACAAGGTAATGGTCAAGATCTTTATGTTAGAAATAGATTTACTCCAAAGTAGATGCAATTGTACTATGGTAGATAATGAAACTAGGATTTATTGTCTTGATAAAAGCGTTTGGATACGGTAGTTTAGAATAAGCCCTTTAATTTTTAAAAGATATTTTAAAATACAATTGATGTTGTTTAATACAATCTCCATTGTTTAATATAATTGATATCACTCAATTCAATTGTTATTGTTTAACACAATGGACCTTGTTCATAGCTATTATGTTTTAGAAGTGTATAAATTAAACATATAAATCTAAATTTCCAACTTAAAGTTTCAGTATCTATCCAGTACAATCATCTACATTAATACCATCTCAATAAACATCACACGAAATATCTTATTTTCAAAGGAATACCTAGTATCCAACACCGCCTCTATATCAACTTCCACCTTTCCTCGTTTCGTACCTAAATCTTCCTCCCGACGACAACAACAACTCACAATGGGCAAATGCACCTGTGCTTGTGGTTGTACAGCCTCTGCTCCAGATGGCAAGGCTCACTGTGACTCGTGCCGAGCCGGAAATTGCGTCAGTGATTCCATGACAAGTGAGCTCAATATATTCTCAGGCACGTCGACCAAGACAGCCTGTGGCTTGATTGGAAAAGAGATTTACATGCACGAAGAAGAAGATGATGATGATGATAACTTTCACGTCTATTCGTGGCTATAAGCATACACGAAGATGATTTTATCCTTATATCCCGCTAGGAGTCCATGTATCCCTTTGGGAATTTAAGGATAAGAAAGCCAATATCATTTACTTGTACACGTAAGGCGAGGCTTATTAATTAACTACCAAAGTACTTGAATAAGTAGGTAATTAAATATAATAAGTTGTTTAAAAATGTCCTTTTTAGTAGTTTAGGAGTTTAGTAGTTTAGTAGAAACGCTTTTGGCAAAAAAATAAAAATCTGTTTAAACTTGTAAGTAATAACGATGATGATAATAGTAAGGATAAACATTAATGCACTTGCTGGCGTTTATAACATACCCCTTTTTTTCTTTTTACGTAACTTATATTCTACTCTTCTTAATTTGGGGATTATCTTCAACCAAAGCACTATGCTTTAATGATGCGAGATATGAAGTTATCGCTAGTCATTACGCCTTTTGTCTTTGCCATTCGTTTCTTAAAGTACCTATTCTAAAAAAACACCACAACACTTTAGAATATATCTTCATATAGGCTATTTGGTTCATCATGGGTAAGCACTAGTATTGCAGATCACATTATTCTATACGTGAAAGTATATAGCTTTCGTACTACGAGTGGTACATATCAAATACACGTGCAACGTATGTTCTACTTCCATACGAGAGTTATTACTTAATTTAAGGAGTACCTTTAAGTTATACTTTCCATGGCGTATAATTACATGATATTTGCTACATGACGGTCGACATCTAGTTGTAACTTTGTCAATATGTCCTTGTTTTTAAACCCAACGCACTTTCAGCACTTCAAGAGCCCTTTTGGATCGTACCTTTTTTTTTTTTAAAAAAAAAAAAATCTAGAGCAAGGCTTCATCGTTATCGCCCACCAAAACTCTTGTCAATTCGCAGTGAAAGGGTTCGCTTCGTTCGGGTAAGTCCCTCCATCGGCACTTGTTAACTTCTTAGCAAGAAGCATTCCTCGTGTAATAGCAGTCATATTTTCCATGCGGCCGGCGTATGCAGCATTCGAAGCAATCGTTAGGGATGTCGAAATATCCCAAAGAGAACTATACTAGGCTGGCTGGACAGAAGCTGTTGGCCTCGTGCTGTTTCGCACTTTTAGCTTTGTCCCGCCGTTTACAACAAAGGGTGTATCTACCAGGCAATAAAAGTTCCGTGGATCAAATCCTAATTTCCGTATAGTCTTTATGAAATCCATCAATTTGTTAATTCCAATATCATCACTGGACAAGCTCTGGGGTATAAGCGCCGTTGCCAGCACGCGAGTAACCCAAGCTGTTGTCAGAGCCCCTGGTAAGACGTATTTGTTCCACACGTCAAGAAAGGTAGGGAGAACTTCTACTACACTACTACCCCTATGGGCAAGTGAAGACTCTGACACATTTCTCATTAAGTCCCTAGTAGCAGCTCCATCCTTAGTTAACTTGGGTATCTTTGGTACAGGATTCATGTAAGTCAAATATATGCCTCCCGCATGACCTCCTGTTTAAAAAAAGCCCTTGATATTGCCTTGAGTGCTATCACAAGGCTGAAACCAAAAGGTGTCATTTATTAAACATGATGTTCTAAGGGGAACCTAGAACATCAGATCTTTGCAGCTTTACTGCAAGGCCTTATTTATATACACAAAAGGATGAAGGTCCTGACTCCTGTTACGGCCGTGACAAGTGCCTTGAGTTTACGAAATGTTTATTGTGTCGAACTTTTTTTTCTATGGGAGTGTTTTGAATTTTCATTCCGAGTCAAGGGAAAACTTGGCTATTTTTACCAAATAAACTAATAAAATAAAATAAAATTATTAAATAATATATATCAAGTATATGTTGGGACGACGGTCATGTGACCATGTCATGTGACTGGGGTTAAACCCATACATAGCATTTACACAAGTGTAAATATATAAATGTTCCCCGTTTTTAATAAATCTTTTATCATATATTAATTAATATAATAACAAAAATACCATAACTTATTAATTATGATATATCGTGACTAATTACCTTTTTGTCCATTTAACAGTATATGATAAACTTTTATAAACTTTTCGTAAATTTAAAACATACCCGGGTTATGCGTTACGTGGCGTAATAGTTTATATTAATGTATAATGATATAAATTATACGTTATATGGTTTATTTTACATATGTTATAGTTAAATTATCCATATATTTATTTAACGTAAATTATAAATTAACGGTTTAATTAAAATATAATTAAAAATTAACATTTTTATAAATTTATAATTTTACGAATTTTTAATTAAAAGTTTTTATATTTTAATAAATTATATTTAATTATATAATTAATTTATAATAAAAATTATAAAAAATATTAACGTTTTTAAATTTATTTTTATGTTTTTTATTTTTATTTAATTAAAATAAATAATATAAAAATTAAAAAAAATATTATTATTATTAAAAGTTAAATAAATATTTAAATTTAAAAACCGAATTTTAATATAATTTTTTTTAAATAAAATGCACGGTTACGTATAAACGTAATTTATATGTATTTTTATTAAACCGTTAATTTATATAAACCGTTAATTTATAATTTACGTTATTTATTTAAAATTATTAACATTATATAAGTTTATTAAAACTACGTATTTAAATAAAGTTTAACGCAAATACCAATCAATTAAAACTAATAAATACCTTTTACAATTTGTTTTTATATTATATGATTAAAGTATGTAACCTTAACAACAAGCTACTTAAGTATAAGCAAGCAAATAATTTTGGGATATCATCTCACGAGGGAATGACGGGGATTAGGGTCAGAATTAATTTCTCAGGTTGCACCCTTAGCGGCTATCCCCCCAAAGTCGCCTCCCCTAAATGTCCCATAGCAGGTACCTACCGATGCAGCTCTGCTAGCCCAACCAGCATACCACCTCTTTGGACAGCGATGCATGACGGAACACCAATAAATGAATATGACAAGAGACGTTGAGTGTCTTTGTGAAATCGCAGAGAGATGCTGCCCTGGAACAGCGGCTGGTCAATCCATAAACTGACGCCAGTTTCCAGGATATCCATTAGTTACCTAACCTCAATGATCCATTCTTTTAGTGATATGACCGACTGTAAGCAAGCGCGCTTCGCTTCACCCGTAGTATCCTGTGAGTTCATCTAGATGCATCTAGGGTGAGTGTAGGCGAGTCTGGGTGAGGAGCACCAGTGAGCTCATTCGTAGAAATGACGCCAACTCAATGGCCAACCGGAAAGATCCGCGCAAAACATGGAGTAGCTCAAGATATTTTAAAAAGGCGGCGAATTGGAAAACTATGACTCCGATTCCAATTATCAAAACCGCCATCCAATTAGTCCCATTCGCCTCCGGATGTGAGTGCCTAAACAAGATTGATGTTTCGATATGATGATGTTGGTATGCGGAAGTATATAGATTTGAGCGCGATGTACTTTGAGACCATTGGTGAAGCTCTTAGAGCGCTGTGAATGTTCGATGTACCAACCTACTCACAAGTGCTTGCTAGGCGACTGAATTCATGACCAAAAATCCCACTTCCGATATTCGGTAGCAACGTAGAATCTGTTTCGTCACTCCGCACGCTTCGGTGCTGCCAAAATTAGTCGCTACTCCGACTAGCATCCCCTCCTTTTCTATTAGAACACGGGAGATCTTCTATGTACAAGCCTCAGTGGAGTTCATTCGTTGTACCTCTTAATCAATTAGTCTTATGGCTCTTTCTACGCTCGGGTTACTCACGATCGGCGCCATCCCAACAGTCATTGGTGTCGCAGAAGCAATTGACGCCCAGAAGAAGCAGAACCAACAAGCGAAGGAAAGAATAAAATTCAAGTTAACGGCAAACTTTTCACACGATGACGTTGCGCTGCCGCAAGATGCTTCCGTAGTCTTCAAGGACAAGAAGGTGAGTTTAGTTGGGTGAATGTGGCCACTGGAACCTATTTCGCTTCTTTAGTTCACCGAACGGCCAATCCGTCTTCTAAACTCTTTGGCAGCTCTATCTAAACCACCCGGCATGTCCAGTGGAGGGCTATCCGTTCAACGGCTTCTATTTTGGTTACCCCGGACCTGAAAATCACCAAGGCCTAGTAGCGCCCATAGCAGACGACCCGCCGATGCTTAACTGGATATATGCTGACAAGGACACGGGGCTACTACGTCATGGGTCAAGATCAGAGACTGTTGGCCACATCGTCGGGCCTTGGAGTTGGACAGAGGATGAGGAGTGGTTAACACTCGAGAACGGGCAGAATTTTGTGGCCGTTGAGAACGATGAAGGTTCGTGGAATATTTACTACGACAAAGGAGGGAATTTAGACGAGATCTTGGACCGCGATGTAGTGGATATAAATTTGCATCGCGAGCTACAGCTTGGAGTATCTAGTCGATATACGAGGGAGGACTAGCAAGTTACTCAGCCGTTCGGCTCAGGGAGAAGACAAGAAAAAATAATCTAAAAATAAATTACATGTTCGGTATTTCGAAATACTCGTCATTAAATAACTTACATGCTATACTTAATACCTACCTAGATACCTACCTAGGCAATAATAATAATAGAGCCATTATACCCTACACCTCCCCTATGTAGGATGGTAAGTGCTAAAGCTCCACCCGCCCCATCTAAGTCCCGCAGGTAACTTATAGGGCAATTTCTACGAAGAAAATACGTGGTGGCCTATGTCAGTGGCTTGTGCGAGACCTAATATCTTCATATCTCGAAAGATTAATGTAAAAGTCTGGGGATTTCTCATTTAAAATTCCCTAGCAACTATATACTTGTAGATTATGTATAGGTTAAGTGGAGCCTGTAACACTTACCATCCTACATAGGGGGCGGTGTATCCGCACCCCCTCTCTGATGTAGGATGAGAGCTGGCGATCGACTAATACTTAATGTGTGGCTTGACGTCAACATCCAAGCCACTCAGATGCTGCCACACCCCAACTACCCCCATATGTATCAAGAAACAGGATGATGCTAGTGATGTCGCGGCATTGCTGTCTAGTAAAGATAGATGTAGAACTTACGAATGCGCGACATCAGGGTTCAATGTTTCGACTCGGACAATGCATACCGGGACAAATTTCCCGATCTAGACCACCGGTGACGTATCATTTCTGAATATCACATTGATTCGAAGACTCCTATGGCCAAGATATCTCTTCCTATATGTAGCTTTGTCTTATGTATTTTAAATATATCTCATGTAAATAGGTACTCGAGCCCAACGGACCTAAACATAGACAGTTTAGTCCTCAACTTCCTCCTACGAAGAATAGTTTCTCAAATATTATCTCCTTTAATCTATACTTTCCATTCTTACAGCTTGATCCACCCAGATATTTCATCAGTATAATCGAAAATGTCGTCTCTTAGTCCCTCAGGATCCGGATCTAGGTCCCGCCAGGGTCGTCGCCGCAGCCGTAACCAATCCCGACGACAGGAGGCCACCGCGCCACAGCCAGAGCCGCAGAATCAGCGGTATGAGGATGATGATGAGAGTGCCGAAGATGCCGAAGCAGCACCTCAACCACAACGACGGCGGCGTCAGCGCAATCAGCAGATGCAACAGCAGCAGACGCAACAGCAGCAGCAGAGCGGGGGTCCGCTCGGTGGCATTGGCGGAGGTGGTATTGGCGGCGTTGATCAGCTGCTCCCCGTTAACAACGTCGGCGAAACCGCAAACAACCTGACGAACTCGGCGACCGGTACATTAGGCAATGTTGCCGGCGGTGCCCTCAACCAGGGCGGCGGAGGCAAATCTGACACTCTACGTCTTAGACTTGATCTCAATCTTGAGATTGAGGTCACATTAAAAGCGAGGATCCATGGTGATCTAGAGTTAGCTTTGCTGTATGTGACCCCTTTTCCTATTAACTCCTCTCAAATTTCTCATAGACATTTTCTATTAATCAATACTATCCATCGCATGCTCCATTCTTAAATTTCCTAAACTCTTTCTATCCCCGTTACCAATATTGTAGTCGGCGTGCATACTATTTGTTCCTGTCATGTTTGACGTTCAGTTGTTCTGATACGCTTTCTAAGGGACACTGCTTGAGCATGACGCAAATGAAAACATTATTGTATTTTGGCTGCTTAGATTTGGGAAGGAAAAAAAGACTGCTGCACACGAATCGAATGCCCGAGATGATTTTATATGTATACATACCTCCGGTCATTTAAATTTCTATCGTCTATGCCAATCATGGTATTTGTCAACTACTGCTAGTAGAACTCGCTAATATTTTTAGTAATTGATAAAGGACAAATTGATGGTACTATTTACCATTTTACACTCTTGACATATAATCTATATGGATTTTCCATTCAATTAGTACTCAAACCGGCATGGTCTCATGAGGGGTTTCGTCATTTATATCTTGCAACACTGGACAGGATCTGCCTTCTTTTAATTACTTTATTAATAATTGATATACGAACACATGTATATAGGTAGCTACATATTTAATTCAAGTTGTATGGGACAATAACTACCTAAATTACTTAGTTGACCTAATTTTCCCCCTTGGGGCCTGAGCTATTGTCAGCCCTCCAACACAGACGTGGAAAGTAGTTTGATAATATCCTACGTTGAAAAGGCATAGGTGTCAAATTTATATTTCTATCTTGCCAACTAGAGGGCTGTAATTTGTAGTAAATAGCAGTATAGAAAGTGCCCAACTAATTTTTCGTCCTTGCTTATTCTTAAGGCTATCTATAATTTCCAAGGACAACTCTCAAGGCATATCTTAGCGTGGGATATGTCGTTCTCGTTAAACCCTCACTTAGCTCCCAATATCTCATTATTCCGAATCAGATATCCGGAGAAGGATTATATCAAACTAGAGGTTATATATACCTGTTACCGCGATCCTACTGATCGCTACACCTTCTTGAAAGATACTAAGTACTTGTCAGGCATTAACACTGGGTAGACTATGCCGTCACTTGAGTTACCCGAAGTATACGAGATCATGCTATAAACTTGTTTTGCTCACTTTAACTACATGATATCAATAAAAGGCGACCGATAAGAGATCCTATCTAGCCGAGGGCTATATAAGCCTATTCATTATAAGTCCATCTAGTCGGCTAAATAATATTAATTCTGGGCCTCTAACCCTCCCCCCTCTCCTCGGAAATCCATCACATAGAAACCGGCCTATCCGGTAAGGCTACCCAATAGTAGGGTTAACATGGCAAATTTTGCCAATATATCTGGGGTAAGACAGCTCGCTAAACATATAGGGGTTTCACTTGCGCCTATTTTCAGCAAGGCAATATACTGCCACGCGCTTATCGGGCCGTACTCCACGCCCATGACCTCGAGTCAATATAGAGCTACACGCTTCTGTCTAGGAACCTAGGGAGGCGAGTGCATATACAACACACCTCTTCGGCTAGGCATCCGAGACTCAGGCGCGCTTGCCCCAGCAATAAGCTTTAATATAACCGCCTTTTACAGAGCCAAGCATTCTCCAATGTGACCAGGATGGTATGTGAACTACCTGGTTCGACAATTTATCGCGACAAAGGCTACATCTTTGACGCGGTCACTTGGACAGTTGTTTATTACTAGCGCCTCACGTTCGTTACCTCAATATATAATAATCTGCGTACGGGAAATTTTGGCGGTCACTCTCTTTGGATCCGTCATACATCGGCAAATCCATCCTTGAGCGTTTAAGATGTCGTTTCGGAGCGCTAATGAAAGCAGATAAGGAATAGCATCATGCGTCAAAGCTTAGCCATGTGTCCGTACTGGGTTATTTCTATAGCCCTAGACAGTTAATACTAACCGCGGACCTTGTCCTCCTATATCTTAGAGTGGGTATATAGTAAGTGCTATTCGTAGCTAACGTGACTACCAGCCAGTCCTTTGGGCCCCAATATCAGAAAATCAGCACCCTTGACGCGGTACTTGGCATCATCAGGTCAGAATGATGCGTTTTTCCGCGACGTGGGGTTGAAGGGATCATAGTATACTATAATAATCCGTGTCCAAACCACAGCCATTGGCAGTGGTGTTTTCACTATTATTTTCTTGACTACCATAGCTACCTGTCTACATATTACTACAAAAACTTCCATCTACCTTTTAGTAGGTCCGTCTGTTCTTAGCTCAATAGTTTATACGAGCTGCTCAGAAATCGTCAATACCCGGGCAAACTATCTGATCCTTAGTTGAGAATTCTTAGATTATTGATAACTTGGCTTCCTCCAGACAGCCTGGAGTGAACGGTGCCAGTTGGAAATGCATGGTAGTGAGTCAGTACCTTCCAGGTACAGGCTGCTCTTCACCAGGGTGATCCCGCAGTTTCAAAAGACATACCGTTCCAGATTACATTCGTTGATAATACTACCAATAAAGGGGGCTCTTAGCCAATATCCTTGGCGGAAATTCTACACCTAGTTAATACTAACTTGTAAGTACCTAAACTTCTATATACAAGCATGCTTTTTGTATTCACCTAACAGCTATCAGGATATCACATTCTTATTCCACAACAGAGAAACATATGGCTACGATCTATTCTTATCCATCACCGGACGTGGCAGCTGCGATGGAAGTATCTGCTGCCTGTGAAGTATATATCATGGCAGGCATCATGGGCTTCATGGGTCTCTGCTGGATCCTCCTAGCTGCTTTCTTCCTATACAACTTCTATGGACCATTAAAAATCGTCAATACGGAGGATTCCATAGACCTGCATGTAGTCAATGATGGAAGTGAGAAGAAGTGGTGGATCGATGACTACGATGTTGTATAGAGCGGGCATATATGGAATTTGAAGAAGCAAGCCTTCTGGGTCGCCGGTTGATACCCGGGGACCAATACAACCATTCAGGCTGCAGGCAGTTGCGCGTATATGAGACAGCGCCGGAACTCCTTACCTGCCTAAGCTATACGTTGCGCAGTAATTTTGAAGAATATAATATCGATACTCATAATATAATATTCACTCCGTATCAATTTCTCAAGCGTATGCCAACAATACAATACAGCCACTTAGTGCAGCACTCCTTGATATATGTCACGAGGTGGAACGAAACAGTATGGAAACAACTTCGTTGTTCCGCAAGGAACTCTAAACTACCTATGAAGATCTATCGTCTATACATACTGAACAGTTCCTTTGTTCTAGATGTCTCATCTAGAATCCTGACAATATACTTCAAAATTTCGCTATGTCGGCGGCGTCATTTCCAACGCCCGAACTAACGCAGACCTAAATAAATTATATTTTACTTAGAGCCTTGTAGTTTAGTATGTTGAACACAATCCGTGACTCTCTTCTTTTACCTAGATATAATACCCCACATATACAATGCTTGCTACGCGGGCCTTTAGCCATAAACGTATTCTTGGAAACCCAAGGCTAAAGTACCGGGATGGAAAAACTCGAGGGCTTGGGATTGGCTAGTTCGGACCCAGATCTCCCGAAGCTTGTTAATACAAATGAGAGATCTGCTCTGTTACGAAGTTAGGAGCTAGGTCTGTGGAATTTGTATCTTTCATTTTCGGAATCGTCGCAACTATGTTTATTCGTCAAGTGCTTCGCTTTGCTTTATCAATTGGCATTTGCCTTAATCTATCCCTAGCTAGTCCGCTTGACCTAGGCGAACTAGGTGTTCAAGCTGAACGCCGCGCAGACGCGGGATTAGTTGGATACCTTGGGGCTATCTTCCTCGGGGCAGATCCTTATGTGTACTTCTACCTTAGTAACGGTAATGATCCGCTATCCTTCAAAGCGTTGAACAAAGGCCAACCTATTTTACGGCCAACGAAGGGCACTGGTGGTGTTCGAGACCCGTATCTTGTCCAAGGCGGCGGTGCCGAAGCTGGCCGAAAATGGTATATCATTGGCACTGATCTCAATATCGGGAAGGTGATTATATTTTAAAAGCCCATATGTCCTCTCTCGCTGACAGCATTATAGACAAATTGGGATGCATCCCAGCGAACAGGCTCAAGGGGCATATTTGTTTGGGAGAGCACTGACCTTGTGAACTTTGGCAATGAGCGGCTAGTAAATGTGGAAGACTCAACTGCCGGTATGGTATGGGCTCCGGAAGCGATATGGGATGCTTCAAAAGGTTGGTAATTCGCTTGAAACTTACCTATATACAGGATGATACTGACGGATGTAGGCCAATATTTAGTCCACTGGGCTTCAAAGTTTGTAGGTCTTGCCGTTTAAAATCAGCGAATGCTCTTATTAATGGATTATAGTATTCTACCTCAGATAGCGGGCATACCGGTTCCCCATCCAATATCCGAATCAGGTATGCTTACACAAGTGACTTCAAGACGTTTACGCAACCTCAAACGTACATCGATTATGCGCCGACAAACATTATCGACCTGGATATTGTACCGCTGGATACTGAAGGGAAAAACTACTTACGATTCATGAAAGATGAATCAGCTAAGACTGTATTTTTGGAATACTCTACTACGGGACTTTTTGGAAGCTGGACTAGAGCCGGGGGGAGCGGTGGTATAATCACATCCGGTGTCGAAGGCCCTGCCGCATACCGCGACAACAAAGACGATGCCAAGATCCACGTCCTCCTGGATTTCTACGGTGGCGATGGCTATCGACCGTATGAGAGCACGGACCCAAAGGGAAACAAATGGACGGCAAGCAGTCGATCCGGATTTCCAAGCAATTTGCGGCATGGGAGTATCCTCCCTATTAACCAAACTATATACGATGCACTGAGCAAGAAGTTCAGCTCGTAATGAATATAGATTTAGTTAGTAGCACACGTCGGTATTGCTGGTTACATGACGACCGAATCGTATATTGAAAAAATGTGTCTAGAACAGCAGAATTCCTAGAGTTCCTGTTACTCATAATATATACGGTACCTTTGCCCGGCTTTACCAACTAGGGCCAATGCGATAATCTGCCCATCGGCCTCTATCTGCCTCTTTAAATATATCTATATTCCCTTCGATGCCACTGTCTCCCACTTTCCAGATGCCAGATTAAACTAAATGCGTCCAGGCTTCGAATAACATTTCTAACCTCTGTGCCCGCCACCACTCGCCTCCAAACGGTTTAAAGCCGTGCTGGAACAGATCCGCTACACTTTTCTTTTCTACTAGGTTCATATCGCTCTTCCTTGCGCCATGCTCTTCGCCAAGGACACGAAGAGGAAATGGAAGCAAGAGCCGGAAGCCCTCTTCAGCATTGTCTCCAGAGAAACGTTCTACAGATTCCGAGTAGAGTCCGGAGAGGATCGACTGACCATCTAAGGGCATGTCCTTGCTAGATGCCGGACAGAATGGATTGAACGAGACGTAGGAATTGGTAGATGTTAAACTCACGATCCGCCTCTCCACCGATGCGAAGATAAGGACAGGTGGAATGATGGTACTGTGCTCAGAGCTAATATTTATAGTGGTGTACCTTTGATTGGCTGCAAACACGGTTGGGTTATGAGGAATAGCTAAACCTGGAGCAATTCGGTCAAATCGTGGTCGGCGAACACTTGATAGGAATGAGCGAATGAAGCATGGATTCGGAACAGAGGCTTCATCTAGGTCAGTGTGACTGAGCAAGGGCTCGTTGGAAATAGGTAAGAGTTTGTCAGGTGAGATACGGTATTCAATAGCTTTTGCAAGTCGTTCGAATGAGGCAATTGCACTAACTACTTGCGTCGGACCGTAGGAATGCCAGACCCAGGGGCCATGCTTCTCATTAGGTGCACCGTCCCGAGAAGCTGTGATCTTGCCTATTTGAACCATGTGCCACCAGTTGCTGAGTATCGTCTCAAGCGGATGCCACAGCTGACGATGTCTCTCAACTGGTTGGGTGAAGTCGATATCCTCAATTCCGAGAGCCATGGTAGCACAATGGAGTTGCTGGTCGTATATTAAACCCATCGCGTGTTCTACCAAGCCCGGATTTGTGTTATATAAAATGAGAAAACGTCCGGGCTCACTCATTGCATCATAATATAGAGTATCATCATCAGCAAACATAGAAGCGGGCGGTGAGATGCCTTCAACCCAGAAGAAAAAAGGTGGCAGCTGCTCGGCTACTATGATGGATTCTAAGAAAGTCACAAGAGCAGGATCAAGTCGTCTCCTGATTTCATTTGCTTGGTTACCATAGTGATGGAAGAACGAGTGTCGCTCCAAGTCACTTATTTCGCGCCCTTCCGCTACCCAAGCGTATTCGACCAACTTGTTATGTAGCGCCGCGCATCTTGCATAGTCCAGAGTGTTATCAGTGCGTGCTGGACGAGTGGGCGTAACTAAGAGATCGTTCAGGCTTGTTTCCTCGTTAATGATATCTGTTCGCGTATATTTCGTGTACACTGGATGCTTGATGAAGGCAATGCTGATTGATATTATGGCGATTAGTAAGAAGATATTGGGGTTAAAGTATCTAACGATGAAAGTCGAAGTCATTATTCAAACAATACTGATTTAGGTATTATCAACATTCCTAAGGCACGGGCCGTCCGCCGGGATTAATCTAACGGAGCCCCTAAGATATGTACCTAAGCATATGATATGTCCCCAAGTATTTCCAGCAACCTGACATCCTACGGGTAGCTACCTAGGTACCTAGGCTTTGTAGAATTCCTATACGCTAAGCCCAAAGTTGGTGCCCAGATGATCGATTCTATCTCTTCGGAGTTAGAAGTCAAGTCATGAGTGCAGCTTTGAGAAATTTCTAATTGTCATAAGCGGTGGCGAACAAGTCATCACTTGTGTTAATATTTTTACCTTAATAATTTTAATGTTGCTTTTGAAGACATCCAAAGGGAAGTCAATCCTCGAGCTGGAAATTCCGAATTAGCCCCCACATAGGTCATATGTATGCTTACATTGGGTACCTAAGATACCTCCTAGGTACATAAACCCACTAACCCTAAGCGAGACTAGCCCGGGTTCAAGCGGCTTGGCAGAGTTTTCCCATTTTCTTGCGGCTTCAACAACTTTCGCCTTAACTTTTACGCCAATCCCCCAATCCCACGTGCAGAAAGTTCATAACCTATCGCGATCAAGTCACAAGCACCAATGACCGGCTCGCTCGGCCGATTATGCTTAACCGCGGTGGTCCGACTGGATGCCGAGACTTCCGGTAGGAACCGTCACTGGACGACAATATGTACCTAACCTATGAATGTAGAAAATGTTCAGAGAATGTCAAGAATGTCAGAATGCCCCAGGCGGTCCCCCTAGCGACAAAGGGGGTCGAGTACCTAACCTACCTAGGTACCTATATTTTTAGACCCTTGGACCCTTAAGACACCCCCGGCTTTCTTTTTTTTTTTTAATCTGCTGCTACCCAAAGAACAAGAAGGAAAGGGAGAAAAAAGAAAGCTTATTGTTAAAGTAGTCGAATGGAAAGTGGCCCCGCTAACATTTCTATTATTATCATTATTATTATTAACTAGTTATTATTGTTGTTAACGTTCAGCCTCCTTTTACTTTCCTTTCTATTCCCTCACTTTGTGTCAGCATTTGGCAGAAAGCTTCGTCCTCAGCACTACTTACCTACCTACATAAGCTATCAACATGATATGACGCTTCGGGTAGCTAGTCTTCTTTTTCTATCCATACCTCCCCTTTCCTACCTTATTGTTCCTCCCTACCGCTTTACCAAACGCCAATTATGCCGTGGGCGACAAATCCTCTCTTCAAGCCGACGGCGGAGCCCCCAGCTGATGTCGAAGCTGCCGCTGCTAACTCCAGTCCTGATCCTGACACTGATACCGATACCGATCTAAGTCCACAACAGGATGCCGCGGGAAGTATAGATGATGGATTCAAAGAGCCGACGGAAAAGTTCACTGCTCATCAGATCTTCTACATTTTCATTCTTGATGGGCTAGGTGCCATGATTCTCTCCGGTGGTATCAACTTTGCAATTGCATATGGTATATTCATTTCATTTCATTTCAATCATGTCTTCATTCTCAAGCCTCAACTATAGTCAAATCCCTAACAGAATGATAGCCATGTATGCAACCCAGGATATCGTAACAAGACCTATTCGGTTGTTCTTATTTCCGAATACCCTTGCTGGAGATGCAGCAGTCACCATCATTATTCAGTGTCTCATTACGTGGCATATAGAACTCTTCCTCGTAAACCGGGACCTAAGAAAAGGTGGTGTGCATCCGATCGGATTTATCCCTGAACCCAAGAGCCGGTTTATGCGGTGGTTCATGTTCTTAGACCGTCCCAAAGAGACGCACGAAGTTAGGAGTATTGTGCATTGGTTGAGCTTCTTCCGTTCTCAGATTCTGCGGGCTCTGCTGGTTGCTGTGGCCTTCTTCCCTATAATATGGGGGCCTAGCATTGGCTTTCTCGTTCTGGCGGGTAAATGGGAGGGCGATGACTGGTACTACGATAAAGTGTGGGCACCGCAGGTCTTTAAGCTCATTCAGGGAGCCGTGCTGGGACTGCTAACCACACCGCCCATGGTGATGTTCTGGCTTACGAGGTGTGGATGGGCGTTGAAGAATAATGAGGAGCGTTACGGTGAACGGTGAGCTTGGCAGGCGGTGCTTATATCGCTTCAGAGGTAGGTATATACTAATAATGCATTATGGGAATCCTGATAAGGTATCCTATTCAAGCATAGTCTCATATGAGAGTTTAAGTCCGGCTTTTAAGCAAGGGCCAAACAGGCAGGACAACAGACGATGATTCCAATTTCAGGTCGTGTACGCACTTAGTCACACGTTGATTTCCCGCAGCCGTCTCAGCGACGCCCCACCAGGTAACTGATCGATATTGAGTGTATTCTTCCATGACCAATCCCCTCACTCGACCATCCGGTTACATGTTTATAGGTGTCATATTTATGAAAAGCTATCCCTGTCAAGGCCGTGAAGACGCATTAGCACATCGTAGCTCTAGCTATGAATTCTATCACACCTAATAGTAGAAGATAAAAGTAGGATTGGCAAGCGAGCCTGTGAATTATGTGTTAGGATATGCTCTTCATAGACAGCCAGCTCCCATACCCTAATGATTCAAGTGAAAAGACCAGTATGCAAGGTTTATGTTGGAGTGGGTATCGGCACTGCCGATGTAGTGAAGCCAGTGAACGGTATCCCGCTTCCGGTTGGAAGAGGATGACTTAGTGTCACTGTCTCAATCCCGGAGATAAGAGTCGGACCCGGAATCCTGTATGTCGACACGCCATCATATATATCTAGATGCATGCTGGGGTCGTCGGGGTCATAGAGCTCCTCGCCGAGGATACCAGAAGGCAGTTCGGTACCGTCACTAGTAATCTGCAAATTGATACACTGGGGATAGTTCTGCGCACCGATTTCGTGCGATGCATTATGTAGGGAGATGATTTCAGTCCGCAAGATGTAGAAGCCTGGTTGTATCTGCCGAGGAATCTCCACCATCCACGAATTGTTGTTCGCGATGAGCTGATCAGAGCCCCATAGGCCGAGTGCTTTAGAACCGTCTATCAATCCAACCTGGTTGATCTTGAAGAATCGTAAAGCATCTTTATCAACCGTCTCGCAAGAGTTACCGCAGGACGCAAGGTAGTCCAACACTGGGCCTTTGTGAGACTCGGGCCAGCCATTCCATTGAATATGAACAATGTCACCTGCAGAAACGGGAGCATGGTTCTTCGCGTTCTTAGCCCCCCTATGGCAGATGATTTCTTCTGTTCGATATCCGGTCTGGTTTACGTAACCTTGGTCAAAGGCGGTTGTCGACCAACCAATGGCGAACGGATGATCATCCGGCTCCGTAGGGCGGAAGCCATCATATGAGAGACGGTTGATATTGATATTGGATACGAAACTATGCGCTAATACAGAGAACTGGCCTGTAACGGCTGCGAATAAAAAAATCTGAAAAGAATGCATTTCGCTAAGGTTACCTATGATCCACTCAAGGGCCGGTGCTGCATAGGAACATGATCAGCAAATACAGAGATGGGTGGTTTACCCTAGGTATATACCTATATATTTATCCGACAACCGGGTTGCTGTTCAGCGTAGAGATTAGCCAAGGCAACCAGAATATAAATTGCACCATGTGTATGAGAGTCAAATTGATTAGAAACGGCTGAAAACCATGTAAATACTACAATTCCGACAGCAACAACAACAATTCTGCCTAATATCTACGCGAGTTCGGGCCCTTCTCTTACCCCTGCTCCCCGTGTCCCGTGGGAGAAAATCGTATAGACAGAAAAAATACTGCGCATAGAAACGATGTGTTGGCGAAAAAACGACAGGTAGGCTTCGTGAGCTTATCATACCGTGGCGTAATGAGCTAAATACTTAGTTTCTACATGATAGTAAGGCAGAAGCCATACACAACAAGGTCGGGAGTTGATACCGAATGAATGATATTTTAAGTGCTTAACTGAGAACTAATAGCGCATTTAACAGGCGAGTAAGAGTACCTAGGTACCTTAGGTAAGTTAACGGAACGCGGGCTGGAAAACGCTCAGGGACACATTCGGCATATGTAGGACTCCCGTAGCCAATCAAGGCGATGATCAGCATCTAGCTTGCATCGAATGAGGCGCTATCCGCAGATCATCCAGGGACCTGGGAGAGAGCCAAGAGCCCTAAAACAAGCGGGAATATTCTGCCCGTGCACTTGGTACATGATATACGAAGTACATACAGCCCCCAATATATTTACGTCATTTGTTGACTTGATACAGACTCTCACCAGTTGTCGGTCAGGGGTAACGTCAGTTGTGACATCAATCGAGAACATGCTCGAACCATTATAAACATCTGACACAACTCCATATCCTTATTAATACCAACCATGGACGGCAGGACCAACGTCTCGATTCTTTGTAAAAAGGAAAAAGTAAAAAACAACCCCCCCAACTTACGTTTCCCCTAATCCAACTGACAAACCCGATCATTATTAGCAATTAAGGGCTTCCCAATAATGACTCCCTTAGGATACTCCGACGGTAACGTGCAAAATGCTAACCCGGTTTCTAGAGCAGAAGTAAGTATCTTACGTGCTCCTAAATGCATTTTTCACTGACGGTAATGTTCAACCAATAGTTCCCTTACCTACAAGGCGACGAGAATAGCTGTAACAGATCCTCCGCCCATAATGTCAAACCAAGCGCTACTGTATCGAAGAAGCGTAAGTCGGATGCGGTAGAAGACCGTCAAAATATATCTGAAGTGGACGATAATGATCCCCGCCTTTATGAAATAGACGAGACGTGCAACGAGATCCGCCGGAAGATCAAGGACTTCATTCAAGGTGGAAATATGAAAGTTGGAGACTTCCAGAAAGCCATAGGGGTATCTTCGGGTGCATATCAGCGGTTTATGAATCAGAGCGGAACCTACAAAGGCAAGGACTGCGACACATACCCTAAAGCCTTTACGTTCTTCAAGAAGCGCGAACTGCAAGGTCTCAAAGCAGTTCCGCCTAAGAGACCTAAGAGACCTAGGAAGAGCGAGAGTGAAGCTCTTGATGTCAGCGATATAAAGCTTTACGGCGAGGATACGCAAAGCGTACCAGTGTATGATACATGCGACGAGGTCCGCAAGAAGATCCGGGCTTTTCTACGGAAGCCTGACATCAGCCAGAGCGCCTTCTGCCGTGCTATAGCGAAGAGCTTCCCTGAAGAAAAACGGATTCAATCCAGGCAGCTTAACTGTTTCCTAGATAAGAAGGGACCTATGTCTGGGAATACTAGTTCTGTGTTTTACGGCGCTTATGTGTTCTTCGAAAAGCTACGCATCAAAGAGGGTAGGCCCAAGTCAGAGATGAGGCAGGAGATGGAGAAAGTCCACCCCAGCGGAGTGAATACCACCGATCTTCAGCTATGGTGGACATGTAGGAATGATGAGCGTCCAGTTTACGATGCCTACGGACGTATCCACTTCGTCAACCACCGATCCTCGTTTACCCCTTTCCGTTCCTAATGTATACAATATGATCAAGAATTAAGGGTACAATTGCTAGCTATAAGAGCGAATAACTATCTAAAGTACTTACCTATATGTGTTTGTCAACCTAGCAGAAATAGAAGGTTAATACGTCGCAACTCGGTTTTAGTGGTCAAGTCGATCAGCACGTATCTGTTGAGGCCTAATATCTTTAGGTGCTGCCTTAGGTAACAGGGTATTTAAATTCTTTTGAAGAAGGGTTACTTTCTACCTAGGTACCTACTTAGAAACCTCAATAATTCCAGCTGAAGTTCTATGAGCGTGTAATTACCTCAGATTGGTAACGTCGTTCATACCGCCATCGTTTCCAACACAGACTTCACATCAATTAGGCGATTTGAGAACTGGGTCGTCCGCCAACTAAAATGCCTTACTCTGACGAGAGACTACATGGTGCTCAATCCCATTAACGTATGAACGCGACATCACATAAATGGCAGCACCCAAGATTTCAACAACGATTCCGATTGGAGTCTTTAAACAGCAGACTTTATCCACCATGATACATGATAAGGGACTTACCATAACCAATCACTTACATGTGTGAATGTGGTTAGGTTTCATTCGGACGATCTATATAGATTTGTGTAAATTGAAATCGAGGCGGCTAAACTAACACGTACTAATTAATTAACGAATCTTGGTTTTGGGTGTTTCCCCGCGTTGATGATATTATAAATATATAGTCGCTTCCTACCACATGAGATTTAGGAATATACCATGTTTGGAACTGGCATACCTACTACCTACTACGAAAATGCGTTTCTTACTATTTCTTTCTGCCGGCGTCTTAGCGCCCACTATCAGCAGTGCTGCTCCAGTTGCGCACGACGACGCTCTCATCAAGAGAGAAAACCTGTGCAATTTAAAGGCTCCTCCTGCTCTCTGCCAACCGGATCCCTCTGTTACCGTGGAAGAGACAGCGCAGAGAGCTTATGATTTCTATCGTGCATTCGTAGTTGATGGAGATCCCAGAAAGATGTTTTCCTTAATAGATTCAACTTATACAGTTAGTCACTATTTTAGCTCAAATACATATATATCGTGTATTACTAGCAGACTGGCATTGGTACTAATTATTGAATGCTCTATCACAGCAACACCATCCAGGGTACGCGTCTGGGCCCAACAATATCTGGGGTATTTTCTGCAGTGGAAGTAAGCTTGGAAGCGAGCAAAATACGGCTTGGTGTTTCGATGCCAGCACAAATATGTCATACGCCCAATATTCGACTACGGACAGGTGGCTCTGGCTTGATGGATGCGTTCACGAACACGTAAGTATTTTGAATTATTTACAAGCAGGCGTGCATCGGCCTAACAACCTATTCTAGTGGGACCAAGGCGAGAGAATCCCAACGGATAAATGCTATCAGTTGAATCCAGAAGGCATATCTTAGCGGTGTTATCTGTCGAGTTTAGATAGGCACGATGGGGCTGTTGGTACATATGAGGAAAACGTAAGAAGGGATATTGATAATGGTTCAGTGCACTGCGTATATAAATATCTCGAAGACGAGTTTGTTTTCAAGAATATTTAGTACTTAAGGGACTTTCACTCTAAAATTTCAGCTCATTTGGTGCTTCTTTTCCTCGATACAACACAGGTAGGATTCATAATTTATTAAGGCATCGAAGCCCTCAGGACAAATGGCTGCAATATCCACTCATAATATTAACAATAATTAGACAGTATTATAATGCGCCCTGTTTCCTTTACGATGCACCTGATACAAACGGTTTATTTTCGCTATATTAGGTACCTAAATAGTTGTATAATAGGAAACCCTCTGGTAAAACCAACCCCATCAGTTCCTTTTCTGAGACGGCTCTTCTGCAAGACGATATACTAGGGCACGATAAGCTCCATGTTAGAGGGATGGAAACCCCTTAACCTGCTTGATTCCTTCAACACCCTTAAGCCATCCCACGCGGCTCTCAACAAAGTATTCTACCGTGGGTCGCATCTTGGTCTCGTGTAAGTGAAAATCATCGATAGTGCCTAGGCGCAAGATGCTCATGCCTGTGAAGGCCTCTCCGACGCGGTACATAAGCGTACCACACGTTGAGCAAAAGTAGTTGGCCATGCCTTTGCCTGAAGCGATAGTATGCGCTTGGGGGCCGAATTTCGTAAGGTTGTCACGCCCACGAAGATGCTTCAAGTGTGTGTCCAGAATGGTGAAGTTGGTCGCGAACATAGATGCCGTGATTTTATGACAGTCACTGCAATTACATACAAATGTACCGACGTAACCCGGACCCTGTGTTGGCTGCGGATTCGGTGGTGTTAGTAAGGAGACCCTCAAAGCGGGCATTGTGCATGACAAAGCTACATATAGCTTAAGGAAGCGGCTTACAAATGCAAGCTGTACTGCACCACAGAAGCATGTTGCCGTTGCTTCGTCTTCTTTGGACCAGCCGTCATTAGCGAGGCCAGCTAGGGGAAAGAAGGGCTTAGATTTGTCGGTAGTGGTGGCCATTTTGGCTTCAAAGCTGTGAAGATAGTCTACGAGTCTTATTGAATTACTGAAGAGTGCGAAGAAGCGGGCTTGGAAAATGATTCTGAGAACTTGAGGTCTTCCAGAGCTGCTTTTATACTCATTCTTCAAATATGAAGCGAGTTGAGGCTACGACGAAAATATAAAGTCCTGGGCGATTATTAAGCCCTGCATAGTATGATGTAATTTGTAATGCCTACCTATTTCCTATTAGTCATTGGTTTATACGAAATATTCCATATTCTCCCATGCTGTTACATCGACCGGGGACGCCGGCGTATATTTCGGCCATGCAATATTTGGTATCTATCGCAGAAGTAATAGTACTACCCGCACTACCGCGCCTAAGCTACGTAGTAACTAAGAGCTTGACCTAACCTAGCTCGCTAATACGCATATCATCAATTACCTTGGTACGTCAGTGGAACATACGACAATAAATATAGGTAGGCTTATCAGCGCTTGCGTATATCTAAGTGCATTGTGACGCCTCAAAACTTCTTTTCGAATACAATGCAGAGGAGCTAACTGTTCTAGTAGAATGAGTCCTGCTATGGAAGATTACCTTCTTTTCTCGTTCTAGTTAGTCGCCTTCAGATATCCCCCCACACTATAAGTACGCGTCTGAAACTAGTTTTATGACATCTAGATGATGTGGTTAAGTATCATCTATCCCTGAAAGATTACGTAGAAACGCAACCCCTTGAGGTTGATCCCTCATTCTATCCTGCACCTACGAAACCATCCGTTCTGTCAGGATTCTAGATAAGACATCTAGAACAAAGGATAAAGGATACTTTCAGTATGCATAGCCGTAGGCTCCTATAGTTCGCTTAGAGTTCCTCGCGGAAAAACGAAGTTGTTTCCTTGCTTCTTGCTCCACCACCATCTACAACTAATTTAGATGAAGATGAATCAATACCTCCTATACTAAGTAATCTCCATTCAGTGGAGTACCTAGCGTACTTATGATCACACACGCAGTTTATAACATCTCGATCCGCCGCCTACATATAATAAGGGAGCAATTGTCTTATCTACCCCTTTATCGAGCTATCTAGCACCTTCATCCCCCCAAGAGATCCAATCAGGGGACCGAAATCTACCCCATCGAACTAAACCTCGCTACCAACATTTCTTCCAGATCTGATTCCGCCAATGGCTCGATCGGCATCTGTTTTAATGGCTGATCTTGAGCTTAGATAAATTCAATGGAGATTTGATATGAATACTATCTTCCGATACGTTAATACCTCATAGATGGATAAGCACTAGTTTTTGGCCCCCTGTTTGGATCTCTATGCAAGATCTCTCCAAGTCAGTGCAAATAAGCACATAGGTCGGCCGAAGCCCAAGATTGCTGAATATGAGGCAAGCCTATGTTCCTTTTAAAATTAATCTCCCTTACCTCTAGAAACTCCTAATAAATATTGTTCGCATTGTATTATCTTATTTGCAAGGCCTTGACTTCGGCCAACAGTCCAGCACCCGTAGGTGCCTCACTGAGATTTGTTTCAAGTAAACCCCGCACCATGATTTCCTACCTCAATTTCTGTAATATAATGGGACCTGTGAGAACAGCTCGAAGGGACCGTATATACAAAATATATACACTGTGCAGTTTATCAAACCTCTTTATTGATCGAAAGCTCAATTTTGTTAAAACAATTTCAGCCTAGTGAATAAGGAGTCAAGGCGTGGGCAGGTACGTAAAAAGAATAATTTATATACCTAGGTACCTAGGTAGGTGTTGTTATATACAATGCAGTTTCACTCCATTTGAGTGATCCTTATAGTAATGGCCTTTGTATCTTATGATGGTTTGTCCACATCTCATTATCCTGCATGCTTCGCCCTTCCAGTTGAGACCACTGTAGATCTATTATTGAAAATTATCTTTAATTTCCTGGGTTAGTTTGCTAGTCAGACCTAATAGGAGTATTGTGTAAAGATGCTTCCAATGTAATTATGGCCAACTTGTTTAGATGGTATTGGCAGAAACCACTTAAGTCCCAAACAGACCATACTTAACACGGCAGTTGATGCCTAAGATAAATCCATCTTATCTAGTAGAGGCTGAAGATGGAAAAATGCTAAGGAGGATATTCAAAGCCTTATTACTTATGGTAGACAAGTAAAGGGATTCCATTGCTTTTTTGGCAACAGCTAAAACCTGCACCATGTGATTTAAAATGTTCTATAGCTCTAGCTTAGTTCTAATCTTATGATAATGGTGTATTGCTTGATAATGTGTTTCCAGTTAACAAACCAAATCCATTACTTAATTTCAGTTGATAGGCACCATATGTAACTACCTCCTAACCATAATGAACATTAGGTTAAGTATTGATTTTATTTTATTTTATTTCTTATATGTCGCGCACTTAGCGCACTTAGCACATGTTGCGCATATATGCTTTTTTTTTCTCGAAGTTTTTATTCCGGAAAGAAATCATTAAACAAAGGTAACAAATACCCAAAAATGTAAAAATGTAAACAAAGAATTATTTTTATATATAAATATTTAATATATTATAAAAATCATAACAATGACTAACTTAATAATTAATACAATTATGTTTTAATTATATTTTAATTTATTAAATTAATTTTATAATAACTTATTTAACTTTTACTATTCCATTTTCTGTTATTATATTTTATAAATTTATTTTTATGCAAAGCTTTCCATTATCTTAATGAAGATTAAAGATTCTAAATCGTTAACCTGGAGTTAAAGCTATTATGATCCCTCGTAACTTCCATTCTGCTATCTTATTATTTCCTTACATTAATATTTCACTGCCTCGTCTTTTCCTTACTTTATTGCTTCTTTACATCGTCCCTTCCCTGCCTGGTTGTTTTCTTGCCTCGTTGTTTCCTAACCTTGCCGTCTGACCCTTCGCCGCCTGTCAAATTTGCCGTTCTTACCTTGTTATCGCCGCCTGACCACTTCATCCTCGTACCTTCCGCCGTAATATTTTGGCTGCATCTACTACCTTCGGTACCTGTATATAATTCTCTCCCGATTCCTATGATTCCTCTCTCTCGCCGACCTGAATCTTTTTCTCTCGCCGACCTGAATCTTTTCCACTCGCCGACCTGAATCTTTTCCTCTCGCCGACCTGAGTATTTCCTATTACCAACCTGATTCATATATCTTTCGCCAACACAATTCATCATACCTAGTAGATATTTTTCATTCTTATCAATATCTAGTTCATTGCCAATAGGTTATGAATTGTCACTGTTGGCATTGATTCCCATCGATATCTACTCGCATCGGCATCCCATACTCTCAATACTTCTTACCAGCGGTGTTGTTCGATAAAAAAACTCTTTCCTAAAAGCATTTCGCCTATACTCCTCCTTCCCATTTCGCCGATAAGCTTTTCCTCTAGAAATATTCCCTCCCGATAGGCTTCTCTTCCATTTCGCCGACATAATATTTCACCAAGCATATATCCAGTAAGTTATAATTCCTTCATATATCTTTCCCCTTTTTATTAGTTATCGGCATGCTGTTGATTAGGAATTACTTGGTGATGTTTGGCTTTACTAATCGTATCAAGTATCTACCCCTATTGTAGAAATGGCTCCTCAAAACCCCAATAACAGCAACGGAGCTCACAAGGATACCAGCAAAGCCCTCCCGACGCAACCAGCTATTGATGGCGCTCAGGGCAGGGTAAATAGCTACGGTCGGTATATATGTCAAATCCTGGTCAACGGAAGACCCTGCGGTGCTACTATGAAGAATGAGAAACGTAATATTCGTTCTCATTTGTCAAAAAAACATAGGGCCCAATCGGCATATGCGAAGAACCAGGTCAAGACCGATGTTTGGCCCTGCCCAGAGAAGTGTGGAATGGAATATAAAAATTTTCATTCCATGCTTCGCCACATGCGTGTGATCCATAGGTTCACTGGAAAGTCGGCTGGGCTAAAAGAAAAGTCCAAGAATCTTCGAGGTTCAACATCCCAAACAGGTGGCGTAAGTTCCGACACGGACTCCGGCTTTGATGACGAATATATACCACCACCTGACCGGCCTGATCGCGGCCCTGGGGGTGGTAGCAATCAAGATCCTCCCGGCGCTAGTGGAGGCTCTCTTATACCTGCCGCCGCATAATTACCCACGCCGTACCTATATTCTATTCACATAACAACCTCGCTATTTTTCGCATTGGCTATCAGCTTCTTCTCGGAATCGTCCCCTTGCGTTACATATTTCCGTCATGGTAAGCCCGCTATTGTGTCCGTATCAGCCAGTTTAAGATGGTATTTCTCACATTTCCTTCTAGATTCTCCTTTTATCCATCTCCAAAACACAGCACTCGGACAAATACCTAGCGGCTATTCCTCATAGGATATTTTTCCAGTATCAGTTTGGTCGAAAGGTGGAGATATGACGAAGTTGCCATATTTGTATGGAATATGAAGCTAGACGATATATTCCTACCCTACCTACGCCCTCAAGAAAAGCCTACAGCGGCACCTATCTATGCCATTACGCCCTGATGATTGCAGCAGCCCGTTAGACTATACCAGCGGTTGGACCTAAGAATATGTTCACGTACGAATTCGAGCTCATAATCCTGATATACGAATAGGCAATAAGTTATCATAGGAGAGCCTATCTTAGCGGGACAGAACACTGTTGTTCGTGGACACGTATGACTCATCTCAAAAGTTGCGGTGTCTGTTCCACGATTCATATAGAAACGAATACAATTGTCTTTCTTCCTTCTTTACTCCTCTTGGCTCTCAGTCTAGTATCTAGTTAAGCGTAGTATATGACCCCGTATATTCCGCCATTCCTTCTATTTCTTCTACACGTCTTAACATCAAGATCAGAAAATTCAGAAACCATTGTAGACGTACGTAGCCGAGGTCATACGTAGTAATTATTAAGCTACATTATGTGGCCTTGAGTAGGTACAATTAGCTGATGTTCAATTTAGAATGCCACACTATTCAACCATTCCACATACCATACTCCTTATATTCATTCACTTGACAACATCCTACAAATGTTTTCATACGATGTGCCTCACTGTGCCGGTCTCAACCTCATATGCCCAACCGCTAATAACCACGTCGTCTGGCACAGCAGCACTCCTCTTTAAGTACTCAACGTCTCCCTTTATAGCATCATCTAAATTGGTGAAGGGGAGGAAATCGAGGGTGGCAATTTCTGCAGCGGCGCTTGGTCCTAAATTCTTCTTCACAAGACTATGAGCATCATCGTTGGAAAATGTCAACATGCCACACCCAGTGTGCTTGATAAGTACGATCTCTCTCGTCCCAAGCAGTTGCTGCGAGATGATGATGGATCGTAGAGCATCTCTCGCGCTACCGCCAGCGTTTCGAATAACGTGGGCATCACCAAGGTCGATACCAAAGGCGGCGGCTGGGTCGATACGAGCATCCATACAGGTCACTTTACATCAGTCAGCTCCCAATTGCTTGAAGTATAGCCCTCATATAGCCCTACTCTAAAGGGTTTTACATACAGATCAGGTAGTGTTTAGCAGGCGGAAGGGCAAGATCGCCTTTAGTGAACTTGCTAGCATATTCAGCATTCTTGCTCGCGAGGTTTTTCTGAATTGAGGAAGTCATGTTTATTGCTAAAACTGGAAGATGATAATAGTGAAATGAAGTTGACGCCTCTAAGTAGAGATGTATGATTTAGCTACCTAGATCCAAAGTCAGTACCTAAGAAGATTCTTATACAATTTTCTAAACTTGGAGAATGACGCAAGAGTTTTTATGAGCATTTCCGGTTTCTAGATAGCCCTCATTCCTGCTCGGATACTCTTACTGATGATAGCATAGTACCTATATCGCCATATCAATCGTGATCACGTCATCATCGCCTAGCTTAGGACAATCATTCTGCGGGAAATGATCGTCGACTTGGCGGGAATAGCTAATGTATGATGTACCGATAGGCCGGAACAAAGACCGACTATGTACAAAACGGCAACTAACACATCCCGGTCAGACATTAGATCAGTAATTGAAATGCTTGAGCTGCTTACAATATCAATAGCTTATCTGCTCCTGGGTTGCCGGCCATAGTAAAAATTATAAGCCGAGCAGAAGGATTAAGCTTCTACGGCAGCAGTAGAGGATGAAGATTGAAAGTACACAGATATGGACCAGAGCTTGTTGCGTCGGCATTCCCTAATGAAAAGAGTAGAGGTAAATAATATTAGTCTATATACAAATAAGCCTGGACCCAATAAGTCACAGTCATCTCCTTAACCTAAGATTGTATTAAAGAAATATCCTTGATGCCTTACGTACTGACACGAATATTATAGACACACCTATTCTGGCGTAGTCGCAGTCAATAAATTAAACAAAGGGTGCTGTGATGATTTTGCTCAGGCAAATGGGAGGATGAGTACTGGATAACAGGTATCTAAGACTACTAGGCTAGGTTATTTACCTGGTATCTGAGTATGGAAGCTAAAATAGTGACGGACATAGGAGAATCAAGAAATTCACACGTGTTAATAACAAAGTCATTGTCTTAGCTCGTTTATTCTTTGTGTCAACTTGCTTCTATCGCCTTCTGGTGAATTGATATCAAGATATTGTTCAAACATAGATTAGTGAATGCTTTCAAATTAATATTCGTTGTCATAAAACATTATGGCTGAACGTCCAGACGTTACTAGTGGCAAGAACAGGGCCTTTCCGATAGGAGCTAATTGAACGGGATCAAGTACACATGGGTGTTTTATAATTACACATAAAGAATATGTTTTCAGGAATCTTCCAGTATATAGTCCAACTATCATCCTTCTCTCTAAGCCCAAAACATCATCAACTCCTGTATTATCAATAAAAGCGAGAAGAGCCAACTCTGAAGACCTTTAAGTCTAAACAGAAGACATATCCTCACATATTCTTACGAGAAAATCCTAAAGCGAATTCAAAAAAAACCGCCAAGATGTGTCAAAACTGTGCTGTCTTATCTCAAGTTAACCACAGTTGTGGTCATCAGCTGCTGCTCGTCAAGAACTTTTCGAAGTTCTGCCTCTTCTACCCTCATAAGGATACTGAGTTCCATATGGCCGCCATCGCGTACTCAAATCATCCTACCGAATACCCTTGCCAGAGCTGCGCTTTACGTGAGGAAGCAGCCGAAAAGGGCATTCACAAACAGGAGAGGAGAGACTTCATCAGAAAAAGATATGCCGAAACCAAAGAGGCGTCTTCAAAAGAGGACGCGAAATGGTACCTTGATACAGCTAAGAAAAGCCAGAAGGGCGTTGATGCCGTCAAGATTGAGGAGCTTAACAAGCATGCGAAGAAGCAAATCAAGTATTACCTCGGACGGGGGGGATACAAGGCACTAAGAAGGGGCGATAAGGCCATTCTTCTAAAGACCATCTTGCAAGTTCCTGAGGTTATCGACCGCCATGCTCTTGTTGTAACATTTGGATCCTATGTAGGTTGGAACCAAAAGAAAAACTGTCCGAAGTTCATCCATTATTCAGAGATGTCAGCGCTTAGGGATATTGCTCGCAAGGGAGGTATGCTCAAGGCTCTAGAAGCAGGGTTGGGGCAAGGACCTCGCGACGCGTGAGGCAATATGCCAAGAGTTATATCGCCGCTTGAGGATGTTTTTGTTTAAGCATTGAAGTCTTGACGCACAGGACCCGAATAGAAAATGGAAAAAAAAAAGACAAAAAGTCCATAGTTATTGTTTAGCACTAAATATACTACTTCCTGTTTCCCGTTCTATTTTTATTCAACTTTTACTTTGAAATTGTTTGTAACTTCGATATCAGTACTTGAAATCTTATATGCATACCTAGGTACGTTAGGTAGGTAGTGTGAACATACGGGATTCGATGGATCAGAATGATTACGAAGTGATGCCAACTTAGGTATGAAATTTATATTGAAGTCTTCGTGCCATTCCACGTCTTTCGCATCACAACACTACATAATATTAAATCAAGCCTCCCTCTTCAGCTCAACTCTAAATGTCCTCAGGTCTACACTCTGTGCTGACCCATCATCACGAAGCAAGAAGACCCACTCATCCATAGATCGGAAGCCGTAGGTGAGTCGGTCCATAGAACCCCACGTGTGACAGCTTGCATCGGGCCAGAATGAGTTTGCGTCTTTCTCCGCACTCTCCTCTGGGCTTCCGATATCGAACACGGCCCGCCAGGCATCATGGCATCCCGAACCCAGGTTTGTAGGATACAGCCGGATGGAAACCGGTCGGCTTGTCGGACTACTCGATAGTGCCCCAAATTTACTGTAGTTCTTGATTACGTCGACGTCACGGACGACCCAGTTAGATATCGCGAATCCTGGCGCATCGTCAAGAGAAAGCGTGATAGTCGAGTTCGTAGTGGCATCCGTATATGTGCCACCGAATTTTGGCAATGCCTCTGCTTTACCCGCATCTTCAATAGCTGGAAGCAGGCCTCGCACGACTTTCGTAAGAACCAGATCCACCAGGTCAGTATTCGACTGTGGTCCACCAGATAGAATCGTAACAACGATATCATAGTCCGGTACTAGGCACAACATGTTATTGTACGAATTTAGATTGCCAGCTTTACAGTAAAATTCAATGAGACGCTTATCTTCAGTGACTATGTTAGAGCGAAGAATTTCCCAAGGTCCACCGATAAGTAGACCAGAAGACGAGGTAGATGTTGCCGGTTTCATCCACTTTCTTGTTTTAGTAGAATCCAGCAAGGCATGCTTGAGGATACCAGTACCAAAGGAAAGTAGGTCGGCCGTGTTCGAGTAGAAACCGCCAGCTCTAGCCAACATTAGATACATCCAACGTCTAAATGGGTATTACAACTTACATATCCTCGTATCCGAAGTTAACATCAAACCAGGTCTCATTTACAGGGATAAATCCCCATGCGTTCTTCTCCGGTCCATTAAATATGGTCGTGTTCGTCATAGATAGGGGAGCGAATATCGATTGCTTGACGTAATTGTCATAGGTCATATTGGTTATTGCCTCCACGGCATAACCTAGAATGACGCTCGCGACGTTTGAGTATACTGGGTTTGTGAATGGAGCGTACACTGGGTGCCGCTTGCCGAAATCTCTGAAAAACTCGGTCCTATCACAGGGAGGGAGGCCGAAAACACCAGCGCACCCGGTCTTCGACGTCTCGTTCAATTTAGGGAGACCAACTTCGGTCCAGTCCAAGGGAAAACTAGCCAGGTCGGTTGTAACTGGGAATAATTAACAAGAATACCGATTGAGGGTGGTATATATAACTTACGGTCTGTAGAAATGCCACTCATGTGTGAAGCGAGAGCGCCAAGAGTCACCTCACTCCACCTAACGGTTGTGATATCACTAGCTTCACCTGTCTCTCCTTTGAGTTCATGCAGCTCGGGAACATACTGAGTGATGGGATCGTCCAGTTTCACGTGGCTCTGTTTCAGCAAGGAGAGCACTGCAAAAATCTTAGATATACTTCCGAGTCGATAGACCGTCTGTGAATCGATGGTTGATGTTCCATTAGGGTTAAGTATCGTAGGTGTATGATGGAGTTCCAGTAGCGGATTAGTTTCGTGTATCGACTTAACTGCGACAGATATGCCAGTAGAAAGAAGGCCGGCAGTGAGGTTTTGGAATGTATCAGTGACACTGTCTACTGCTAACTGGACAGACTCGTGTACCGTAGGGTTCTTTGGGGCGGGTAGGACTGGCCCTAAAGGGGGACAATGTCCATTAAGAGCAGCCAAGGCAGTCTCTATCGCCACCAATACAACTAGGATACTCGTCAAGACACTCCGTTGGTAAAACATGTTGCGTTCAAATAAATAGACATGTAATCCTGATGAGTTGATATTGAACTTACGTAGGGCGAAGAGAGTGCCATTATATATATACACGTATGATCTTCTCCTGAGCCACCCATATCCTCCTATGTCGAAAGCTGGGATATAGCTGATTCGTAGAACGATTCTAATTAAAACCGTAATGGAGTCAAATGCGAGCCATATTGCCTATTGGCTTTTGGTTATAGAGCTGCTTAGTATTGGCGTATGGAGTTAGCCTCCCTCAGCCACCATAGATAAGTCGTCCGTACGTAGATCAAATTTAGACTTATACGGTCGAAGCAGCAAGAGCGCTGCTCGAGGTGTGCGATGCCACGATAGATACATGTTTTTAGTAGCTTTGATTGGTCGGGTCGGTCTTCAGCCCCGTACTTCAGGTAAACAAGAGTGGGCTTGGACTTGACCTCGACTTTCAACTAAAAATTGCGCCTGATCTGGCTAAGAAAGATATGTCGCATGCACGGCGAGAAGGGGATAAATCTCGTCGTGTCTAAGAATATTCAAGAACTTGAACAGTGTGTATGTAAAAAGGAGGAATGTACTTATTTACCGGCTTATGATTTGTGTCAATCCGATCCCTTAGATTAGGTACATATGACGTATATTTACTTCTAAAGAGGTACCTATCTCTTATGTAAATAGCCTATTTTTAGACCTACCAATAACATGCCGCTTTCCTGTACTGTATCCTGCGAGGCTACGACACTGTGTTTGATAAGGTTCTGGACCCTGTGGAATTTCCTTCAACATCGGCTTCAATTTAGCTTCTTTATCCACATCGCGGAGGCGATGGGTTTATCGAGAACGACATCATCCCCTTCATGCAGGAATCAACCATGCGAGACCCAAGCGTCACTAGGCTTTTCAATGACAGTCACGATGACCACCCTACGGGTTTGCAGGAGGTTACCGACGAAAGATCCGGGAGAAGTATAATGAGAGAGGAACAATGTCGAGATAATTCTATAGTCAGAACAACATCAAAATATCCAACTTCTCCAACTTCTCCAACCGACCCATTCCCTACTCTTGAGATTACTGCTTCTACTCCCGTCACCCCTAAATTCGAGAAACGCGAACCGAGCTATGATATTAGCAATGTAACCAAGAAACTTACTACGAATGGAAATGGTATATCGAACAGCATCGCCAATGGACACACATCGCCTACTACAACATATAACAGCGCAGATAGGTCCGTTTCTGGTCGATCTACCGATACTACAGCCAAATCAAGTACACGTTCAGTATCCAAATCGGCTACGAAGAAGGCAAGCCACGAGAGTGTTAGGAAGCTCTCTGCTTCCCAGATGCAGGCCTTAACCTCGTCGCCCGATTCGCTACCCATCGCTGTCGTTCCTCCTCAGCCTCCCCAACGCAAGCCAAACGGTACCGAGTATCCTATGTCCGCTAGTTTTGCCGAGTCTATATCTCGTCCATCAATGTCAGATCAGTTACGAGGGAGTACCCAGACGCCAGCCGCAGATAAGGATACGTTATTGCCAGCATATCACGATGCTCCGAAAACAGCAGCAGATTTCAGACGACCCCCCCCTTCGTCACGAACGCTTTCCAGCCCGCCCATTAATAGGAGGTCTTCCACCGGGCCTCCTACAATAGAATCGAATACTATAAGGCGAAATTCCTTTAACCCTCTTCCTCGTCCTCCCCCCTTAAACCTTCCATCCGCTACGTCAAAGCCTCCCGTGTCTCCTCCGAAACTAGATCGACCAGATCTGCCGCCGTCTCCCGTACCACCCACCATACCTCTCCCGCCTATGTCTCTCCCCACCCATCTTCAACTCGAACTCGCTGGTCAACGGCCCAGTCCTCTTTATATCCATCATTCCCACGCTACAGATGCTCCATACGAATCCAGTGCTGTCAAGTTCGAACGGCTTTTGAATGCTCTCCTCTTACCCCCGTACCTAGAACGCGTCTTGACCTTCGGCACTCTAGCATGTCTCGATGCGTGGCTATACACATTCACCATTTTACCCATACGGTTCCTAATTGCTCTCGGCGTCCTTTTAAAATGGTGGGCATACGTAATTGGGAAGGAAGCACGATGGGTTGTGGGTTATGTCTGGCAAGGCACTTGGCGCCTCTGGCAAAGAGGGAGGAGAGGTAGATTCAAGTCACGAACCCGATCTAACAGTAGCCAGGCGGCTAGCGAGTCGGAGAGGAGCCAGAGTCGAGCGAGGGTAAGTAGCTCCAGCACCATCCAGAATGGTGCCACGCGACGTCACACTTCATCCGAGATCACGGGTATGTCTACCCAAGACACCCCTCGGCTAGGTAGCAACGGTGTGTTCCACCCACCGAAGCATCCAATGCCCAGATCTGGCGGATTTCGCCATCGGAGGACAAAGTCTATGCCCTCGAATCTGACCTCTTACCATAAAGCCGACCTCCTCCAAGGGTTCGTGCTCGTGTGCAGCTCCTTGGCGTTGATGAACCTTGACGCCAGCCGAATGTATCACTTTATTCGCGCTCAGTCTTCGATGAAACTCTATGTCATCTATAATATCCTCGAAGTCGGTGATCGCCTTCTCTCGGCCCTCGGTCAAGACGTCTTAGAGTGTCTCTTTAGCTCCGAGACCCTGTCAAGGAATAGCTCCGGGCGATCTAAAGTCCTTCTCCCCTTTGGGATGTTCATACTCTCGCTAATATATAATGTCGTTCACACCGTGTGTTTATTCTACCAAGTCATCACATTGAACGTTGCTGTAAACTCATACTCGAATTCTCTTCTGAGTCTTTTGATATCCAATCAATTCGTGGAAATTAAAGGGAGCGTTTTCAAGAGGATCGAAAAGGAGAATCTTTTCCAGCTGACCTGTTCGGACGTGGTTGAGCGGTTTCAGTTGTGGATTATTCTATTGATCATTGGTATGAGAAACGTCGTGGAGGTAGGAGGCCTGTCTGTGCTGGGAGCCGGAAGTGAGATAGATGGCGGAGCTGCAAAACCCGGTCCGGTCCATACCAGCTCAAGCCTGCCAAATAGTTTCACTGTGTTGCCGTCATGGATACTCTCCGGCGAGGTACTCTCGCCCTTTCTCGTCGTCATAGGTATCGAGATGATGGTCGATTGGGCAAAACACGCGTTCATTAATAAATTCAACAATGTTAAGCCGACGCTCTACAGCAGGATGTTGGATATCTTATGTAAGGATTACTATACTAGTGTAAGTCTATTATGTATGGCGTGTGCTTTAAATCAATATCTCACTATAGGCGTACAGGCATTTTCGGCTCCCTCGCTGACTCGGCGACTGGGCTTACCACTATTGCCGTTATCGTGCCTCTTCATCCGGGCCTCGATCCAGGTATACCACATGTTCCTCGCCACGCATATCAACCCTCCGATTCCAACGTCGACCACGGAGCTTTCGGTAGAGTCTTCAACACCGTCTTCGCCTGCGATGATTGCCGCACTAGAGCATCTAGACACGCTTCTTAGGAACGCTCTAGGCCGGGCGGTATATGGAAATCCGTACGGGTCGTCCCAGACCCGTTCATTCTTGGCTTTCTCTTCGGATGACGCCATTGCCCTTCTCACAATGATTATATTCTTCTTTCTGACCTGGATTGTACTTCTTATCGTGAAGCTCCTCCTGGGCATGGCTCTACTGCGGTATTCCAAGGAGCGGTACGCTGTGATGAAACGAAAGGAACACGCAGCAGCGACTGGCAAGGCAGAGTCCGAGAATTTCTCGCAGCCGGGGAAGCGCATTGGTTCATGGGGCGCTGTCGAGGTTGGAGACGACCGTAGAAAATGGATATACGAGGACGATAAGGAAGGGCTGAAGAAAATGCGTGAACGAGAGCGGAAGACGGAGGAGAAATTCAAGGAGAAGGGTGACGATGGGCTTTCTAAGGTGATGAGGTACGAGATGGTGGCTAAAAGGATATGGTGAATGATAGAGGGGGGAAGGGGGGTCGGGAGGTCGTTATGATTTTACTTCATTTTCGCCGAGTCATAGCGTTAAGTCTACTACATTGTACTGTATTGTACTAAACACTACATGGTATTCACATTGTATGGCGGTTAACATTACTTTTGAGCGTTCCAGATACCTACCGATGTACCTAGGTAGCATTTTAATGGCATGGTGCCGGAATTACCAGGTTAGGTACCTAACCTATCTATTCAGGGGCACATCAGTCTAACGTGCAGCTAGTTACAACATGCAGTTGCAACATGTTGGCGGTATCTGTATAAGTCTACGGCCTGCTTGAATTTTAATTGGTTACCATTTGTTCTTGCTTTATCCTCTGGAGGCAGTTACCTGGGCAGAAGGCATGAACAGTAGAGTTCTAATAGAAGCCTAATTTATGTCTACACGTACCTTTTAACACCTCAAGCACCAAATTTCCAACTAAGGTTCACCAGGCAGTAACATTCTAACCAAAGAAATCGGCGACTTCCTTGAAACATTTTATTCACAATTATCTGTTTTTGTTGCCGACTTGTTGTTGTCAATCTTTTACATCAAGTTTTTTCTGTCTAGTTTGTACGCCGACTCGCCCCGACTACCTACCGCACCATATCGTCCTTAACTATCTTCCTCGCCGACTCTTTCCTATTCATCTTTTATGACAAGTTGTCCTTGTCTGTCTTCTGCGCCGACTTGTTCCTATCCAAACTTTAAGTCGACTTGCTCTTGTCTACTCTCTTTACCAAGTCGTTCTTAACTGTCTTCGTCACTGACACGCACCTGTCTACCTTCATCGCCGACCTGATTCTTACCCCTTAAGTTGAGTTGTTCTTGACTATTATCGTCGCCGACAGCCAGTTGATCCTCTACTTTGAGTTGTTCCTGGTTTATTCTTTCTTCCTTCGCCGACTCATACCTACCTACATATACCTCTTCCTCTTCTTATAGACTTGTACCTGTCTATATTTGTCGCCGACCTATACCTTCTTACTCTGATCGCCGACCAACTTTCCAATTATCACTCAAAGCCAAATTATTCTTGGGTACTCTCTTCGCCGGTTGGCCAACTTGCACCTTAAACATTATCCACAGCCAACAACCCAACGGCCAACTATTCCTATCAAAGCACTTAGACGCGCTGTCAATTCGGCCTGGTAAGTAGAATCATCAAAATACTGTTGTCTCCATGGCGCGACGCGTCGCCTCTAACATTTATTTCTGTTTGCTGTCAGCAAGTTAACCTCCTCTTTTTCTAGACTTCAGTAGGCGCGCTATAAGCTGTCTACTAGGCCTTATATCATTACCTCAGTCTCCTAAACCAGTACCTCCGCAACAATGTCCGCTACGTAAGTACCCAACCTAATATATCAACCTCTCTAAATTACCCTTGTTGTAAACCTACTAACATGAACCCGCCAGTTCTTCCACACGAACCTTTCCTCTTCCTCTTCAGGATCCCGTGGCCTGGAAGCTTGCCGTCTTTGAGTCGGTCCAGAACTTTGAGTTGGCGACCCTTCAATGGATTGGAATTCGCAACTACAGCGAGGGTGTGCTCACGCATACCCAGCTGCGCCGCATCCGTCTCGTCTTGGAGTGTCGCAAGCTTTATTTCGATGTCTCGCGATATTGGGACGACCGGGTTTCCCGCCAGGCTCAACTCACTGGAGGAGAGTTCACGCTTTCTGCGTATCAAGTGGCCCTCAGGGAGCATCTGGAAGCTAGAGAGGAGGAGTGGTTGTCCATCCTGACTCTCGTATATCAGAGTCTACCGGAATATATCTAGATTATGATTGCAGATCACCTTCATGTTGCCTGCTAGGTACTCCCATATGCTGCACCAACCGTGTATGTAGTCTCTTTGGTACCGACGTGTGAGCTGGCGCCATGCGTCGGTGACCAAAGAACTTCGTCTCCTCTCTCTCTGTCATAGGTTGAACTTCAAGCTGATTAGGGAAAATCAAAGTCATCGGCCCCTATCTTAGGTCTTTTTATCTTTCGTGATGATTTGTGAACCCACGTCGCAGATGAAGCACCCCATCTATAATATTCTAAGACTGCCAATGTGCTGGGTTCGGGGCACCCTCCTTCAATTCTCCCTTCTTCCCGTTTCGGATAAATGTCACAAGAGTACAGGGCCATGGCTTTTGCTATCATTCTACTCGTTATCACACGATTAAATTCCCAATGTATTCTCAAACGCCCAAGATAATAGAAATTGATTAACTATCCCTTGTTCAGAGTTCTAGCTATGAGGACTCGAGTATGAGGTGAGAGGAAACTACATTCAAGCATAGTAAACTATGAACCTACCTAAGACTAGGCCGGTAACATATGTCAGAGCCCCTTATCCTAGATGTCTAGGTAGTCAAGAAATCCAACATGGGAACTTACGACAAGGTAAATTATTCCCCAAACATCATATCTACCTAAAATACTAGCTATGAATATCATATTAAAACGACCTACGATAAAATTAATACAATAAATTTACTAGCTATGGGTTTGACATGGGAAGAGAGTTTCAGAAAGTAGTAATATACCTCTTACGAACCTAACCTAGTAATCATACCAATATAATTGCCCATACAATATTAGTTATGAAAAAAAGAACCCTCTTCCTGATCCAGCAATATGACCGATAGGTACTTAAGCTAGAAATGGGGAGATTGTGACTGCATAGGGTGGGTAGGTAGTGGAATGGCCTCGCCAACCACGAAACCCCTTCTCTGAACGGGCTGTTCCCTGAGATTGTTACCCTAGGAATAGCTTAGGTAGCTGAGTGACATCTTTGACTCCCTTTCTTCGCATGCTTCCCTTCTATCTTCGCCTCGATGCTATTTATATATAATATGCGTGTGGAGAAGTTGGAAGGCTAATACTCTGGCAACGGTACTACGACACCGGAACCACTTAAGAAATATGTCTGTATATCAACGACACCTTTTCAACAAGGAAATAGTGATGGATGCCCAGTTAACTAATATTTACTCCGAGCCTGTTGGTACGCAATGCAAGTAACGCCATGAGGTCTATACAGAGAAAAACTCGGTCGTGCCTCGTTACCCTTCCAATGTAGTCCGTATGCTCTAATTCCCTTAAGTCGCCTGTGGATATATCCGTGAGAACGCCAACTAATATGCATCAAGCTCAGTATACATAAACCCTAGTGCAGTATTCAAGCTCGAAAAACTCCAAACCGTATGCGCCGAAGCGTTCCGTCGGTACTACCGTCTGGATGTATGTCTGATTCTTCCATCTCGTTCACTTCGGTCCGCCACGCGGTCCCCGTTGCTTTGCCGACCTCGTCCCATAATTCTTGCCAGCTTACAGCGTTATGCAGGAACTTCTTAGAACCACCAGCCCCTTCTCTGTCGCCCGGCGTTGTCGTCCCCACTTGGCGACCGAAAATCACGACATCAGGGTCGTCCGCGTCGAGAAATCGCACCATTCTCATGGCGGCCCGGACTTGATTTTCCCATGAGAATAGGTGGAAAAAGCTAGTCGCGTGGATGATATTCATCTTGCCGTCGAACACCTTTAACCTTTCATCGCCTTCGTCGGTCTGCCCGTTCTGACTCAACATGTCACCAGCTACAAACGTAGCATTGCACTTGTCTCGGTCCTTGAATAAGTCGTAGCCCGCGTCTAGAAAGCGTGGTTCCAAATCCGTGCCGTACAGTCTCGATGAATCTACACCCTCAAATGTGAGTTGTCGTAATACCTGTCCCACGCAGCAGCCCACGTCGAGAAATGTAGCCTCCGACTTGGGCGCGAGCAACCGATTTAAGGCTATCCGGTACCGAGGATCCAATGTGAACCCAAGGGAAAGGAAACGAAAGTGGCCGATGTAAACATAGGGATAAATCTCCCAGAGACGATCTCGCTGAATGTGACAATAAGTCTATGCTTAAACCTAGCAAAAGGGGAATATCACGGTACGTACTATTTCATGAATATGATCGTCAACCTCTCTAGTGCGAATGCCGCTATATTTCTCTAGCAGCCTCCTGATAGGTTCTATATCCGAAGGGAGTTCTTCAATATATACCTTCCCCCTTAAGATATCATCTAGTGATCTATCAGGTTGGCGCTTGCTGTTTTTATCTTCGGTTGCCATCGTGCATCGACCATACCGTCGGAGACGCAAAATCAGTTTGTGCATAATCTAAATCGGTGACGGGCGGGACGAAGCTCGCAGGCCCCTTTTCTTTTTTATCCAATCGTTCTCAGGTTGGGGATGTGGCGTTCTTCCTACTGCTAGGAAGATCCCTGAGTCTAACTCCGAGTCTCTAGGACGCACCCACGTGAACCAATTAACACTTGCAGAATGACAAGTGCGATATGTAACGTCGATACTAGTATTTATACTTGCATAACTTGCTGATAGGTAAGTTAATCTTCTGGGCTTGAGAAGGAGAAATGCTGCCAGCGTACGAGTTATTTTACCCTTTCACCTTATTTATCTCGCCGGCCGAGGTAGCATACGCTGGATGCACCCCACACGGTGGATGAAATAAGGTAACGAGGTATAGAGGCATAAGCGATCCAATCGAGGTTTGCTAATATATCGCTGACAGGTACAAATTTAAACTATGGCGTATTTCGTACGACTTCTCGAAGCCAAACCGACCTATACAGAATAAGCTCAGTGTTAGTTTGTCTCTGCTACGGCAAGATTCCGGAGAAGGCGGCTCGATGCTTGAAGATGTCAAGGTTCCAGATATTGTGCCTTTGACCTGCAATATCATCAAACTCCTGGACCTCAATAAAGGAAGACTTACGTATTGTCGGATACCTAGATCCTACTGTTGTCTTAGAGTATTTCTCGTCATAAAGTAAAAGAGACAGATTAATTAACTAACTAGTTATCTTCTAATACATTGAGATGTTAAAAAGCGAAACCTCCGAGCTTGCCAGTGTATCATTCGATTCGTGAGACTAAACGATTAACTACCTATCCTAAACGAACGGAGCCGCTAAACCCTTAGTTCGACGGGACGAACGGCCGGATGACTAGGGTTTCCTTGTTTCTCTTCGGATGGTAACGTTCTTGGATCCAGAAGGGCCAGAAGGGGAAATACATAGTAGACTTAATTTGTAGGGGACTAGACCAAATCCCCGTGTTCGGGGGGTAAATTCTTTGTCTTCCCTTTTTTTAATTGGAACTCTTGAAAATCAGCGAATCGGTCAATTGTATGAGCCTGTCTGATCTCTCATTCATCTTGAATCTGACACTATCGATACCCAAACCCAGGTAAATCAACCGGGACATGGTCCTGTAATTAATACCGATGAAACGGAAGAGAAGCGAGTCATGTAAGCCCCGCCAAAGTTACAAAAGCATGACGAACCGGGAGCGGCACGGTAGTATTATTGTATTGCCTCAGCCTCAGCCCCAAGATTATCTTATGTCAATACCCAGATGCACATACATACATCTAGGTTATAGGTAGACACAGAAGCGAGATCCGTTAGCCCCAGCGCCGTTGACAACAGCATTCCGGTTCAACCCTAAATAAGGTCGCCAAGAATCAACCGAAATACATAAACCGTCCGTTTATCCATCCTGCTGGGACCTGTAAACTTGGCATCCTTAGCATTGATCAAGTGAAACCGCTTAATAGGTAATACGTAATAATCCAATCACTCGATCCCCTACGAACTAACAGGGTGAGATGTTCTCAGGGGTAAGATGAAAGCCCGTAGTAGCCATATTCCAATCCCAAATTTCATTATTGAGACGTATAGATTCTGTCATGATCTATGGTTAGGGACTTAATGTTCGGTATCAATTCAAATCGTATCGTCTAAACATTAGGTTAGGAGGTACCTAACCTAGAATAATTTATTACCAGACTTGAGTATTCTAACCACCTACATACCGTATCACTAAACTTACCATCTACTCAACAGCTCTCCACTGCTGTTCTAGCTGCCCGACAAGTAGAACCGCGCTACCACTTGCAGCACTGGCACCAGCTTGCGCGGCTTGCTGGGCATACACAGCGCCCTGCAGGAGATTCTCATTCGCGTAGCCGTAACCAACTCCAGCAGCGCCATATATGTGCGTGTGCCCGTAAGTGATATCTTGTAGCATGCCGGCCTGGTTGTAGTGTGAACTCGCAACGTTAAGAAACCGCTGCTGATTCAGCGCCATCTTCGCTCGGAATAACATCATCCGCATTTGTGGAACTGTCTGTATCCAGACTAGACGCCGCTGCACTGAACATGCGAGTAGCTCCCTGGCGTCAGGAGGCGACGCCTCGCTATATTTTATGTAAAGGTCGCGCATACGCGGGCTATACATTTCGCACATTGTGCTCGTCTCTAACAGCGTGTTATTGAGTTCCATCTTCGCAGCCAGAGGGCTTTGCTGCGCGAAGTCGGTATAGCACTCCGGACAAATCGTGCAGTCCATCCATCCGTACCAGTGCTTGTTCTGTGCGTCTTCGTCGCGAGGGCATATCGGTATAGAACAATATACTGACGCAAATTTGTCGAATGAGGTCGGATCATGTGTATGATACATCTCTAAGAGCCGTGGCATGAATTGCCGAAATCGAGGATGCGAGATGCTAAAACAGCATTGCCATTTCGTCCCGGCCGGCTGTGCATCACGTTTCGGTACAAAAAAGCGTGATATATTGAGGGACTCCGCGATGGTCACGTAGCATCCGGCACAGAGGCCGAAGTTAGGCGGGTCAGAGGGCAGTGTGTACCATATACCATCTTCGATACCATCGTCATCGCAAAACTTCTCGTTGGCGAGCTTATGTACGGATCTCCAGAATACTTGGAAGTCGTTGATTTCGTGCGCGCGAGCCATAGCCATTCTAATGCTGAAGACACCCATGCTGCACCGGACTTTGGTATCGTATGCCTTTGTAAGTTTTTCATCTACCTCCCATAACGCCTCTTCACCAGTGTGGATCACCTGGTCGCAATAACATCCTGAGCAGAGCACCAACCCTTCAGGACCATGCTTAGGAACGAACCACTTCCTACCGTAGGTTAACTCTGGGTTGCGTTGTGGGCAAGGCTTTATGGACATTCGCGCCTTTGTCTCACTTACGAAGCCAGCCCAGTCGTTGACCTTGCCCCTGGCCTCATACTCCTTCTCAATATAAGGCACCGCTATGTCGCAGCTCCACTACAACAACGAGAGTCAATGATCACTTTTCTAGTAAGGAATTTAAGGGATCTAGGCATGTCTTAGGAGCAACCATTACTCAGTCAACTCATGGCAAAAATACTGGAGGCTTCTGAGACAGGGAGCAGCGCGAAAGGGGGGGGGGGAGTAATGTTTCGGGTTTACATACGGTGTCCTCTGCTGGCTGTAACTGTGTCGGCTCGAAGTTCACAAAAAAGTGGTTTGTCAAGATACGGTCTTCATAGCAGGCTTCGCAAGACACAAAGCCTGGTATATCGTTTAATCTCACCATGTACCACTTAATACCGACTTTTCCTTTAACACCCTCTATCCCTTTGCAGTCAGGTATTTGTGACCGGGAGCGCATCCAAGCCAACGCTGGCTCTAACGATCCCGTTGCGAGAGCGTCTTTAAGTAGGTGATTCCGCATTCTCGGCTTGCTGAACCGGCATGTTCGCGGTTTGCCGTCGCTGAATCTCTCCCTTCGGAAAAGGTTCCGAAACCTAGTCCCGTGGATGTAGTCGACGTAGCAGCGCGAACATATAAAAAACTCAGGTGCGTCAGGATGACAGTACCAGTCTGTTGCGAACGTTACCGGATCGGCAATACAGGAGGTTACCGCAGGTGGCGCTAGGGCCGGTAGGCCTGCGGATGGTGCAATAGGCTTGCCTTTAATTTCATTTTCTGTCGGTAACTCGTAACTATGGCCATCTGACTTAGGTACGCGAGGGTCGGGGAAGGTGGCTACGGGAATATATGAGCAAACCTCTGGAGGAGATTGTAAGGGTTGAGAAGTATGATGCGAAACGGACGGCAAGTTAGTCGGCGGTCGATTTTCTACAGATAAAGATTGGAATTGAGCCTCTAAATACTCTGAAGATGGCGATGGGAGCTGGTCGGGCGATAAAGATAATATCGGGGTATTAAAGGGCTGCGATGTCGCTGAAGAACTCGGGTTGTTTTCTGATGGTCGAATCTCGGGAGTTCCTGTAGCTGTTGTATGCACTGGAGGCGGTATCTTGATGGTTTTCTTTGCGGGAACTTGAGGAGCAGGACTCGGCAGATATTGTGTTATAGTCGGCGGATGCGATGGGGGTATAGAACGGGTACTAGCTGGCCGTTGTAGGGCAGGTTGGCCATATGGGTTCGGCGGAGGTAGTGGAATACTCGCTAAACCATTCTGACCGTGGGGATTGTAGGATGGTGCGCGTGAGTAGTCGTAACCTTGATTTAGACTAAGCGCCTCGGGATAACGATAGGGGTATGACGGGGGGTTGGTAGAAGCCGGCCTCACGATTCCTAGAGGCGGTCCTGGAGAAGGCGGGGGAATGGAGAACTTTAAAGGGGATTGTTCATTAGAACTGGTTGGGGTGGTGATTTCATATCCAGGAGGTCTCGGAGGGAGCGGCGGAGGCCGGGAGTTGGGTACGTAGGCCGGATTCCGAGGAGGAGATCCAGGAGGTGGCGGTGGATAGCCGCTATTCGGATATCCCAGAGAAACATTAGTATACCCAGGCGGCTGGGGGTTCCGAGGTGGGAGCGGCGGACGATATGATCCAGGAGCAGACATATCGATGGTAATTGCCTCTAAACATGCAACTTTGCTGACCCCTTTGCTAAGATGAGGTTCAGCTGTTCCAGCCAAAGACCCCCTCGAGGCTTATATTACGTAGCGCATGGAGGCGGAGAGTACGCCTACGTCGACTTTTTTCTTCTCCTTAACGTACCGCGTCCACTCGAGGATAGAAGGGTGATGAGTTGTAAAGGATGCGGTCTAAGCGACGGATGAGTACAAGGCATGATTTTTTTTTCCATTTATAACCGGTGCGACTTGAAATATGTTCAGCTGAGCTGCGGTAGATAGGAGCCCGCAGCAGCCGCTCTTAAACTATCGTCTTGGCGTTACCTTTGCGAGAGCTTACGTGTTGTAGGAAGGCTGACACCAAGCCACATCAAGTCGTTGTGCTTGAGCCCAGATTTTGTTTCAGTCTTATGTATAGTAGTTAGGGTACTTAGTCTATCTCATAACTCTGTAAAAGATGAGTCCCTAGGTATATTGTGTTAAGATGCCCCTTTTATTGTGGAGTTTGCCTCTACTGGAGTAGCTATAGAGTTAAGTTCCATAAAGAGTCGACTATATTTGAACGTACTATCCAAGTCTATGTCTATATAGATAGAGCCAATAGCATGATCATAATATCTAGCTGGATATAGAGATCTTTATGTTAACTATAATTCAACCTACCTATGGTATACATGTTAAGCTTCCCCCTAATGCTACAACGGACAAATCATCGATGCAAACAGTTAAGTAGCGTCGAGAATAAAATAGATATTAGCTTATCCTCGAAAGCAATTGGGTGATGGACATCCCAGCTCATGCAGGCTTGCAAAGTGATTCCATGCAAGTGTTGCAGCTCCCCTTATACGTTCGTAGTCGACTTCCCCCATATTCTCCAATCCAGCTCCTTTCCTCAAAACGGCCTCCCAATGTATTTGATATTTCGACTAGTTCTAAAAGTCGTTGTTTGATTGGCGGAACAATCTTCCATGCATGGCTAGAACGAGGGGTTCTTAACGGGGCACCGTGATGGTCGGGCCGTCCGCTATCCTAAGCGGCGACGAACGAAACATGTTTCTTTGGACTTGCATGAACATGCTGTCTTGCGTGATCTCGGTGTTTTGATATCTTGCCAGAGTTGATCAATATGGTCTTCCGGACGGAGCGAAAAGGCGAAGAGGGTAATATATAACCGGGACACAGAGGTAGATAAGCAACATAAAAGTAAACAACATGCCTTATACGATCTTCTTATGTTAGATGAGAATTAGAATTTATACTTGGACCAACTTGGAGCCATTAGATGTAAATAGTGCTATGCAGCCATGCAGTTTCATCCCACAAAAAGGACCAAAAGAAAAGACTAAGTAAGGTGCAGGACATGTGCAAGACGTGCAAGCCGCCTGTAGAGGGTGCAACTATTGGCTACTTTTGCTGTGACCGGACGGATTCCTGTCTTAGCCAGGCGGATACTTAGGTAGGTATCTTTTTATTTTACCTACCAACCAACATGATACCATGCCGTCATGATGCCATGATACTCTGTTATGAGTTGTGTTGCCTTCGAGATCAGGGGCCAAATCTACCAAACAGATGCCTTATAAAATCAACCGCACATCTTATGATTATGTTTCTTAACTTAGGTACCTAAGCATACATCGGGAGTTGGGCGAGGTTGAATTTCTATTACAAAGAATAACACTGGTATGCGTTTACAATGGTCCTTGGATATTTCTCAGTTGCACACTCATCCCTCAGCGATGAATTATATAGAATTATATTAGGTACCTACCTAGGCGGGTATGCATGTAAGAGCAAGGAATGATATGTACCTCATCAAAAATGACATGTTTGGTGTGTACAGAGGTATGTATGTAGGTAGTTTGAAGTGTGCGGGCCGAGGGAGAAGGAGAAAAGGAAACGTGAGAAAAAGATTAAAAGGAAAAAAAAAGAAAATCTTTTTACATGTATGTAGTATGCGTGATGGTCACGAAGTCAGCCACTCGGACCCCGTGGGAAGATGGAAGACGTATGCAAGTACCATAACGGTTCGCGTACATAGTATGAAAATCGGGATCATCTGAACATTCTGACATTGTAAGGTCAACTTTTTCCCCAGGAATGGAAAACCAGGTGGTACTTTGTGACTGGCTGCGGAGTCTGATACATGTACATATGTACCTAATATAAAGTACTTTATTGAACATTCCAAGGGTTTTAAGGGTTGATCTAGCGCGTGTTATACCTACCTCTATGTACCTAGGAGGTATTTAACGAAGAGTTCTGCTGGCTTCAAAGCGATTAGTACCTTACCTTAGGTAATCAACAAGTCACTTTCAAGTTTTTTTTGGTCGTTTTACTGCCTTCGGCTACTAATTTTTACCTGTGGGTCTGGGGACAGTGTGCTCAGCCGAAGGAGGCGCGCTTGGTAAATGGATTATGTGGGTAGAAAAAGTACATGTAGTGTTTAGCGTGCTGTAGCATGGTTGGATGTACCTTCTGTCTTCTGTGAATAATACTGGGGTCAGTTGCTGGCACCAACTGTTTAGCAGCGCCAGCCGACGCCTCCCCTCCTTGAATCTGACCACTATTGCCATTGCCATTTGCCATCTGCCATTACCCATTACCCATTACCCATTACTATTACCACTTGCCATTACCGCTGTCATTAACAACCACCACACTACCACTTTACACAGTCCTTACAATCAATCCACTTACAATCCGAAAACCCTTCAACCACACAACCGTCCAAACATACACATACGCACATACACACGCACGCATACTTGCGTCGACGCGCGCGTTCAAAACACGCTTGAAATAAAGACACCTACGCCTCGCCTCCAGTCGGCTCTGTTCGAAAAATAAAATAAAAAGTACCCTCCTAATCACAATACTAGAAGGGTAAAATAGAATACCACAGGCAACCCTTCGGCAACCCTTTAGAGAGAAAACACGCGACTATCACTGTTTGAACTACTGCGTTTCCATTTTCCTCCCATCCCTCTCTTCGCCTCCTTTGCTTATTCAGGCATCCCCCCCCCACCCTTCTATCCTCATTTTCTGTCCTAGACTTCGACTTCGACTTCGACTTCGACTTCAACTTCGACATTGATTTCAATTTCGGCTCCGACTTTCGACTTAGACCTATAATCGCTCAGTTAACTTCTGACATCGAACCAACGGCTTCCCATTTCATGCTATCACAACAAGCTTGACATACATGATTTCCAGTGCTGTATAGAAATAGTATGAGGATACAGGCACCATCCGCAGACGAAAGGATGGAGTCTGGACGGCCTCGATCCAGTCAGACGACAGTTTCGGTCAATTTTGACGATGCCGACTCTCTCTCGCATCCACAACTCAAATTTGGTGTTGCCGAGTGCATAGAGACCAAGACGGTCACCACGACTACTACTACCAAGAGATCATATCCACCTCTTCTTGTGAGAGAGTCGAAGCCGCTCTCCTCCCTCGACTCCAAAGAATATCCTCTAGCTCAGAAACCCACCCCTCCTGAGTTAGCTAACTTCAGCTTCAACGTTGCTCACTATGGCGGCATATCTTGGCCTGTTGATGATGTCGATGTTGAATATCAGCAAGACGTATGTTCTGCCCCTCTATTCCCCTCTGCCTCTATTTTTTCTTGTCTAACAGTCTGAACTACGCTTTAGTCCCAACAGTCTACTAGTGATGGATCCGTTGAGGATATCAAGGCGGAGCCGGAATTAGATGCTGCCCACCACCAAATTAGCCGCCGCTCATCGAAACCTTATCTACCTACGTCGTCTCGTAGACCCCATCGGGTGAACTCTCGAGGTGCCTCCCCTGTTGTTGGCGGATCTGTCCGGAAAAGTTCGCAGAAGCAGTCAACACGATCATTCGTACCGAGCCTCCCTAACGCCGTGTCAGATAAGCTACGCCGCGCGCTAACTAATGGCTCCCGCAAGGACGTTATCAAGAACAATACAACAAGATTAACTAGTAGTTTCCCTGTTACTCCCGACACATCTGAGCCGACTCCAGTCAACGTCAATCGATCCCTCAAACTTCGAAGTACACATCTCGATTCTTTCGAAACCCCGGAATCCAATAATGCCAGTCAATCCCAGTCCTTTTTTGATGTCTCGAGCCCCTCCGGCAGCGACTCGCACACTGTATTTAGTAGCAATGTGGCTACGCCACCTATCACTGATGCAGATGCGGAGGCTGAACCATTCGGTGATGTGGACGCGGATGAATCACTCCAGCAATCTATTCGTGCCTTGCATCACCCAAGACCCATCAACACACTTGCTGCTCAAGATGCAAGCTTGCCCAGCCCGCGCCTGTCTCCGACCCTTCAGGCTTCCAAATTCCGTGGGCTCGATCAAGACGACGGAGACAATGCGGCGGACGAAGATGTTTCCCTTCTTTTCCAAGAGGAAAGCCAGAATTCGATGGATTATGAGTCTGGCCCGTCTTCCATCATGGAACCCTCGTCTCTAGTTGTCAGACGATTTGAAGATCCTTCGCAATCCCAACCTACAATCATGGACACCCGCTCGATGTTGGAAACTTTCGACTCCATGCCTGCCGAGATGAAGTCATTCATGATGTACCAGTTTCTCCGCAGATGTTCCAGAAAAACCCTTCACATCGTTGCTGATGTGGTCAACCCAGCCCTTAAATGCGACGTCTTGAAGGACCTGCCTATCGAGCTGACCTTACATATCCTTTCTTACCTAGACCACCGCGACCTTTGCCGCGCGGCTCAGGTTTCGAAACACTGGCGAGGAATTATTGATAGTAACGAGACGGGTTGGAAAGAGCTCTTCGACTACGACGGCTTTACCCTGGCCCCTGGAGAGCTTGATAGAGCTATTAGAGAAGGTTGGGGTTGGCAAGACCCGGTGGGACCCGAAGGTTGCGAGCGTGACTATAGCACTCAAGCTAGACTTACTTCTACCGAGACCGAACTGATACGCTCCTCGAAGCCTGACCCACCACAGAAACTACGGACATCCAAGCGTAAGAGGGCTCTGAACAGCCTCAGTAGCTCTGAGCGGTCGAAACGGCGAGCAAGCGCGCAAGAGATGACAAAAGATGAGAAAACATATACAGGAGAACGAGTGCACAAGTCCGAGGGTCCTATGTCTGCTGCAAACGCCGCAGCTGTGGCGGTTCCCAACCCGCATATCGGCCTTCCGAGCCTTAGGAAGCTTCACTTATTCAAGTCGCTCTATCGTCGTCACTACATGATCCGCAAGAGTTGGACGAGCGGCAAAGTCAAGCCTAGCCATGTCGCTTTCGCGGCTCACCCCCGGCACGTAATTACCTGTCTACAGTTCGACGAGGACAAGATTATCACTGGGAGCGACGACATGCTTATCCATGTTTACGACACTAAGACGGGTAAGCTCCGTCGTCGCTTAGAAGGCCATGAAGGTGGAGTGTGGGCACTTCAGTACGAAGGCAACGTCCTGGTGTCTGGT